GTAGGTGTGAAGATTGGGGCCGGATTGGCCGGCACCGCCCAACGAACGTCGTTGGTCCTTTGTCCGACGACGCTTCGCCCTTCCTTGTTCCCGGTAAGTTCAGGGAAGCGGGCGTGATCAAAATTCAAGCGCGGTTGGGTGATGAGATGGTTTGAACACCAAGGTACGAGTGGAGTCCGGGAGCGAATGTTGACGACATGCACCGGCTGGCTGCAAAAATAGCATCATACGACGTCGGCCGTCGGAGTTCCTTGTCGCGGGGCGGCGGGCGGGCGGGCGGCCGGTGCGTGGGCGTGGGCATGGGCGGTTTGGGCGGTGGGCGGTTGGGCGGTTGGGCGGGGTGCGTGTTGGGCGTTGGTGGGTACGGGGTGTGCTGGGTATTAGGTACAGGGTGTGCTGGGTATTGGGTACGGGGGGGTTGGGTGCTGGGTACGTTGCTGCACTGGGTACGAGGTAGGTGCTGGGTGGGTAATGTGCTGGGTACTTGCTGGGTACTTGCTGTGTACTTGCTGTGTACTTGCTGGGTGTTTGTGCTGGGTAATGTGCTGGGTAATGTGCTGGGTAATGTGCTGGGTGATTGTTGCTGCTGCTGTTTGGCAATGCGTATCGGCCCGTACCAGAAATACCGCTAGTATGGCTGCTTGCTTGTTCTTGGCCACGCGCGCAAAATACTAATTCCCTCCGCTTGGGTTTATTTATAGTCCAGGGGGAGTTTCGTCGGAACCGAACCAGACAACTCAAGCTCTTGCAGAGGTTGAAATCGTATGACACATTGCTCACAATCAACCTTTTTTTTAACTAGCTGCTATTTGACTCAACTATATGCTGTTGTGCTCTTCTGCCCAACAACCAACCCGCTTCTACCCTTCCTATATGCACGTCGATAATATTGATTTCGTTGCTTCGTGCCCTGTCCTCGTCGCGGGTGGCTTCCGGCGCATCCCCCACGTGTGACACGCGGGAGGATCTAGATCATCATCATCATCATCCTCGTCTTTGCTTGCCGCGATCTTGGGTGGTATCAGAAAGAGGGGCTGAGGAGGGGGGGGAAGGGGAAGGGGAAGGGGGGAAGGTTGGGCAATATATGTGGCGACCGGTTTATGCTGCTGAAAAAGAGAAACTGTTTTTTTTGAGTCCGATGGGCGAGGGGGTGTTGTGTTGGGCTGTGCAGACGCCAGTCCAACCAACCAGTTTACCCTCCCGCGCAATGGCTATTGGCCCTCGCCACAATGTGCGTGATGACAAATATACCGCAAGACGAATGAATGTCCGTCCATAACTAGTTGACTAGGGTTCTATATCATCCGTACATGGGAGTAATAATTATGGTTGGATGAATGGCTTGAATGATGGCTTGATTGAAGGGCTCGCTTATTGGCGTCGAGACCGACCGTCCCCTTTCACCGGTCGATAAATGGCTCGCACGGTTTCTGTAGCCCGTTGTTGATCCCTTTCGACCTGCTATATATAATAAGAAGGCTCTTCAGAGCGCGCTGCAGAGGATTCCTGGTCTATCCCAATTTCCGTGTGGCAATCGGTCAACAGAGACATCTAATCTAGGATAACTATAGTATCATCCACGAATCAATTCTTACTACCGCTGAAATTGTAAAAAGTATTGGAATTTTCTATGACATGTAGTCTATTTCTGTTTCACTAACCATGTCAATCGATATTTTTCGAGTGACAAAACATCCATCTCTCTCACCATCTGTTCCATCAATATCGACGACTCCCCCAGCCACATGTTTTTTACAACAACCCATCCTCATTGGCCGCGACCTCCGCCATGACGGTCCTGACAATCTTCTTCGCTGCTTCAGACGGCGGCTCGTAGGGCCGTCGAGGCCTCAACTTCTCCTCCGCCCCCTGAATACCCGCCTTCTTAGCCGAGAAAATTGCGGCCGCGTATTTGGTTGATGCGATCCCGGATTTGCACGGCGACTCCGCCAGGGCAGCAATCCTATGCAGCCGCAAGGCCTCCTGCACATCCCCTGCTTTATACAAATCAAATATTCTCGATATCGTCTTGGGAAACACATTCGCAAACGCCGCGATGCACCCCGCAGATCCTACACTGAGCCCTCCGATCAAGAAATCCGACTGCCCACCAAACACCGCAAACCTGTCCGGCGACAAGGATGCGGCCAGCCGCGTTATCTTCCCTACGCTGGCACAGGTGAGCTTCACACCGACTATATTCTCATTCTCTCTCGCCAGAGTCGTGATCAGATCGGAATCCAGGTCTATGCCATTGCACACCCCGGGGAAATTGTATATGACGACTGGCAGCGGCGACTTCGCAGCGACATCCGTGAAAAAAGACTGGATCACTGACGTTGTCGTAGCCTTGCCAAAGTAGGCGGGCGGCAGAACCAGAACGTAATCCGCACCCGCATCCGCTGCGTCGCGGATATGCTCAAGCACTTGGCGCGTCGAATGCGCCCCCACCCCCGCCATGAGGGGGAAGTCGTGCCCGACAGCATCCCTTGCTGCGGCGATGAGTTGTGCGCGCTCTTCGCGCGTGAGGAGGAATGCCTCTGCGTTTGTGCCGAGGATGACGAGCCCGGCCAACCCTGACCGGCACAGGTAGCTGTAATATTGCTTTTGGCTGGCGAGGTCGAGTCTGTCGGTGTCCGGGTCGAAGAAAGTCACCGCAGGGCACCAGACTCCCGACTTGGGCACTCTGGGCGCCATTGATGCAAAACCCCTTTTGGACTGGTTGCTCCGAAGGGAAACAGAGGTTTGTTCCCTGTAATTCTGAGGATTCAAATCGGCGGGGTTACGAGGATTTCCGTCTTCCGTCTTCCGTCGCTACCAATGGCTTGCCGAATTTCTCAGGACCTCTCTGAAACCCTGTCCGGTTCGGCTTTAAGAGTTGAACTTCAGGTGGGGGAAAAAGGGCGCAACCCCGCAAATACAAAGCATGCCAACGGATGCGGATGCGGAAAACTGGTAGACCAGTTTACTGTTACATGACTCTTAGTCATATAGACGCCAGCGTTGCGCCTGAAGAACCGGGTTAAGGGGGAAAAAAAAAAAAAAAAAAAAAAAAAAAAAAAACTTTTCATTACGACTCCTAAACCTACCTACCCCTGCATAACAACCCTAACACAACAGTTAAATTTTTGTAATACATACAGAGTCTTGCTCGCAAGTTGACTTCTTGTCACTTATCAAAAAGATCACCACCACCACTCCTCCCCATACAGGACTTTCTATGAACCTTCCAGTGTGTGCGCTGACACTTTGACGAGCAATATCTCACCATGAGACATTGAGCGCACGACAGCAAAGCACGGCCATGGACGGATTTCTCCGCACCGCATGCCTCACACTTGCTCTTCCGAAACTTGTCAACCTCTACCAGACTGCATTTGCTGTCAGAGTACGGTAGAGTGAACAGAAGCGGCACCAAGCCGCGAACCGCATGTTTAGAAACCGCATCCCACATGTCGAGACCAGAAATGAAGCTTGGCGGGAGGATGCCGTTGCCGCAGGAACAGAGCACCGGCTTGTGGCCTTCGACGGACAGCGGGATGCGAGACTCACTTTTGTACTCGCACGTAGACTTATGTCTCCAATCCTTGCAGCGTTCGACAAACGCTGGCAGGACGCGTTTCCATAACTTTAGCTCCCCTTCGTCCACTGCTATGGTAGCAAAGTCGACCGTCTTTAAGCTTTTCACAAAGTCCCACATTTGCGGTCCCATCTCTGGAGGTAGGGTGATAATAGCGACGTCGAGAGCCACTGTATGATTGGACATGTCAATGCGGATGGAGGAGTTGAAAAATAAGACCTGCAATCCGATCTTGTCGTTGCTTAGTCCAAACACTTTGCGCCTTGGTCCTTGGATCCCCGCGAACGACATTACCATAGAAAACAAAGTGTCCTTGAAACAGAGCCTAATGTTTTCGGCTGCCTTGGCACCGTTCACATCTAGGTTGTGGCGCGCTCTACTCTCATTGACAGAGAACATCATGGAAGCGTGCGAAACTAGCCATCCTAAACACTCTGCGCCATTCGGATCCAAAGGTGGAAGACGGTTCGGGTTAAGGTATGGAATGTTCCAAACCACCGGCTCTCCGTTCTTGCCCAAGAAAGTTGGATGAACATAATCTGGAAAGCCTTGACGGTCGGGGTTTTCGGCCCCCCAGGCCACTATCTCCAGATAGGATGAGGTTCTCGCAACCCTAATCTTGGACTTTGCTTTGAGCACAGGAGCAGGAAAGTTAACAACAATTTCCAAAGATTTGTTTTCGACAATTGCGCCCAGAGAGCATGGGGACGGTTGAATAAGCTCGACCATTTTCTCACGCTTCAGAGCTTCCTTTGCTTCTGAAGAAAGGAAATCGATATGAGCAACAAATCCAGTGATGATTCCCTTTTCAACGCCAACCTCTGCCTTTAGTGTTGTGTGGAAGGCCACATTTCCTGGGTTCTGTTGTGGTTCTTCTCCACCTCCTGGTGGTGGCATAGATACACGCGGCATTCCGGCGTTGTTTGGTCGTTGCTTTGAGATATATACGGCGGATTCATTCCCAAGGTCAGCCGAAAAGACCGTAAGGTCCATTCCTAGTGTTTTCCCAAAAGTCATCGAGGCAAGCGGGGTGTTGTAAAGGGAAATGCCAACCATGGTGTTTTCTGGTTCCAGGAGCAGTATCCACGAAGGAACAATGAAGGACACAATAAGGGAACTCTTCCCTTTCCAGCCACTATGATCCTCGACCACAGTTACCGCAAAATCGTCGTTGTGTCTTGCGCCATAACCAACCACTTGTCCAAATCCAAGCTGCACAACTGCGAAGAGGTTCTTCCAAGCCATTCGTTTTGATATGAATCCGTTGATATACGGTGTTCCCAGTTTAGCACGAGAAAGCTTGGTGAAAATAGAGAGTTTTGCCCTTGGAACTTCTACCGTGACAGAAGCCAACTGAGGCATATCCTTCCACGCGCGGAAATCATGGGAGGCTCGGTTGTAAACGAGTTCTCTGGTAAGGGAGGAGTTTGAATGCACGCCAAGAAGGTGGAGATGTGCAAACAACTCGTGCATGAAATTTGGCCCAACTAGAAGAACTTTATCACCTTCAATCAACGTGATCAGCGTTGACATGGTCTTATCCCAATCAACATCGACGCGTTTTTGAACAAATTCAAGAAACCTAGCAAAGCTTCCGCGATGATAACGAATACAGGAGTTTCTCTGAATCGCGTCCTGAGTTGGATTGCCTAAGGTTAATTTCACGTCCTCGTTCAAGTACATCTTCAGGTAGATGCTGAATAGAACCTGAGATAAGCCTTCCGGGTCGAAGTGGAGAAGTTGGCAGCTGCTGCTCCCAGGTGTATTCGTCGTTGGTGATTGATGCTTCCACATTGTTCTGCTGTATATGCTTCGGGTGCTTACGACATGTCCCATTGGGCATTTGTGCATATCTTCTATAAATTGCTCCTCAGAATTCGCAACTGCAGAGGAATTTGTCCAGTATTGGACAGGGAAAACACCAAGTAATATCGACACTGTTGGAAAATGACCGGCGAAAAGGTCATCTAACAGCAAGTCTACGTCAGTTACCCACTTAATCAAGGACTCTGCATATATCGTGGATGATGTTTTTTTGTGAAGTAACGGCCTTGCGGCAATGAAGATGTTTATACCACCAAGGTCGTCGATAAGGCTGGACGTGTCGATGACGTCGAAGGCCAAGGGAGCCGGGCCATTGGGCGCATAGTCCTCCGCATCTAAAAAGAAGGTGTCAAAATGGTACGGAGTTCGGAACCAATTCGCAGACGTTTCTTTGGTGATCGTCATATGCTGCAGGGTATGGCAAAAAGCGAGAGCTTCCCCAGAAAAGAAACGAACGGTGCAAGATTCTTGCCCATCTTTGAATGACTGACACCATACTTTAAACTGAAGACGCGCTGTTTCTACCGCACGATGTGCATGACTATTAGTAGTTTCTTTGGGGCAAAATGGGGATTCTGAACCTATTGACGTATATGCAGTTACTAGGTGAAATCCGTGGAGTGGATCAATGGCATAATAAAGCATCGCAGGGTCATTTTCCAAAGGTGCCAGGGTGGGGTTGGCGTGCACGTTTGAGGCTTTGGGATCATTAGAAGTGCTTCCGTTTTTCCAATAACGAGAGTGCAGACCAGGGAGATCTCTGATAGCCCCGGCTGCATTGGGAGCAGCAGAACGGGCCCCATTCACCTCTATCCCAGGTCCCAGGGTTGCAGCTTTCACTTCAAGGCAGGCTTGAATTGCACTTCGAAAACCAGTCACGTATAAGACCTTGTCTGAGGCGTGTATATATGAATACCAGACATCCCCCACAAGAGCAAGTGTCTTTGAGTCACAGAATCTCAGGAGACGTCCATACTTGCTTCTGTGCCAGTGCCTCAGAGAATTTGAAAGACGACATAATTTCTTGATTTGGGATTCAAGAAGACCTAGAGACTTATCATCAATAAACAAATGATAATAAATATTCCATAACAGCAGGGTGTCCGTGTCTTCACAATCCAGTATCAAGGTGAAGAGTAAAACATTACGGGCTACAATGGCACTTAGCAGACAGACAGACAATTGTCATCAGGAAAGTAGGCTATCGCTTACCTATAACTGCAGACTGGCTATCACAACAAGTGAAATCGAGTGCGCGAGGTTCTTGTGTCAGGATTAGCCTTTCTGATAATCTTATTTGGAGACATCATCACTACATACCTGATGAGCTATTCATGAAGCAAGTGAACAGTATATGACGAACATCTCCGCAACCAAGAAGCAGAAGGCTTGCAGACTCGTCATGAGGGATATCCTGTGTCAGATTGAGAGCAGGGGTGCTGCCAATGGCATGGAAGAAAGAAAACAGATTAAGAGGAACAGGCGCAGCCATGGAGTACTGCTAGTACTGCATATGCAGGATACAAAGAAGAAACTTCTTCAGAAGCTACTGGGGGGAGGAACAACTGCCAGGAGTGTGCAGAGACGAAAGGCCCCGGAGCTCGAGCGTAGGGTGTTGGCAGATGAAGGATCTCAAGCTGCTGAGGATGAACATTGTAGTGATGTGGTCGTTGATGGGGCAGTCAACAAGAGATCCCACCCCACCGCAACCCAACAACACATTGATTGACCCGAAGACACCTCTTTGTCTGTTGCTCGGGTTGCTGGAACATTCGGTGATAAACTCAAGCGAGAGTCCCCCGCTATTACACATCCACCAGACACTTCTGGTGTTGATGGCTAGAATCCAGTCCATAATCAGTTTTGCAGGCTGCTTCATTGCGACAATCAGTTCTTCAATCGCCTTTCTCCTATATAAAATCAGTCAGATCCCGATAATGAGCTGAACTTCCAATTCCCCTTTAACGTGTTCCTCGACTTTGGCATGCATGTTGCCTAATGGAGCCTCCTCTCCATGTTGTAGCAGGAGGCGCAGTATCAGATTTTCATATAAAGATTAGTTAAATAACTAACTATACTATCTAGGTGTGACGCTCGGGCAACCTCCGCACTTCATTGGTTCTCAGACACAATGAGCCGCAGGGGTTGAATATTCAGAGTGTTCAACAGGAACCCGATTCTATACATCGTCGGAAGTAAGCAAGAACAGAGTGTGCGGAGAGACTAGAAATAAATGGGAATTTCTTAGTTGAATTAGCTCGGGGATTATGCTAGCTCTCCTCCATGCGAGTCCCTGTAACTATCTTTCAAACAGGACGGTCATCATGGCTATCAACAAGTGGATATCAACATCGACATCATTCTGCTCTTTCCATATAAAAGAAGGCGCAAATGCTCAACTACTGGGCACAGTTGGCCACTTCGGACTGATGAGAACCCTCGGGACGCCTCCATGAAGAAGTAACAACGGCTATGCGCTTTATCTGCTGAAGTTGAAGCATGTTGTGACTCTTGTCGGCACATTCATCCAGGGGCCAGCGACTTTCCAGGGACTCGGTGAACATGATAAAGAGGACTAACGCAGTGATGACTATCAAGAATAGTTTGCCGGGTTGAAATGTGTCCTAGATGTCTTTATCTTCTTCCCATTCAGTTTGACAGCCATCAATCTATCAATCTCTGCTTGTCAGGCTGCGTGTATACGCAATCGTACATACCATCGATAGCCATTGAGCTTGTCCACTTGTTCCACCCGTTGCGGCTAGAGAAACTACAGGCTCTATAGTGAACATGGAGCTGGCGAGAGCTCTATTGGATTCTAAATGCCAAGTGGCTGAGATGCACTGCGTCGCTTAAAGATAGTCCGTATCTAGCAAAAAACCGATAAACTCATCCTCACGTTTCTGGTTTGGATTTATTTCATTCAGGTAATGAACAGATCCCAAAAGAAGTGGACAACACGAATTAAATAAACTAAAACATACCATATTCGGCCTTCAAGAAGATACTGAGCTATCAGGAAACCAGTATTTTCCCTTATGGGTTCCATAGGCCCCATTGCGCAACTATTTAGTATGGCGGCCTTTCTCGATGCATTTAATCAAACTAGTTCTTAGGATGGGGATTTCGCAGGGAGCAATGGCAGCATCTCGCAGCTTTTCAGAGCTTCTGTCAAGTCGCTTCTTTCTAGGTCTCTTAGACCCCACCGTTCTCTACGTTCTAGAAAGAATCACATCCAACTAAGCAGCCTTGCTATCTTCATACTACCTCCTGGCTTCCCCTCTTCGGCGGAATCATAACATCACTCACTGCACAACGGCTGGCTCGTCAGCGGGCAACATCATAGAACCTCTTCCTTTTTAGAAAAAGTAGATCCACCAGGTTGTTGTCCTGGTTTACACAAAAATGCTAGGGATCTTTGTCGCTCTAGTGGGGGTTGTGCTCATAGAAGAAGGCAATTTTGGTTTTGTTGAACAAGATTCAACGGGAGAAACGTGCTGCAGGCGGGAAGCGAGAGATGTATAAAGATCGGTCGATGGAGGGAAAATAATTGTTGGCGCTGATGAAACGTGATAACGGTGTGATGCAGGATTCAGCACGAGATCGTTCTGGAGAGAATACTCTTTTGGGCTGACTGATCAGGAGAACAATTGGTTTGTGCAGATTTACTGATTCCATGGTAAGTGGCCTTCCTGCGATTATCAAGATCCTTTCTATCTAGAGCTACTTAAATTGTGTAGGTTATGTTCCCATCTAAGGACCTGGGATTAGAGTGTTAGGCAAAGCAAAATGTGTGGGTGGATATTTGAGAGATTAAGATCTATAATTCTACAATGCACAAAGCCTTCACTCCAGGGCATAGATGTTGCCATTAACCGAGCTATAAATCATGTGCCTACAACCGAGTTCCATAAAATAGAAACAAAGAGAAAGCAACAAAACAGAAATATTCAACAAATGAAAAACAATGACACGGTATATAGGTATCAGTGTTAAGCCTCCCATTAAACCATTGTGCCACCACCGACATAACAATTCCGACTCGCAAGCTCCATATTAACCGCCATCGCCAGCGCCGTCACCTCCCCATGCGTCTTCTCAAGCGTTGTCTCAGACTGGTCCGCACTCCCGATGAAATCCATATAAACCACATTCGGATACGAAAAGGGAGTGAAAGCGTGATACCCGCGCCAGAACAGAGGGTCATACCCCAACTCGATAGATTGGTCAGCAATAGTTCTTTCGAACACGCGTGAAAGCGTCAGGGTCCAGGAAAAAATGTGGAAAGTGTCCTTTCGTTCAGTGGTGTCTGACACGATGTTGCGGTTTCCTTTGAGCTTGGCAAGTTGATCATCGGCCATGGCTGCGGGATCGTCGCTGTTGGAATAACTGTCATACCGTGGGAATTGGCGGTTTGAGTAAATCCCCTTTTCTGGGCGAGTAGGTCCTCCTGATGCAATGACAATGACGGCAGCTCCGCCAGCGCCAATGTAATCATTCATGGTCCTCTCGGTCAAATCCCCTTCAAGATTACCTTGAAGGTACTTAACGCCCTCGAATAAGTCGAAGGTTTTACTCCACTGTTCATCATTGAAGGGTTTATAACCATTATCCGTGTCAAGGGTTAGGTCGAGGTTAATGATGATTAGTTCTGGATTCTCAGCAGTGAATCTGTAAAGTTCACATTATTAGTCAGGGTTAGAAACATAGGGTGCATCAATAAATCCCAACCTATTTATTCCGTCAACAATTTCCTGAATCGACTCCCCATTACCACCTTGCCATCCAATTCCAAGCACGTCTACATAACTGTAATGGCCTGTGAGGTATTTTCCTCCGTTACCAATGGCAGGACGAACATCGAAATACCTAGATCCTCTTCTCAGCTGGTCATACACACTCAGATACTGAGTTAGGGTATTCCCTTCATCGGCAACTGAATTGGTTATCATTAGTGTCACAATCTCAATTAAATGTTGTTTGGAGGAAGGGGGGACGAACATTGAGTGTGACCATCTAACTTCGACATTCCAGCATCATGGCTTCCAGGCATGCAGACATGCTTTACCTTTCGATCCCCAATAATATTTAGTATCGATGACATCCACGCAACGGGTGGGCTATGGCTCGACCAATACCCTTCCTCCTCACTACCAGTCAACACCCAGTTAATCGCCCTCATGCCCCCATAACCCCCACGGGTACGATAGTCAAGAGAAGTACCCCTTTTGACATCTTTGGTCTCTAAGCCATCGTATAAAACTCGAAGATGGAACGCATTTTCCGGGTCATCCTCATAAAATCTGGCCCAAATTTGAAAAGATTTGTCGGTTCCATCAATTTTGTAATATGCCTCACCTTTGTCATCATATCTATTGGAAGCACGCGCAAATTTCCACTCACCTTGAATGGATTCTCCTACGGCTTCTTAGCAAAATAATTCGTGCGGCTGGCCAACGACAGGGTTGACTTACCTGCAGGAACATTGTGCCACTTCCACTGATCCAATTGATACGAATGGTTATATGTGAGCATCCAGTTGTATGGAGATCCATTGACCAACGTAAAATATCCATGGTCAGATTTACCTGGCCGGCCCATGACGGGGATATCGGGGGGATATTTTCCTCCAGGGACGTTGACTTCCGGAGGAATGTTCGGACATTGACGTCCACTTTTGTCAGGACTTGTCGGTGTCGTAAGACCTCGGGCACCTCTGTTTTGGAAAGGATCAATAACGGTGACTTGGCTCCAATATGGGTGGTAGTCGACAGCCAGATTATCCTGCGAGGGGACTTCGGATCCGTCGGATGTGAGCATATTGGTAGCTCCAATAGTTATTAAATTGTGAATTCGAACACGAGGGCCATTTCCTTTCAACTCTATCAAAGCGTTTTGGCAATTGCGCTTATCAACTGTACAGCATTCGAGTCGAAGTTAATAAATATGCATATCCCCTTGAGATGCAATATATCAAGAAAGGAAGGACCTGTCCACGGGCTCGGGCGTGCATTTACGTACCACACTCCTGTGTATAAGTGGTGAACCACGAATACAATCCAGCTCCCGCAATATAAGTCTGAGACGAGTTAATAATTCGGAGTCCCCACGAAGCATCGCATCCCGGTGTACCATCACGGCAACCGCCAAAATCTGGATCACCAGGCAAGACGCCAATAGCACCTTCAAACGGTGCTGGCGGCTTGGGGGTTGGCTGATAGTATGGAGACTCAGTCTGTATCATGCCTGCAAAAACGTTCTTCGCCTTGTAAAAATTGTACTGGTAGTAAATGGCATGCTCGGACGATGTGCCATACAGCCAGGTAGCTTCGGCACTCTCAACTAGTAAACCTCTGGCTGAGTAGACGGAAGTTTGAACCTGATACATAATGGATTCAGACACATGCTTGTATGTATCCAGAGGGTCGATATACCTACCATGGTATTGTTATCGTCTTGCAGATGTGGGTCATCAATATCATGATCTGCAACCCAAAGCCACACATTTTCCATGTATGCGGACGACGACTCTGTAATGTGCATCATTAGGCTGCCAGATTTGCAGTCATCACTATTCACGCCGTTCCTAATGGCAGGGCACTCTGTTGATGTAAGTTTGGTTCCACTAGCTCCACCAATACGCACATGGGAATCTGTATGTCATTAGTTACGGCCCTAGCAGCAGTGCAACCACAAAAGGGGAGAGAGGAGAAGTTTAACATACCCCACATGCCGGCAGATCCCGGACTTGAAGCTTTGATATTCCATTCTACTAAAACAGCTCCCGCAGTCGGCCCCTTTGTGGTGAAGAGCAAGTCCTGAATCTCCACTTCACCAGTATCGCCAGGCTGTCCGACCAGGACCAGAGAACGCGGCGCTCTATATATTGATGTAAGCAACTATATTTTGAAATTCATGGCCCAAAATCCTCCTCACCTTTCATCTTGGAAGTTGGGGCCAGAGGCAACTAATTGGGACCACCCTTCTCCAACAATTCTTGCTCCAACTGGGATGATGATTGTATCAGTCAAGATATATGAACCTGCGTCGACAAATATAATTCGGTCTGTAGAGTGTTCACGCAATACCCTCTGGAATGCTTCTGTGTCATCGGTAACACCGTCTCCTATTTGGGGTTAGTAAATGGAAGAACCGAACAGCTGGAAGGAGAGAACCTTTCGCATAATCCTTCATGTGAACAAAATCTGAGACAGGAACTCCCTCATACTGAGGTCTGGGTCTCTCAAAGAAGGGTGCCTTAGGAAGAGCCGAAAGTCTATCTGCAAGTAAGGTCGACTCTCTTGAAGTATCAAAGCTCATTCCCAGGGTAAAATCTCTCTGGGAAGAATCAAAATACACCGGACCAAGAGCCCATGTATTAATGCTTCCAACGCTTCCAGCAAGATACACCTTGCCCTGGTTGTCTGCGACAGCATTTCTCACTTTGTCAAAGGCAACATTGTCCAATGTTATTCCTGTGGTGCCCTTGGCCCTTTCCTGTTTTGCAGGAAACGTGAGGAGGGCAGTGTCCGTATTTCTAAAGATCGAATCTAAAACCATAATCGACCCAGAGCGAGGAACATTATCCTCAGACATAAGCTTAAAGCCCGTAGTGGATCCTGTGATTTGGATGTTTTTCCAGATCTAGGATTCGTTAGCCTCGAACCTTTCAAGTCTTACAACATTTCAATATCTGGTACATGTTGAGTGAGGTCATCATTTGCTTACCCATCCCCAGTCCCAAATTAGCTGAACTGCTGTCTTGCAATTTGTAAACTGAAGCCTTTGGGCCGTAAATTGCTGATTCCCGCCATCTACCTACTAATCAGTATGTCTTCGTTTATAGATCAGGTTATGGCAGCACTCACAGATTCCGAAATTCCCGCCAGTGAACGTCAGATCACTTAAAATTCCGCCACTGCCATTCTCAGAGACTAATAGGGTCTAATTAGCACGTAGCAACAAATGTAGCCATCATGGAACACTTACATATGGCCTGCTGAGTGGTTCCCGGGTTTGATGAAACTATAAAATCAATATTGGAAAGACTTGTGGCTTGAGCGACCTGATAATGAAGTGCAGCAATGTATGCTCCCTGGTTAGTGGCAGTAATATCGATTCTGAAATTTCGGATCTGGCGATAAAAGTTGGCCTGTACCAATGCGTCAACTCACGGGTAAACCACCTTGAGTTAAATATATAATGATGACCTTACCGTGTTGACGTACCACTCTTTCGCATTGCCGTCTGTGCCATTTCCCCCATTCTCAACATAATGATTTGTTGAGAGCACACCAAGACCAATAAAAGAACTGGCAGCTTTGATAACAGGGCGGTCGTTTGCCTTGGGTCTGTTAGAAGATTTCCGACATGATAGCCTCATTACTTACATTTCCGATTACTTGGCTTCCAAAATGGGTCTCGATGGTGGAACTGACGAGGTAGGTTCCTTAATTATGTGATTAGAATGTCAATTTAATGGATAACTAATGCGTTTGGACTCACCGGAGGGGAAATAGACAATGCTATTCTTGGTGGTAGCGCCATTGCACTTCTCACCACATGTACCAGTGTCGGCGATTGCTCTCTTAATGGCCTCTGTATCATCCTATATAACATGATAAGCATACAGTATATCCCCGCACAAGAACTAGTTTCACTTACATTTACCCCATTTCCAACCGCACCGTAATCTTTCACGTTACGGAAAACCTGAGGCCCCCTATCAGACAATCGTTGAGGCCTTAATATTGACCGAAGCAAATCATACCTTGAAAGAACGATCATTCCCAAATGGCCAGGCTCCTTTCCTTTCTATATCTTCCATCCAGAAGGCATCTGCTCTCCTCACTACTGTACGGTTGTACATGACATCAATATAGGAGTAATCTGCTTTAGACTTGGACGAATCCCTGGTTTCAGCAACAGCCTCAACCTCAGCGATGAGAGCTGCAGCTGCTGCAATCTCCTTACTGATCTGGAAAAGTGGCGGTGGTGGGGCATCTCCATTGGGTTCACCGCGACGTGAAGTCCCAGTTCCAGGCTTGAGCTGATAGTGATTCCTCAAAGGATGCTCCAGTCGGGCCTTGTTAAGAGCAGAAGCCTCCTTGATGGCATCATCCACAATGCGCCTAGCCTCGTCGATGTCGAGCTGGGTAGCTTTCGCAACACTAGGGGGAAGTACAACATTCGTCCCAAGTTGGTTCCTTGGCACAAGATCATGCATCTTGTTTTCATGCGCATTTCGCAGAGGATTAATCAAGACTGGGGACATGACTGAAGCCAAAATTTGAAGGGACAACAGTGTCCAGATAAGCAATGCTTGCAAGAGCCCATGAGAGCGGGTCGCCATGGAGGCGGTAGCAAGCTGACAGCACGGATATTATTGATTTAAAACATGCAAGGGACACAGATTGAGCCGATGTAGTGAGTTGTGTGAAAAAAGAGAGAACAACAGAACCGTATATGATATGTCCTGATATAAGAACAGATAAAAAGGAGAGTCAACCTCAAGGGAGGTCAGATTAGGCTTGGCGGAGTAAGTTGTTCCCATAGGCAATAGGTATCCAGGGCAGCGTAGGAGAGTCTTCCCAAAGGGGAGGGCGTAGTGGGAAAACAAACCCTGCATCCCGGCATTAGTTACCAGCAGCTGCTAGAGTGATCATCACCCTCACCTCCACCGTCGCTGTCATCTTCATAGTGGTAGGCATGGAGACCATGAACAGCTACCAGGGACAGATGTGTGGGAGATATGGAGATCACCAATGTCGGGCTTGTGATTTATCACAGCCCCCATCCCAGGTTTCTATCTATTGCTTGATTCTTAGGCCACATGTCGCTCCCATTAAATCCCACATATTTGCAAATCTCGCCCTGACAATCGAAGACATGTTGCACCACAGCACACAGAGCAAACACATCTCATGTAGGATTTTCATAGCATTATTGGCGCATTCTCACAGCATCTTGTTTTGTTCTAGGGAGGTATACTCCTGGGGGGGGGGGGAAAGGGGGAGAAGGGAATAAGTGTAGTCCACCAATAGCTTTGCAAGTTTGCATTCCGAGCGCCCCCTGTCACATCGCAGATCATCTTGCCAACCAGATGATTACTTTGAGCATTTATTATGTCATGGGACGGAGACTACAACCATACCAAACCTACACAGATCAGTCATCATGATAATTTGTGTGCTTGAACTATGATGCAAACATAACTGGTTGCGTTGGCCAGTGCCACATGGATCCAGACGCATCGCTCGAGAACAGCCGCCGGGAAGGTTGAGATGTGAGTACGGATATTGGAATATCGGGGCATCGAACGAAGGTATGTCATCTGCAAAACTGAGATCCTAAAAAAAATAATAGAAAAGAAAATGAAAACGACATCGACAAACAGCTTCCGGAGATAATTTAGCACTTTTTAAAGTCTAACGTCGTGTAAAATAATAAAAGGCCGCGAAGGAGCTTGAACATCAGGAACACCCTCGATTCTCCAAAGGAGCATGAGAAGATTTATCCTATCACCCACGGTATTTCGTAGAGCCACACACAACAGACTAGACAATTTTGCAAGTTTCATTCAAGCAGCCTTGAGATTTTGTCACCTTCTGATGTCTCTGGCTGGGAAGTGGTCATACTTCCATCCTTTCCCCTCTTGAAGTCTTGAGGTAGATATCTCCGCTGCGAAATAAGACCATGGGGGAAAGAAAAAAAGCGATTGATTGTCAGTCCTCTCGTTCATATATAAAATTGTATTGGCCCCGGACAATTCGCAGATCGTATGCAAAATGATCAAAGGGTAGCTGTCTTTGCGATTAAGCTCAAGATTTTCGGCTCGATGTGAAACCTTCCTTGCTGTAGGCAACTTAACGAACTTAACGGACGAACGTAATCCATAAAGCGAGTCGACTTTTTCGACTTGGGTCGAAGTTTGGTATTTCTTGTAATTACGCCGAAAGCATGTACGGAAGCAGTATTGTTTAATAATCCCACCCAAAATAACTAAGTCAGTTAGTTGTTCTAGTTTTGAATGCATATACAGAATAGAATATACGTTTGAAAAAGACACAGTTACCCATCGAGGCGGATGAGTTAGAGAATTGAAAATGGTTGAATTGGTTTCTTGCTTGCTTCGGAATTACGTTGCATAAATTATCAATTATGTGGATATTCAAATACATAGGTAAGACTGGGTGCCTTCGTTAACTAAGCGAGCTGTCTAACAGGGCCCCAACATATCCAGCCAACTGCGGCTGATGGAATACATCTTCCTTCATACGTATTGTTGGATTCTTCGCTGTGAAGACGAGTTAGAGCGGAACAAGGATAATCCGGGAGTAAACTGTGTTTTACTCCATTACAACCAGATTGCACAAGTTGATACAAAGATACTGACAACCTTTCTTACATTTTCAACCGAGCTTGAAATCCTGTTTCCACCTTAGATATGGGAACAGTATATGTATCTTGAACTGGGTCAAGAAGGAGATGGGATCTGCAGATTTCATCTTTACCTCTTTCTCTCATGCTGTGAGAGTGAGATGCACATCAGAGTGCATTTACGTGCTCTTTTCATCATGCTCTGAAAGATGACTATCTTACTATATCAAAGGTCTATGTCATTGGCAAAACATTCGCATTCTTCTAGAAGTATTTTATATGAATTGATTTATGTTTTTGAGATTATATTTTCATATAGCTGTTCAGGTAGCTACATAGACTACTCTTGAACATTATGTGTTGTTATTATCTCATGAGAGCCTGAATGATTCTTACTTCAATCAATGCAAGTGCATGCTGAACTTCACCTTTTCAGTTATAAAACCCCTTCAGGCTCTCTGTTTCCAACTCCTCCCAGGCTCAATCTGGAACTCCTCAAAATGTAGGACAGCTCTTCCTATGTTCAAAATGGCTACGGAGAGATACATCCTCCCCCGCACTTCGCAGCAAGGCGGAACTCAATCAAAGATCAGAACAACCGGGACAACGAGAACAACTGTCAGAGCCATCGATTGCAACCTACAAGCTCAGAGACATCGATGCATATTATGGTCACTTCTATTGGAACTACTTTCTCAACCGCATTGGCAAGGACAAGAATATAAATCCTTTTTACAAGGCTCATCCAAAAAGGAGGAGCCTCCTCCCCATCAGCCCACCCATGCGCAACCCTCGACACCTCCGCAGAAGAGCCGGAAACACTGGCATACATTAATTCTCTTCGACCGAGGACACCCATACTGGGAAACCAAGCGCGGAGTCTTCTGCAATGAAAATCTCCATCTTCTTCACGGAACCAGCTGTAAACACAAACCCGTGTCCTCGTACCAGCACCCCAGATGACAATAAACAACAACAGTACCACTTCCAACAGTAACGAAACAACCCACACTTACACCACTAGCTACCCAATCTTCGTCCAGCAGCCAGATTCTGGCCAACGCCAAACCACCCGCTCCATCCACGCCTTTGCAGGCTGTTACCTTATCTGCGCCATTCGCTATCTAGAGCCATATAGCCGCCAACTCGCTGCGAACGTAGAGATGAAGTTTGGAGCCGACTCCAGGAATCCAGAGAAGTGGATTGAAAAGTTCTCGTAGTGCTGGACGGTCATTACAATGCTTCTGGATACACGTCATGAAGGGGAAGGGGGCGGAGCACCACCACCACCACCACCACCACCTATTGTTGATCTTGAGGCAGAGGCTGCGGCCGAGAAACGGACTGTCAATGAGATTTTGGCGGAGATGAGGGAGTTGGGAGACTTTGTGGGTTGATGTTTTGGGGGGGGATTGAAAATTAATTGGGGTATTGATTATCTAGGTTACTGGTGGCATAGTTTGTGCAGTAAAACGAAGGGACATTCATATATACTGAGCAGAGTGTTTCAAGGAGCAAACTTGGGAGGTACCCTGCAAATACTGTCATTTGAAAAACGTAGTATGAAAGGGGTGATTCAGGATCGTCAAGATTGTGAGAAGCTCGAAAATTTAATCAGTTGAATATGTGTTATTGCCTCTCTCCTTCCGTCGGTCATCATATCCATGACTCCGCTAGGCTCAACTCCATGTCAATGATGATTAAGATTCTACAGATAGATCATGAATAAGGCATGCTGTTTCGCAAGGTGGTGGAATTGGCAACGAATATTTTATTATTATGTCTTATAGACCCTTTGCGGATCCCCTTCACCAGACCTCTTACCAAATCTCGATCAGTCGAAATGAAAGTTTCCCCCGGTTACCACTGAAATGTGCAGGAAGCCGTCGTCATATTTGCACATTCTGCGAACTACCAATGAGGGTTTTGCCTCACAGTTCTTGCCAGTATCCGGGAGGTAACCTCTCAGTCTGTCCATTGATCGGTGTTTTGAAAACTTTGGAATATTCATCTCTTTCGAAAATTTGAATTCGAACCGATGTTCTTCCAGACATGAGCCAACATTTTGCAGGATGAGCATTTCAATGTTCTCCAAAACAGGGCATTCATTGGTGTTGCAGAAGGAAAGGGTATCTTCCTTGGTTATTCCAGCCCACCTGCATCCGTTCAACCCCTATCCTGTTTAAAAAAAAAAAAAATTGCACTGGCACTAGCACTGGCACTGGCACTAGCACTGGCACTGGCACCAGCAACCCACTTAATCAACAACCCTACATAGAATTCTTTCCTATGATAAATTGACAAGAATTGCCTGAGCAGCAACGTGAGAAATTACAATAATGAGCGAGATCCATATTAACATACAACAATGGTGTCAAAATGAAAATTAAATCCGATTCCCATGCGACAATACGAATCGTTACACGGTTAAGCTCACAACATGATATCATGTTAGCAGGAAGCCAGCATCTGCATAAAATAGCCAAAAAGTCCAGAAATTCAGCATTCTTGTTGGATTAGGAAATGAAAACCATCGGCGCGGGTTTTTTTCAAGATCGTTTGGCAGGATACACCACACATGCGTCCTCTGACTGGCTGTGGTTGGAAGCCTGCTCAGTGGTAAATCAAGAGTTTATCGGGCATAGTTAGTTAATCTACAAGGCACTGAGGAAGGAGTGAACGCTCCAGTTAGTTAACTGCAGGCTGAACAAAATCATTGGCTGAATCCTGAACGAGTTGGTTCGAATCTTTTCTTCAAATGATATCTGTTGTTCAACCATGGAACCAAGTATGTACTATTGCGGCGGGACATGCAGTTGTCAAAGATTAATGATTCTATTCCATTACAATGATAATACGAGATCGGGTTGTGGTAATAGGCGTTGTTACACATACTCTGTACACTGTTCTCTGTAATTGTTGTCATGCTTCAACAGCTCCGAGTTATCCGTCTACCCGTCCACACGAAACAATGTAGGGATGTGATCATTTGAGATAGTTAAGCAACTTGCAGCAAGTAACTACAAGGCTGAAAAAAGGGGAAACGAAAGCGCTTCTGATTAGCCTTCTATCAATACATCAATAATCGAAGCCGCGGTTACCTGACGGCAAAACAAATACACCACTACGCCTGCAACAGAAATTGCTGTTGTTAGATAGTGAAACCCCTTCTGAGCTAAGTTAGCTGTCTTGCCATCGATGCAGGGAAACAGGGAGAGATGGTGTGGGTAGTTTGCCTTTAGGCCTGATAAGGTAAGTAAGCAGCAGTGTGAACCATCGCGAGCGCATGCATGCTGTTCTACCACAAAGGACAATAATGCCGTCCACATGACTGATTCTGAGGAATGGAACCTGATGACATCCAGTTTATGCAATGGTGGTTTTCCCTTTGAACAGCTGTCAGTGTCAGTGTCAGTGTCAGTGTCAGTCGGAACAAAAGGTCAATCGTTGGATTTGTCAGAGAACATTGAAGTTGAGTTAAGCGATCGATCGGTCAGCCACGGCTGGCAGATGATAGTTCGTTCACTTTCCTCCTTCAGCTTGTCACAGCGCGCTGCAGAAGTGGAGAACTGACATTGGAAACGCCCGAGGTTATTCGGAACCTCAATTATTTCATGAAACATTTAACCCTGTTAGTTACGGCATCCTTGGATGAATTAGATACGGGGAGATTTATCGTGCCTTGAGTCCTGCATCCCTTATCTTCCGCGGTCACCAACTAAACCCTCACCAAAGAACATATAGTCTTTATTTTTAAGTCACAGCTAATGCCCAGACCCTCGTTTTCTTGGAGACGTTGAGCTGAACGCACACACAGCATTTTGGTTTCTCCAGGCGATACCGCACCACACCGAAACGAGGTCTTCCGTTTGCCCTTGTTTGTACTAGTGAGGCCCGTTCTATGCATGGAGATTTTAGCTTGGTGAGCGCCACAAGCGATAGCAAGTGCTTTGACCCTTCGGGCACGCTGTACCAAGATGCGGGATGGGATCTACTATTATTTTGAGCCTTCTGATCCAAAGGGGCCTCCTTTGTCTGTGGACGAGAAAATGATAGCGGAGACACTCCCCCATTATTGATTTTGAGCAATCTGCCAAGGGTATAAGGAGTGAGACGTATCATCCATGGATGATTGCGAATAACTGAATGCCTACAGAGCACAAAGGTACGTACGGATCTATGGAATTTACGGTTGACCATGGTTAGTGAGCAGGATAATAACAATTAAGTTCTTTTTATCGTAATTTATTGAACAGTTCTTGGACATACGGAGAAGTAAGGAGCATGAATAATAATAAACAATGAACTGTATCCATGGATGAGAGAGATAATTTGACGAAGTAAGAAAATAAGAGAAAAACAGGAGAGTTCGTTCCTCCCTCAACTTTTTTAAATGCGAACCCACTCTCATATCCGCCCTTGGTCCCCTGGGATTGACAATTGCTCCGTCCGCTCACCTAAAACAAATCCTGGTCCTTGCATCCTGAAAATTGTCCTCGTTCGTAATCTATGGATGCTCAGAGTATGCATATTCATTGTTGCTTGTTTTCGTATACTGATGGCGGAACCGTGACTCTGCAGTGACGTCATCCGTTGCCCGTAACGGGGACATGTATATACTTTTTTGGATTTTCTTCTCCTTGAGCCAACTGGGCCAGTCGCGCTTCCGGCACCGACAAACTTACTCTCTCTCTCCTCCCCCCCCCCCCCCCCCCCCAAGGTTTCGCCAAACCAGAAGAATGCGTGGTGGAAGTGGTAGTGGTACCTAGCCTTGGCATCGTCATAAATGAACTAGATCCAATTTTACACCATTTTTTGTATTGTGTGTTTTATGTTTACTGGCTGTTGTGCCTGACATTGCAATCTAAGTTATTACCCCACAGATCTACTTGTTTTCTAGGCTTATGTATTTATGTTCTCAGCTTAAAGTTTGTGTCAAGGGGGGATTAACTATTAACAAAGGCCCTCGCTCTCTCCCCCCCCCTCTTGGTTGCCGCCGTTCCCCTCTTTTCTACTTCAGAGTCCCATCCATATCTATCTTTCTTCCCTTCATTCCTTTAGGTTTTTATTAATTGTATTAACCGAATTTCGTCCATTATCGATCTCGTCTTCTTCCTCCTCCTTCAGACCAACACCAGAGTTCCTTTTAAGTTTCAACATTTTCGGACTCTCCCACCCAAGACGGCTTATAAATCTCCCCAATTTGTTAGCCAAATTCGAGGCATTTCGAATACAAACCAGCATCTTACATCTTTCTGACCGTCTGACTTCCCAAAAAGCAAGCGTTTTCACCAGACCTGCTGTTCCTCAACAGTGAGGCGTCATGTTGAGTGATCGCTCGACTATCTCATACACATACTCGCAACCCGCTTTCTCAAAACATGTCTCCCTCCCTCCGGCCCAATTCTTCTCCTCCCTCCTTTTCCCACTCCCGTGTGTCACCCAAACCGAAACAGCACATCCACTTGGGCAATCTGCCACGCTTCCACCCAGCCGTCTACCAATCTACCTCAAATAACTCCCATCGACCTCCATCACCCCTTCAACAACGTCCCACACAACCATATCGAATCTCCCCCGGCTCCCGAGATGTCCTGCGCCAATACTGTGATTTCGTTGCAGGTGCCTCCCTCAACCCTCGCAACTCGTCATCGAGTGCCGGCATGAAACCTTCAAAGCCACGACTTGATCCGCTTGGCAGTCCTGGGCCCGTTACGCCTCTAGCGTTGGAGGAGGAGACCAAGGGCGGTTATTTCGATGCTGGAAGTGCCAATTCCCCAAATTGCTCTGCGACTGTATCTCCGCAAAAATTGGTCGAGAAGCTCATTCAGCATGACTCGGAGAGGTTGGGGTCCCAAGACTCCTCGAGGAAGGAGAATAAAGTACTGTAGCCATGGAGACAACAGGTCTCTGATTCCTCGCTACCCAACACGCGCTACCAGCCCGCACCACCGCAGCGTCTCAGAGGGGCTGGCTCCCTTGCCTTTTAAATCGGGTTGCTTCGTACACCGCGCCAACTTCATGCCAACTCCACGTCCACTCTCTCGATTTGCTTTCCAAGATGAAAGAGCGAACAGAAATCGAATATAGAGAAGCCAGTTCAATCCAATTGTTTTGATGCATAGCACCGGTATATCATCTTGATTTCTTTCTGCCCTGTGTTACCTTGAGTTTGTGTGATTTTGGTTACCACGTACCAGTTATGGGAGCTGGACCCTCCATAGCTTGCGTAACGCAACGAAAACACTTCCATCCATTATATTCTTCAAAAAACAAACAGCAATAGTAGAGCAAAAGCCTACAGACAAAAAGGGAAGGGATAGGGATTAACAGGAGGGTGGCTTTTTTTTTCTTGCATGTTTATTTTTATCCTCCTCCTGGTCCCCTACTTTGACCTGACTGCTCATCTAGAACTGCATACATTCGGGTTCCTGATGCACAAGCAAATGACCTGGTCCATCGTGAGTTGTCACCCTTTACACCCCTGCTTCCCTTGCCTTACATCCTTGATATTATGCCCTCCGGCTATGATCATGTATTATAAGCTCTCTTCTCCGTCCCTCGCTTTTTGTCTGACAGTTAGCTGCATTGTTTTCCTTCCGAGTTGCGTATACCCTCGCTTTTGTACTTCGGTGTACTTTTGTTTCAATTTCATCCATGTCAATTTATGTGTGGACGTGAACATATTGCGCCTCCTTGATCCTAATATTTGTTCTTACATATTGGATTCTTGATTCATCTCTAGATATTCATGCAGATCAGCAAGGGCAATAATGTTACCCTCTCCACCGTATTCAATATCCCACCGCATGTAAAACTTAGCTTGAAGTTTAAAAGTGTTTCGTTTCGTCTTCTCCACATTTATCTCCTAATTGTTTCCTGTCCCCCTTTTTTTCATCCGTCATCCATCGATCAAACCCACCCTTTGGCAGAACTGCACATCAACCCAATTAGTTTGGCAACAACGACAGTCATTGCCCCGTTCATCATAACTTGTCCTCGGAACTACTCAACATCTGCACCGCCTCGTGGGTCTCTTTATCGTCATAAGTCTCCACCCTCACACCAAAGATACTGCAGATCCTACATGGGTAGAAGAGGCCCATGGAACCCCCACATCGCCATTTTTCAGCCGGGGTAAGTCCGGAGGATTTGAAAAGAAGAGAAAAGAAATTAATCCAAACAAAAAGCGGGGAAATCAAAACGAAAATCACACTGGTGCCCCCGGCCAGGTTCGAACTGGCGGCCTTGAGATCGCTCTGATAGTTATTGCTACCTGATCATATTATTGAATATGAGACTCACGTGATAACCAACTACACCACAGAGGCTTGTGATGTCGTCTATGAGCAGCGAACTTCACCGCTTTTATATTCCACCATTGATTCTTCCAGGCTCTCAAGGGCCAGGAACGACGAAGATGTATTCCAAAGAGATAATCATCCTTATGGCATTGCCGGGATCTGTATCACTTGTGTGCTGGGATGACTGGGAGGGCAGTCTTAGGCGGTTATCTATATCTCCTGCTTTAATTGCTCCACGAGGGACAGACATTTTATCTTAAACTAGTTAGTTATACGTCCGCACACTATCTCAATAAAAATACGGTCAAACAAATCCATTTTTCTTTTTACCGTTCACTACCGCGTTGACCCTCATCTGTTGCTGAACAGGATACTCTCTGTCCATTCTGAAGGAAGTTCTGATGAACACCCCATGGCCTCCTGACTTGCCTGGTTTTGAGTTTGAAATGGCAGCTGGGTTGGTCTGCGCTATACACTTCTTCACATCCTCACTGTTCGCTGGCAGGGGGGTTGATGGGTGCAATTGATGTATATCTAACTAGGTCAGTATTTACTATTGATGAACTTACCTGCGTGTTGTGGTTGGTCGATTTCGTCGCCACTCGAATAAACAAGCTCAATAAAATAAGCCAATTGCGTTCAGGTTTCGTTTAAATATATACCCAATCGTCTATATTGGAACCATTCTTCCTCCCAGACCCGTTCAAGCAGATTGAACCATTGTCACATAGTTATCCATGTTGCAAAATACCGCTTCTCCCTTTCCCCAGCTCTATTGGTTCTCAGTCAGAAGCTTTGGCCTCCAATCTAATGAATCGACCTCAATAACACTGTGTGGGCGCCAATTCCACCTAACACACAATCCAATTTCCTGTAGTACCCGTACAATCACCATAACCACACCTATGGTGTCCAGACATTGCTGACAGTCATATACCTCAAACACAGCCCAACTCCATCCACTGCTCTCTCCACTTCCTGCATGTGAAAAAATAAAATAAAATAATATAATATAATATAATATATCATACTTGCCATAAACCTCCAGCTCTCTTCCAGAATTTCAAAAGGCGTGCTTGGCACTTTGGAAACCTGTGTCCACATCTGCGGGGCGATGCGTCTTGCTCGCCGAGGCACGTCTGCCAGAACTTGTCGATTATGCAGGGCGTTTCCTCAATGACACACAGATCATCTTGGGTGTACTTTTGGTGGACGAAGAGATTGGAGGTTTCGTCAAGGAGCTCTGATTTTGTGAAGGCCGCAGTATTGATTATGACCAGGAGCTCCTGACGATACATAATAGAATGCGTCATCGTCAAGGAGTTAGGTGGTGGGGAGAATTGATGATTGCATAGCTCTTATATAACTTGGATCAAGGTGAGGAATAGAGGATAAGATAAGCGTGGTTGTGTTGGGTAAATTCCGCAGTACCGAGTCGCTAGCCCTAGAGATTATGTTTGGCTCACGGGTGAATTTGAATTATAAAGGGATAAATATGCTCCCTTTCCCGCTATAGGAAGGAAATGCGTAGTTGAAAGAGAACTTACGCCTTTGACCCGATAGCTCATTACATGCATATCGCTTGATAAGTTCAGATATACCCTTCTAGAGAGAGAAAATGGCCATGCTGCTGCTCCAACTGCCCAACCCAATGCCGGCACACAGACGGATGTTCAACTCTTTTGCAACTGAATCCAGCCAAATTTAGAATTCCCATGGATGCAGTCTATCCCGCAGCATACCATCTTTGAAGATTTATAGGATTGAATCAATTGCTATGTCTAATAATCTACTCTTGGATGTAAATGGTACTTTATTCTGGCTCTGACGATCTCAAGTCCGTCTTGAAAAGAACCTGGAAAAATGGTTTGCATCACATGATAAAATCGGCATAAATATGGCCGCTTCTCCCGAGGCCCGAACACAACCTGAACTCCAAAAAAAAAAATTACTCGAGACAAATCAACTTTTCCATGGGAGCAAGACGATGATTTCAGTAGATATACGGAGTATATACAGTTAAAATGCGGGCCAATACCCGATAGTGTCGCTGCTTGCCAAATATATGTTCAGTTACGGAGTATAACGCTCTAAAAACAAGTTTTGGTTTGCAGGGCACCAAATGCAAGGCTGGAGCTGCAAATTTTACCCCTTGGTATCGAACGGAGTGGAGTCTTCTCGTCAGTTTCAGATAATTGAGGATCCATGAATAAAAGTGCGAGTGGAGGAGTTCTCTTATATGAATTTGTTCCAGGACCTTCTGCATCTATACTGCTGTCGTTGTTTCGAGGAACAACAATTCGTATCTGCCACCTTTTGCTGTAGCTGGAAGTGTCGGTTAGGGGCTGGGGGATAGGGGATGGGGGCAGCGGATATCGCAGAGAATGGAGGGACCAGCGCCTTTCGGAAACCAGGGATAGCGAAGCCAAGAGAGAAGAAGGATTACAATGGGTTTGTGGCAGGTGTGTTTTCTGGCATTGCGAAATTGATTGGTGAGTAGGTTCCGTACTTGCGACTGCATCCGAGTCCTTTTCTTTGACGATATGTGGATATAATTTCGGGGACATAAATTAAGATGTCGATGTGGTCATTGAGGAAGATACTTTGCTGGTTGGAGATGATTGTCAATTTTGAGATACAGCTGTTGCTGTTAAGTTTGAAAATCTCGTGTGCTATTGGGGTTCTAACGGGGCCATTCTTTTGTGCTCGGTATTTTACGCAGTTGGACATCCGTATGTCAATATCTTTTTTCTCTCTAATCCCAAATCTGTGTTTCTAACAATCAAAAACTTATTTTTTATATACTCATTGTCTGTGGTATTAAATGATTGACAATCAATGTGCAGGTTCGATACAATCAAGGTGCGGCTTCAGACGACAAAACCTTCACATTTCAAGGGACCCTTGGACTGTCTGCTACAGACTGTAGGGAAAGAGGGCATTAGAGCCTTGTATAAAGGGGCATCACCACCCTTGATGGGATGGATGGTCATGGATTCTGTGTTAGTCATCTGATATGTGCCCATGATAACTATTTCCACTCGGACTCGTCTAATTCTGACATAGGATGCTCGGATCGTTGACTCTTTATCGACGTCTCCTTTTTGAGCATGTCTTTGCTAACCAGCAAATACGACGTCTGATACCTTTTGCTTCAAAGGAAGGTCCAGACCGCCTACCAACCCTTGGTCACAGCCTTGCCGGGGTCATGGCGGGCTCGACGGTGAGCTTCATAGCAGCACCGGTTGAACATGTTAAAGCACGACTGCAGGTCCAATATGCGGCAGATAAGAGAAATCGTTTATATAGCGGACCGATTGATTGTGCAACAAAGATTGTGAGTGTTTTTTTCTTCTTTAACCCTTCAGCCTTTACACTCTCTATGCATCCTGAAGACCTGAATGTCCCGATTAATCATGATATTTCATAGCTTCGCGCACATGGCCTCCCAGGGCTCTATCATGGGCTTTGCGCTACTTTGCTGTTCCGCTCGTTTTTCTTCTTCTGGTGGGGCTCTTATGACATTTTCTCCCGACTCATGAAAGAGCATACCCAACTTTCTACTCCAGCCATTAACTTTTGGGCGGGCGGGCTGTCAGCGCAGATGTTTTGGATCACATCATATCCTTCCGATGTAGTGAAGCAGCGAATAATGACAGATCCGTTGGGAGGGAAGCTGGGCGATGGCGAAAGGAAGTTTCACAGATGGGGGGATGCAGCAATAGCAGTAGGGAAAGAGAGTGGGTGGAGAGGATACTGGCGGGGTTTCCTGCCGTGCTTTCTGAGGGCGTTCCCGGCAAACGCGATGGCGTTGGTGGCCTTTGAGGGAGTAATGAGATACTTGAGATAGGTTGGGAATTGAATCAATTGCGGGGTAAGGACAATTTTGCGTTATTTATACGTGATAGATTGATACAAGATAAAGATGGATACTCTTAATTCCTCAGCATGTGCATGCAACAATGTGTTTAATTATAACCTTATTTATGATCAGGAATTTATATGTATTAATTATATATATCTTAGTATATTTTTGGAAATTTATAGCTGCTACTTATATAGTATATTAATAGTTACTTATAATAAAAACTGATTTGCTTTTTTCTCAGCTATAATTACTACTAAACCTGCTAGAATAACTTTATTAAAAGTTATAGTTATAAAATAATTTGTTTACTAAGAATCGCTTATAAAAGAGTTATAAATACTTCTCATAAAACTCGCTATATATATATATATATCTTGTCTTTAGTTAATTCAGAGTACTGTTAAACAAATTTATTAACTTAGTTAACTTTTACAGTATTAAAAGTGTACAGATATTTTATTTTGTAAGTAACTAGATAACTAATTGAGTGAGTTAACTATTTAAGTCTTCAGTAACATAATTTCAAAGTGAGTGGATCACTCAAGTGAGTAGATCATTAATTCAAAATATTTTTTCATTAAACTATTTCATTCACTTTAATGCATAATTTCATCATCAATTTGCAATAAAAATGCTTCAAATTCTCTTAAAAGAGAAAAAAAACTTGAACTTATGATAAATACTATAAAAAGACAAGAAATATTCTTGATTTATAAAGTTATACTTTTATTTAATATATTATTTTTTATTTTAAATTATTAAATCAATAATTAAAATACTTATATGAATTTACATATAAATTTAATCAAATTAATTCAAACTGAAGAGAATAGACTAGTTGAATAAGTACTGAATGAAATTAAATAAGAATTTCTTTCATAGCTAGTATTTGTTGAAAATACAATTATTTATTTTTTTTACTATATAGAATTTCATTATCTTCATCACTACTCCTCTTTGTATTAGTAAGAACTGAGTGTTAAATCTAGTAAAATATTGTTCAAAGCTTTAGATCTACTATTTCAAAGATTATAATTATAATTAAATTAAATATAAGAATATAAAAATTATTTAAACTTAATTTAAAATATTAAAGATTATATTACTGAGTGTAAGATTTTATTAAAGAATATATATAACTTTGATAAGATTGAATTTGCAATAAAATTCTGTTATTTTAATATTATTATTAATAATAAGTATTATAGTCAGACAAAGCTTCTACAATTTGAAAATTAAAAGTAAATGACTATAATTACATTAATCAATATATAAAAATAAACTTTACTCTTATATATTCAAATGAATGAGATAGAGAAGTAAGAAACAGAATAGATTTAAACATCAAATTTAACATATAGTAGATGTAACTAGAAATAAAACTATGAATTTTATTATTTAATCTACTATATCTATTGAATAAATATTTATTTAACTCTGTAAGTCTTTATCATCTAAGTCTGTATAATATTAATAAGCTTCATAATACTACAGTAATTATGATATTTTTAAATATATAAAAATAAGATATTCTTAATTTAATATAAATTAAATTAAACTAAGTATTATAGTATTGAGATAATTTGATTTAAAATCTAGTCAGTTAAAATATAATAATTTTGTGATTAACTTACTTAAATTATCTGCTCGCTTGAGAATTATATTAACTAGTTATCTACTTTTATTTATAAATATTATTTATGGAACTAAACATTCTTCTTTTGCAGAGATTAACTCTTGATAATTTAAAATTTACATATGAAATTCAATTACAGTCTACAGATTAGAGAGAAATAAAAAACATCATACATCTTTTAATGGCTCAATTAGATGAAATCTGCTTGAATTCATTAGCCCTAACAGCTAACTAGTTAATGAAATGTAAACCTTGATTAGAAAACATCTTTGCTTTGGCTGGCATATCGAATAATATACTGGATAGAGAGGATTGGGATGAAAAGTGATCTGCTCCGTGGTGGATTCCGTTAGAAGTTGTCAGCTATTTATTATCCAGATAGTTATCTGTTGTGTTTTGCATATGAACTCAGAATGAATAAACCCTGTTTGTGCTTTGTTGTTGAGTGATTTTAAGTTAGATCGCCTCAACCTTCTGTGGTTTTGATGATCGATTGTTTAAAGGCTCAATCGAAAAAAGCCCCAACACCAAGCCACCACCACCTGTCATCTTCTTCACCATCCATCAGCTACATCTGTCTCATCCTCGGTCCACGTCCCTCCTTCGCTTGTTCAACCAGAACAACCTTAATAGGTTCTATTTTCCTTCTTTACTTGTTAGATATTTTCCCGCCGCGTTGCCGCCCTCGTGTCCTTCACGGCTGCGGCTTAATTACATCACCTCTTCTTGATTGCTTCAATATGTCCTCAACACCACGACCGCCGTGTAATAGATAAGGATCAGGCTCAGTTCGAAAATAACCAGATCTCTCATTTTCCTTGTGCTGTTTTCTTCCCCCACGCATAGAACACCCCATCCGCTACCTAGCCACCCCAAAGGCTACCATGGCCGTCTTACGTCGAACGAATCCCATAACTCTTATTCTAGCTGGTCTACTCACAATCGGGTTCATTTTTTTCATTTTTTCCCCTTCGTCTGCGGCGTCTAGCTCTTCCTCTCAACGGCGAACAACCTATACCGCTAAGAATCCGCTATCTCCTCCCTCCAAACCCTTCCAACAGGCTGGTCCAACCAAGGCCGATGGCCGTCGTGCGCGTCCTCCCGTTGTCCTATATAACATGAATAACAATACTGTAGCGCGAAACTCAGTCGAAAACCATGAATGGATACTCATTCTTACACCTCTAGCTCGATTTTATCAGGGGTACTGGGATAACTTGATCAAACTTACGTACCCGCGCCAATATATCTCTCTTGGGTTCATTATTCCAAAAACCCGCGAGGGCAATGCCGCAACGTCAGCACTTCAATCTGCTATTAAGATCACACAATCGGGACCCCTTGGCGGTAGATTTGCCAGCATTACTATCCTACGACAGGATTTCGAACCCTCAATCGTTTCCCAGGACGAAAAGGAACGACACAAATTTGAAAATCAAAAGATTCGACGTGAAGCCATGAGCAAAGCACGGAACAGTCTTCTTTTTACAACACTGGGCCCGTCTACATCTTGGGTTCTTTGGCTTGACGCCGATATTGTTGAGACTCCGGAAACCCTAATTCAAGACCTAACGAAACACAACAAACCTGTTATAGTACCTAATTGCTATCAACGCTTCCACAACCCCGAAACGAAAGAGATGGACACACGACCATATGATTACAATTCCTGGATAGACAGTCCGCGGTCATTGGAAATAGCCAACGCCATGGGCCCTGACGAAATCATGCTGGAGGGATATGCGGAACTGCCAACGTATAGGACTTTGATGGCTCACCTAGCCGACAAATCACCAGATCGGGATGTCAATAAAATCATCTCATTGGACGGGGTCGGCGGAACGGCTCTGATGGTAAAGGCAGACGTGCATCGTGATGGCGCAATGTTCCCAGCATTCCCATTTTATCACATGGTGGAAACGGAGGGATTCGCGAAAATGGCGCGGAGGCTAGGGTGGCAATGCTTTGGATTGCCGAATTATTTCGTGAGTTTCCTCATCTCCAGCCACTGTTCATATAATGAACACATTATTACCGTATGCAGCACATTTTGCTAATACATTGCTTTCTTCACAGGTGTACCATTATAATGAGTGAACTGCTTTTCATTCGTCTCCCAACTTCTTACTCATCGTCGTGGTGATTTTTCAGCATCATTTTTCCATTGCATTTTGCGTACTTAATAATTTACTACCTGCTGAATTTTTTTTCTTATTGGAGGTCTTTTTGTTAGCTGTAATTCTCACAGTGCAATACTTTTAAGGTGTTAAAAGATAAAGTGCCCTTTGTCTTTCGTTTTCCCTATTATACCATCCATGGATCGTTTTACGGTTCAAACTTCTTGTATTGACTACGCGCTGGCTCGGCGTTGATATATATATATATATTTCTTCTCCGCCTTCTAATTTACTCTTTTTGCTTTTTGCTATGTATATACCTTGGAGTACCAAGCTGAGAGGACGGCCGTGGATGTTACTTCCAATAGACTTACTTCTATTTCCGAGGAAACTATCACCGTTCACATTGATACATCTCTCTGTCCTGTATCTCAGTTCTACGTCGAAGAGCTATTTTGTTCTGCACTGCTGACAAGCTTCCAGGTTTGCAAAATGGTTTAACAGAATCTAAAGATAGATGATATACCGCATATCTCTCCCTTGGGTCAATTAATGTAATCCCACCCAAAGTGCCTGGTTGAAGGCCATTCAACGCGGGACGGGGATTTGTTATTCACCCTAGAGAACCGAGTCGAATATGATTGAAGTAAACTAGAATATTCTTTAACACAATAACCAGAAATTCGGGTTCATGAATTCAACTTCATAGTCATACCGTTCATATACAGTCGCTGGTTCCGTACACGGAATCCGAGGCGTTTTCCCAGGTCCAATTTAGACAAGTGTAGATCAAAATTGACATGAAATTTAGTTTAATAACGGTGCTATTTCATAATGGGAGGAAGCTTGATCATCGTGATTCCCCTCACTCTGGTATTTCTCCGTGTCGATTCCAGAGGGAAGTCCTTGTTCACGCCCATGATATCCTAGGCATAAAAAACTTGGTAAGAAGCAATATAGACTGGCACACAGTCCCACAATCGAACTTACCAAAGCATAACCCCGGCTCCAGCTGCCATGGCAGCAAACTGCGTTGCCGTTTTCCTCAACTCCTCCCTTTTATTCTTGCCCGTCTCCAATAATTCAGGAATAACCGCAACTGTGCCCACGTATAAAAACGTTCCCGCAGTAAAGGGAAGCAGCAGATCTCCCACTGCTAAACTTGTGCCATGGATTCCGGCCGGAAACGACATCGTGTCAGTGTCTGAGGTGACTCCTGCTCCATTCCTATTGCCAAACTCCTGAACAGCTATGCCAATGAAAGTTCCTAGAAATGCTCCAACGGCAGTGACGAATTGCGCACCCATGGCTTTCCGCTTGGAAAACCCCGATTGGATGAGGAGGGCAAAGTCTCCGACCTCGTGGGGAATTTCGTGGAAGAAAACGGCGACTGTAGTTGTTGCGCCGATGGTTGGTGAGGCGTAGAAAGATGAGGACATGGCCAGTCCATCGGTGATGTTATGTGTGAAATCTGCGATTAAATTTAGATACCCGCCTAGCTTGACGCTAGGGCTTACTTCCTTCTCATCCCCATTATTCGACATGTTGGTGTTTTCAGTTTTCGGGTCACGCTTGCGCTTCTTTAGATCACCTTGGGGGTTCCCGTTGGCGGTTGTGGAGCTAGAGGCTATTGCGACGCTATCTTCTACCACATGCATGTGGGTGTGGCTATTATCATGCCCACTCCCCTCCCCAGTAGCGATACGGAGTGCTTTGTCCATGGCCACAAAAGTCAAGAATCCTACAAGGATAGCAAGCCCCAGGAGCAAGTTTTTATTTGGTTCAACGAGGACGAAACGGACATGTTCTGGTGAATCTTCGCCTAAGAATATCTCCGGCAGAAGATGAAAGAGAGTATCACCGAGGAGCCCGCCTACCGCAAATGCAACCATCACAGAAAGTGAGGAAGGGTCGATGTTTGGGGGACATAATGCAAGGAGGAAATCTGATAGTATTTGTTAGTGCGAGTTTGGGGGCCAGATTCCATATACACGGAGCGCACTGGGTGGTCCTGAGATGTAAAATGTAGCTAATATAGCGTTGACTGCCGGACTGCCAGGGAAGAGCACAGCAAATATTTGGGAGGTGAAACTGGTGGTTTCTGGGCTGGTTGCGAGTTTATGCGCGTTCAGTTCCCGAACGAGGGGGCATTCCTAGTTCAATTATTCATTCAGCTATAAAACTCCAGTGTCCTGTTTATCTTTTTCACCAGCTCATGAGATATCGAGTCCGTACTTGCAACTTGATTTCAATCTCGGGTGCTGTGAGCTCCCCGGCAGGGGTTCCTTTGTATGAACCTTCAGCCGCTACTGAATAAACCAGAAGAAGAGCAGCCAAAACAAACCCGCAATGGCGTTGTGACGTAGAGGCCGGCATCTGTTCAATTGAATCCGTCCAGCTTTAATGCTCGAAAGAGAACAGTGTCTCTAGGAGTGCGAAGAAAGCGAGGTGCACATTATAAGATTTTCTCAGTCAGCCCCAAAATAGGGCAATGCAAGAGGAATGCGGGAGGTTTACCCCCTTTATTATAAATTTGACGCTAAACTATATATAGTAATATACTTTCCTCATACAGTAACAATATTGCCAAATATAGCTTAGCGTAATTGTGATTAGCGCGATCAGATAAGGAAAACCATCACGTGCACTTATTGAATTAAGTAACAAATACATAATGTACTAGCCGTATTAGGTTAGCGTTAGATTAAGTGGGGCCCGGGTGCACCTGATTCTTGGCATCAAACCTCTATGGATTCCCTTATCAATAGGTCAAGATCGACAACCTCATCAACAACAACATCATCATCATCATCATTCCACTCATGTTATATGAACCTTTTTGTATCTCTCAACCGGAGTTATAGCACAGTACGTTCCCGTACTGCTGCGACAGGTTCTCTAATTTTCTGAAGTTCTCAGGTCCTCGTCTTGCGGTTTCGAATTTGACTCTCGTTGATATCATCATGGACGAGTTTACCGCAGACGCTTTTGTCAATAGTGAAGACCCCATTCCAGTCTTTTCGATTAAACATGGCTCAAATGATGGGAGCGCTGGCCCGGCTGAAAAGCCGGGGGGGGATCATTCCACCAGATCAAGGCTCTCCGCCCATAGACTGAAGCAGAAAATCTACGATGTGGCCTCGGATTCCAAGGCAAAGATGGACTGGGGCGCCGGGCCATCCCTACAGGACAGGCTGCTAACAAAGTAAAAAATTGGATTTATCATGCTGTAGCTGTAAACTAGAGCTCGACTAACATTATCTAGGCTATGGCAGCAGGTTATACCTGCGGAAGCATCTGACGAGGAGTCTGATTACACAACGGCGAAGAAATCTTCGACCGTCCAGATTGACCGGCCCGCTTTCAGCCTCCCTGTAATGAGTAATAATTTCCGCCGGTTTAATGCTAGGTACAGCACTCCTATTCGCAGTTCCTAAATGATGGACAGATGACGGACAGCTTTTGTCGCTAACCTTTTTTAGAATCGGGATTGTATTTCTGTTCCAAGCACGTATGATTAATGTTCTGAGTTGGAGGACACCAACCCAAACGCTATCTTTTCTTTTTGTTTATTCATTTATTTGCCTAGATCCGTATTTACTGGTCATTCTTCCATTTGCTGTCTTCCTGCTATTCATAATGGTCCCTGGATTTCTTGCCCGCCATCCTCCGCCTCCTCCTTCTGCATCCACCTCAAGCACCACTGCGTACTACTCATATGAGGGACCGGCGCTTGCCCCAGCGCAAACCATAAAACCAGCCTCAGAGACTTCAAAGGACTTTTTCCGCAATATGAGAGATCTCCAGAATATCATGGCAGACTTTTCGAACCTGCACGATGCCACGGTCTCACTCCTGTCCCCAGCTACTAATTTCTCAAACGAAGTTTTATCATCTACGCTTTTTCTAATGCTTACGATTTTATCCGCTATTCTGTTTCTAATGGCCCATCTTATCCCTTGGCGTATGTTGTTTCTTATTGGTGGAAACGCCGCTATTATTGGAAGCAACCCTAGCGTTGTTGCTTTCATGCAAAATTTCAGTCGTCATATAGAAGATTCATCGGAGGAAGCTAGAAATACAGCCAGCAATGCCTTTTTCACCATTTTTGGAGTACCAGTGCCCACTTCACCGTCCGCCCTGGTGTCTTTACTGAAATCGGCCGCTGCGATCTCACTCGATACATATCCTGAGGAACGAGAAGTGGAAGTTTTCGAACTCCAACACAAAACGCGCTCTCCTTATTCGGCAACATCCGAATGGGAGCCATTCGTCTTCACACCTACACCCTACGACCCTTTATCTCCATCTCGCATTGCAGGTGATCGACCAAGGGGTACCCGATTTTTCGAGGATGTCAAACCGCCACCTGGATGGAAATGGAAGGGCAAAAAATGGCAACTAGACCTCGAATGTCGCGAGTGGGTAATAGAGCGGATGATTACAGGCGTCGAATTTGAAGTTCCCGGCTCCAGCTGTGGTGAAGTCGGGGAGGAAGTTGGGGGCTGGGTTTGGGACTTGCCTTTCCATCCTCCGGACGAGGACGCCTATAATGATGCTGACGACTTAGCTTATGGGGATGATATTTACCAAACGAAAAGGGAGACTATCCAGAGTGAACAGAAGGGGACTTCTAAGGGCAAGAGGAAGCTGGTTAAAAAGGATTTCGAAGAGAGTGTTGCTGGGGCTAGCGGGATGGGAGAGTGGAGACGGAGGAGATGGGTCAGGGTGGTGCAGCGTATCAGCGTCGGTGACAATGGTGCTGATTCTGGGTAAATCGTTTACCTACCTAATTGCCTACGATAGTATCAACGTTTTATATGATACTTGTTAGGCATGTTGGTGTTTACCATTCGAGATCCCGACAAAGAAATGTATGCGCTACGCCACTCGGTATCAATATACCTAAACTGTTTAGGAATCAAGATCCACTGGTTTGAGATATTCCTATCCGATCTTGCGGTCCTAAACAGTCACCTACCCAGGGAGGTCATCAGGAAGATTGTTGTACCGAACAATGCTCCTCTCAATCCCACCATTGGGAAAAGTATAAAGTATGTATGTACGAACTCTGATGAAATGTTCATGTTTCATTATCCAGCTTTGATTTCTAGAAATTGAGACGAACGAAACTAATCGTAAAAAGATTCTAACCATTTGCGGGTAGCGTATTTGTCCCATTTCGCCAACTCCACGATGGCATACCCTATTTTATCATTCTCAACCCAAAGAACTACAATATCGGGCCATTAAAAAAGGAGGGGGGGGGGGGGGGGGGGTAACATGGAGGCTGGCCTGATATAGATCCTTAATTCAAATTAATCAAAGCCAAGAAATCATTTTCCTCAAGGAATGTCAATATCAAACATCTACAATCTCACTCGCCACCAAAGACCCTTGAGCCCAAGAGGTAGATCTGAGTGATGGGTGTGGTGCTGTTGAGCTTGCGGATGGGGGAATCGTAACAGTGACATCCTCCGTCGAGTGCAATGTTGCTAGCGATGACGAGGACTCCAAGATGGTGGTAGTTGGTAGATCGGTCGTGCGAGTGATCTTACCATCGTTGCCGTTACTTCTAGTGACAATTCGAAAAGACTTGTTACCACTGTTAGTCACTGTCGCAGACGCCGACGTTGAGATTGGAGCTTCAGTTGCGTTTCTGTCTGCATCTGAAGTTCTGGTGCCACTTTCTTCTAATTTAACCTCCTTTTCTTTGTTAACACTATATTCCTCACCGCCCAACACACAGACGGGGCCTGTGGCAGCTTTCGAGGATGTTGCTCCTGTTATTTTCGTTTCCCATATTTGTTGACATTAGAGAATTCATTTTGTTTCGCCATTTGTGCGGTTCCCGTGTTGATATTTGGGAACTTATAGTATGCTTCTTGTTTTGTACCGCCGGGGCTGATGTTTTTGCTCCTGGAATTTTACTATTAGTATCTTCCTTTTTCATGATATATCTTGTTCTCATGCAGGGGACAAACATGCGCTTCACGGCAGTCAATTTTTAATAGCTGCTCATCCCCACTGCATGTTTTGGTCAGGAAAGGTGTCTGATCCTTGCCTGGGATCTCTTTGCAGAAATCACCTTTGGCAAAGACGCATTGCAGCCCATTTGCAAATGTTTGGAGTCGGAAGCCCAAAGCTATATTGTCATATGTTTTTAATCAGTTTTCTTTCCCTCAAATACTAGGTCTTGTCTCTGCCTGGGTCCAACATACGATTGTGCAGTGGAAACGTTGCAGAATCATGGTAAGAACTGCAAGAAGCCGAGTTACCAATATCCCAGCCACTTTGGAGGTATTGTTACTTCAGAATGTCTGTTACAGTCAACAAGAGAAATCAAAGTATTAATCTCAACTGGAGAAGTGGGCAAGATAAGTAGAAACAGAGAGATGAGCATCATATAATTTCATGATCAAGAATTACGAAGTTGAAAGGGAGAGAAAAGGAAGTAATTAAGAAAACATTAGTAAATGATATATTCATCATAATATATAAACAAGTTGTGAATGTGTTGTAGATATAGATTACTCCATTGCTGCACAGCATCAATATACTTACTGACCACAACTTCTTAGCAAGCACATCAAACAATTGCGTTGCTTTAAATGATTTAAGTTTCTATAACAATGAAGTAGGGAAAATGAAGTTGAATTTTATTAAAAATATGATTCATTTTTATTTTATACTGGAATCTTCATACCTGTTCATGTGATATTTCATTCTGTGCTAGCATCAAAGCGATTGCTTCAGATACTTAGCCAACCCTATTTAATGACATGTTATTGACATAGTGTAATCCAGAATATGCACAAAACTTTGGACTTTTATGAATTCATGAAATGATATGCTCCAATGAATGTATATACATAAACCTTAATAGGATACTTTCCGCACAAAATACCACCAGCTAAAGCTGTCCACTGGACAGCTTTAGCATGCAAGTTGCCACTTCAAAAACGAGAGCTACCTAGGAACCTAGAGGCGCTGATATCGGTCAGTAAAAATATGTCATATCAAGCTCGTTCTTCCGCCAACGTAGAAATATCCAAATCCAAAAGGGCTTGAAATGTTTAGGTATCTCTGTGCAAGATATAACTGCCTATGAATGTGAACAAAAGACGTCCGAACCCAGTATAACGCCATGACAAAACCAGCCGATCCATCTACTAAATTCTCCAAAAAGGCCATTCGTACTGTGTACATTAGGCCCTCCCCATCTTCATCCTCCGTCTTTCTTTCCACTTTCTTAGCCTCCGTTTTATATCCCCTTCCGTCTGTTGCATGGGGTTCAACCTCCTATCCCTAACCATAGCACCAATATTATCGCCATGATTCGCTACCAATCTCTCTAGCCATTCTTCTTCACCTTTGCTCTGCTGTCTTGGCTGCTTCTTTTTCAATGCCTCCTCTTCCAACACGGCTTGCCGCTCCAGCGCCTGAACAACTGCCGATGAAGTCATGCTAGTCGGGATACTCATAGCTCCATCGTCATAGTCAATATTGCCAACTTCATTCAGCGGGTCTTCCAGTGGGTTGGATTTCCGGCATTTTCTACCCGCGATTTCCACTCGTTCATCATCCTCCGGATAAATTACACGGAGGATCTTCCCCGTTTCGGGGTCCCTTTCTACCCGGGCTTCCGTCGGTTTTAGTTTCTTTACAGTCGAGGAGGACAGGACATGTAAAGGATCTGCATATTGTTGGCCATTTACTAGAATATCGAGCCTTTTCTCCTCCCCGCCAGTGGTAGCGTTGAGCTTGGATGCTAAGCCGAGCTGGCGATAGTTTTGGGTGATAGTTAATTTTTTATCCCTACAAATGTTAGACTGGCACAGATTGTAAATGAGAAACGGTAATTATTAATGGAAATGTAAATTGTGGCGGAGTCAATAGGTTTATCAAGGGACATATTTACCAATTCTGAGCGATGATAGCGTTCCCGAGAAGGTTGATTTTCTTGTTCCCATTTTTCAGGCGGTTCGCTTTTTGTTTTACTCTTGGGGCGCCTGAGCGATTTTTCCTTTTTTGCAAAACACGACCCATCTTTAACGTGTGCGTTATTGAAGTCGGCAATTGGAGTCGTTTAGTTAGTTAATCGTGTCTAACCTCCGTCTCAAAGTCCATTCCTCTGTACGTTTGAGGGTGAAGAGTCTGATATACGGATGTTTGCATCTGTCTTGGCGTGTTTGGATTTAAATTAATCACGTGACACTATTCCCAAAGAGAAAGATATCACGTGTTAATCCAAACCCTACACAACAGTTCGCTTAGCAACATCCCGAGCGTTGAACTTCGATCCAACGCCCAGCGACGACGGCAACGACAACGACAACGACCAGCGCTTGTAGACGCAGTATTCCAGGTGAGAGAACTGCTTTGCATTTTTGCGTCAGAATCCATGCGCGTGCTCTTTGCTAACATTCTGCCAAGTAGAGTCCTTATTTCAAGATGAGTACGTTGCCTGAACTCCTTAAAACGCTCGATAGCCTCGAAAAACCCGCTTCTCGACCTGTTTAGTTGTATTATAACTGACATAATATTAGCGAAGGGAACTTCCAGCTTTGGCAAGCGCCATAACAAAACTCATACTTTGTGCAGACGTTGCGGTTAGTTTATACCCCGGAATGTGCTGATTGAGAAATGGGGATGGATATGGGACGCCCAATCGAACCATCGAATTTGTGTTGGGGAAATTTTTGCGGAGAGGGATAACTAAAAGTTTTTTGGGACAATTCGTTATAGGTCGTCGCTCTCTCCACATCCAGAAGCACACATGCTCGTCTTGCGGCTATCCGTCCGCTAAGACCCGGAAGTGTACGTTTCAACCCAATAAACTATCCATTTTGACCAGTTGAAGCGGAGAAATTTTGACAAACAGATGGCAAAAAATGACATCCGAAAAATAAAAGAGACAATTGGGATTTTTACTTACAAGAATCTTTCTGCTATCAATAGACAACTGGGGCGAGAAGGCGCTCCGACGAAGAACCACCGGTACTGGACGCATGCGATATCTCAAAAGTGTTGACCGCAAATTCAAGAATGGGTTCCAAACTGGCACTCCAAAGGGCGCTCGGGGCCCTGAGAAGCATTAAGTTGCGGGTTGTTGAAGGAAGGGCTTCCAATAATATTCCAGCCTAGAATGGATGGCCGGAATTGATTTAACGATTCGGAGGTGTTTACTCTTTTTTTTTTTTTTTTTTTTTTTTTTTAAATAGCGTGCTATCAACATTCAAAAAGGAAAACAACTCGCGGGGCCGGATGGAGATGGGAAGATATCCACGGGGAAACACAAGAATATGGCATGCGCCATGTACATGAATAGATTAATGACATGAGCTTTGCGACTGGAGTGGTCTGTTTCGAGTTCGTTCTAGTTCGGCTCAGTCATATTTCAGAGCGCATGCTGCATATTACTGATTCCCCAATGTCGAAACATCGATGTAATTTCCAATAACCCACGACACTGGATTTCCTCTTAACCCTACGGTTTCTTGAATTTTGATCTTTCTCATAATACTAGATTGAATACCACGTGGTATCTCTGTCTCATCTACTCACTCGCCTCTTCCGAAAACACGAACCGCGCCATCCCCTTGCACAAAGTACAACACCTCCCTCTCCTCCAAGCCTGTCTGACTGTACCCATTCACTTTCCCTGTTTCCGGGACCCATCCGCCCCCTTTGCTAATCCGTAGCACACCGCTCACATCCAGCGCAACACCGGTATCCAAACCTCTCAGCTGCATGACCACTCTCGCTTGATGTGCCATTCCCACGACTAGAGAGGCATGCTCAGTCTCAAGTGGTGTTGACTGTTGCTGCACCGACCCTGAAATTTCCGTATGTATCAACGGTGAATCTGCGGCCAGAGTAACGACTGTAGAATGAACGCGCTTTAAGAATTTTAACAATTAACTCATGATGGACCCCACAGCCGCATAGATTGTTAGAATGTAACCGAAGATATCTTCGTTCTGATATAACATACCTGCCGTAATCCCAATAGAAATTCACTCATCTCCACTGCCCCAACACCCATTCCTGGCCCTGTAGCAGCCAACAGCAAATCCGGTTGATCAACCACAAGGAGAATCTCATTTTCCACTGGCTGTTCATCTGATGACGAAGTACTACTAAGGTCGTCGATGGCAGAAGATATTTCATATTCCAGCGCATCTAGGCGAGCGTTACTCTTGCTCGACCACCGAAGTTTTCTTATGCCGTTGCTGCTGCTGCTGCTGCTGCTCTTGTGCAGGCTCGTAGTTGTTGCGGGACAGGTAGTTGGCACTGGTCCCCAGACATGTTGAGTGGGGTGTAACGGTGCCCGGGAGGAAATTGCTGCAGCGCTGCTTATCGCTGGCGGAGATGGAATTGATGCTGAGAATAATTCCGAAACCCCGTCTACGAAGTTGAAGCTGCGTTCATTGGATAGTCTGGCGAGGTCGAGTCCCTGGGTGGACTATCAGCATACTGGAAATCATATAAGAAACGGGAATTCGCCATATAGAGCGGATGAAAGAACACTGCATGCAGTCTTAAATCATTATTCCTAGATGGCGAGAACCTGCCATCAGCGATAGGCGTGTGCCCCATGAGCAAATGAACAGGCTCCATGGCGCATATCAAACTCTCACAATTGAAAAACAGAATTAAACATATGGTAAAACAAAATCCCACACTGACTCCAAATGATGACAGAAACCAGTAGCAGATTCAAGAAATACATACCAACCTCCTCGCCTCCGCTCTCCAAAACTCCCAACCCCTGATAAAACTCACAAGGACCACCCGCCGTTTTCCCCTTCTCGCCCCTCTTCCGGTATCAAACCCTGGCTCATCCTCGCACACACCATTGCCTGGGTTCAATAGAGCATCGTCTAGAATCCTCAGCACCAGCCAGTTACTGGTGGCCCCAAGAACTGACGTGATAAGGGTCAGTGACTGGGCTGGGAATGGAGATGCTGTATAAGGCGCAAGGAGAGGGGCAGTTGGCGGGGACATATTCCCTTTTCTCCCGCCCCCTTCTTTCTCCTTCTCCTGATTTAGAACAGAAAGATGGTGATCCGTCCCGCATACAAGTCGGTGAATAATCACTACTCGGGGTTTGTAATTCGTTGGATGTATGTTGCAGGTAACTATAGATTTTTACAAGGTTTTCACTTGCAACAAGAGTCCGCTGCAACTTTTATCACATTTGACATCTGGCAGTAGTTGTTGTATTGTCAAAGTCTGAACACTCAAGTTCAGAGTAAATCCATGATAAAAAAGAATGAGGATAATGACCAAAGAAAAGGCTAGTTAATATTTCGACAATTTTTTTTTAACTTCTCCTACGTTAATGGTGGTACGCATGTTACTTGAACTTTATCTATAATCTGTTTTTAAAGGTTTTCAAAGTTTTCAAATAATTATCAAGTTAAAACTGGCAAATAACTAGTTATATCATACAGGAGAACCACCCCTGTGCAGAAGTTCATCCCAATCCAAATTCGATCAATGAGCAGCAAACTGCCAACAGTTCCTCTACCATGGCGGCGCATAAAAACAACAGGCAAAAGCCAAGGATCCAACAAGAATGCGAAAAAAAACCCATCATCAGAGAATTTTTTTTTTTTTTAAAAAAAAATAGTTAAACAAGAACTAACTCCCCCATCCGCGCACTGGCATTTTGCTCTTGTTTTGGACATCATCGTCATGCCATCCCCAACAGCTCCTCCAGCTCATCCAATGCGGTGGGCCGCGGGCCCGGGGCCCGATTCAAACTCGACAATCTCTTCCTCTTCTTCCTCTACTTCCTCGATTTCCTGGGTTCCAGCCGTCATGAGTGGATCACTGGATTGCATGCTTCTTGGATCGTTTTCTTTCATCCTTGCATCTAGCTTCAGGCTCTGGGTTTTGTTTTGAATAGCCCCCAAAGAAGCAGGGGCCATGCGGTTCTGCAAAACCGATTCGAGGCCTAACCGATCTAAATCAATGGGACTATATACAGAAGTTCTGCGTAGCGTGGTTGGCTCCAACTCCGGTACGGTTAGGCTCTCTTTCGGTGTAGATGACAAGTAGATATCATCGGTGAGATCAACCAACAAACCCAGGTCACCATATTTCCTGCCGCCCTCTGTCGGGGCTGAGTAGGTTTGATTCTCCTTTTGTTCGGGAGAGATTTGTGGCGTGTCAAATGCCTCGGCAATAGAGGCAAAAGGATCAAATTTGGAATCCTCAAATAGTAGCAAAACGTTGGCAGCGTTTTTCACTCTTTTTGCAGTTTCGACGCCTAGAGCACACACATTTGCCACATTTTTCTTTTGCTTAGAGCCACGCGGGATCTCTGCCTGAATAAGCCCCGATAATCCCTCAGAACCGGATGTGTGGAAATGCTGAGTTGCAATCATACCTAGAATTGGTTGGAGTACCCAGGGGAAGCTGATGAGGGGCATCCTTTCCTCCTCTCCTGGAGTGCAGTGGGAATGTGCTGCTGCCTTAGCTTTTTCCATTTGTTCGCTAGTCACCCGATACATAGCTATGGCAAGCGGTGCTAGAGATTTGAAGTCCTTTCCTCCAGCTTTTTCGTGACAAAGCATGCGGAACTTTTGACGCAGTGCAGACGATATCCGACCTATTTCTTCATGGAATTTGTAATCCTTGCTCATATTCACATGACTTAAAACAAAAGTTGACCAAACCTCTTACTTCACTCTGGATCTCATGTTGTGCCATGATCCGCCGCAGGTCAGCGTCGTATTCCCCCTTGAGCTCTTTTGCGAAGCTTAATAGTTTCTCATCAATCTCAAAATTTGCGTTTAAAATCCGCTGGTCGAATGGCAATCTTCCTTTAGCAGAGTGGGATTGTAAATTGAGGTATACACCACCCGCAATATCATACAGTTGACCCAGAATTTTCCGAGATGTATACTGCGAGTCTTTCATTGCAAACTTTCTTTCCATGAAATGTGGCCACTTTTTGGGTCTAAGGTCCTGGTTCATACGAACGGGTATTCCCGACTTGTTGTAATCGACGGCTGCGGAATGCAGGGTTGCGAGTCGAAGGCATTTCTCGTCCTGGACACCATCATCTGAATAATCGGCTATCGTGAGATGTGCAAGGGCAATTTGAGGAAGGCGGTCATTTTGCATATAGCTCACAAAGAACTTGATGATATCATCAACAGTGACATCCCTATCCAGAACTTTTGACTTGGGCGCAGAATAGTCCATTGGTTCCTCAAACCAGTCCTTCGGCAGCAAATCCTGGTCCCAGATGACAACGTAGTCATCACCATCCAGATCACCTCCAGAACACATACTTGCAATGTCTCGATCCCCAGTCTGGGGTAGCACAACAACGTCTTTGAGATGGTGTAGTCCTGGGATATCGACAGCCTTGACAACACGTATGTCTCCTGGGTGCAACGATGGATTTCGCGCAAGAATGCAAAGGCCTTCGATTACTTCATATGTACCTTCACTATGCCGCGAAATCTGAACAAATATTTCAGGAAGACAATCCAACTTTTGCTCGTACGTTGCGCCGCCTCCTGGACGTTTACTGCGAAAATACCCCTTGAGGGATCCAGTCTCATCAAGACAGCCAAGCAAAAAGGCCCCCTTATCATGGCAATTTTTGCCTTCTCCTTGAGATATTTGATCTGCCACACACGCCACAACTCAAGGAGCGATGTGACAAAAGGGTCCTGGGATTGTTGAAACCCGTCCAGTACCATATCCGCGAGAACCAACGTCATTTGGTTAGGATCGACGTAAGTTTGCAGCAAATCAATAGCCTGCTCCTGGCTGGTCATTGCCAGCTCCAAATTTTCCAGCATGGCCTGGAGTTTCTTGACAAACATTTCATCAGGAATTCCTAGGGAAGACAAAACAATAATAAGCTGGCGGTTGAGAGACGCAAAACAGAAACTGGAATGCCGAATTATTTCAAGGCCATTGTGTGGGGCTGCAAATTTGTATTGACTCTTTCGAATATATACTTCACGTCAGTGCGCTTTTGAGGAAACGGTGAGAATACCTTTGCAACCCCCAAGGCGGAATTGGAAGACCGACGGTGGTTCTCCTGACAGAGTTTCAATAGCAAATTCGCTTTGGATCATCTGGGCCAAAAACTTTGATATCAAGCCAACACCATCTGAGAAGGTGTAACCATTTCTCTCAATATCGTCAATTTCCACTATTTGTACTGGACACCCAGTTAGTGCGCGGGTTGAAGAAAAACATTGTCCTACGCGCGCTGCATGCTTGGCTACATTTCTTATCGGATTAAATTTTCCCAGCTGTGCACGGATGTTCGCAGCTGTTAAATGTGGCAGGGAAGCAAAAAAATACGCCGCATGCTCCCTCAATTGGGCATTGCTAAATGCGAGGAACTCATAGCAGCGGTCTCCGATTGTGATTCCGTTCTTCATAGTGAGCGTTACCCGCGTATAGACCTCATTCATACACACGATGTTAGCATTGCTGTAGGGGAATATTTTGCCCATATTTTTCTCATCTGTGAACCGGACACGGAGGAAGCGGTCAGCGTATTCCAGATAGCGCCGGAAGATACGGTTTCCGGTATCGATGGAAGGAGGTTTGTAATAAATAGTGGAGGGAGTAACTTCAGCGGATCTCATATAATAGTAACCTACTGGTGTCCTGGTATTATTTGCTCTATCAGAAAAATTGGGGACTCGAATGTTGAATATATCCATGGGATCATAATATGCAATCTTGTTCGAATAAACGTATCCGAGAAGGTATATGGCCTTCCTTTCTCCGATCCTAGCCAGCTCATCGACAAACTTTTTTTTGATCGCGTATTCATTGAGGTACCGATAAGATATGCACACCTCCAAATAATACCTAACAGCGAATTCAAGCGGAGTATATTCATTGTCTGCCAAAGCTTCCAGAGACGATATGGGCCCTGACCTGTGCGTGGAAAGAGCGTCAATCCATTTCCATACGGTAGGGATAGGTTCGCACTTTTTTAATAACTTCAAAGCCGTCTGTCGCTTGGAAATTGATATTGAAATCCTTGAAAATATTGGTAATAATGTCCAGCTTGTTGCCGTCACGTACAGCATACTGATTAAACCCTATCCGAAATGTCGTCCAGCGCCCTGTAAGACGAGTGAGTAAATATCTGAATCGAGCATTTAGGGTACTGGCTACTTACCAAAGTTAATATAAGAATTTCGTTTGCGCAAGTTGGTGGGCACGAAAAAGCGCGGTTCTCGGGATAATGTACGATATCGGTTTGGCGGTACCATGTATCCTTTGAGTTCCAGGCATTTTCACCAGGCGGGAAGTGTGCATCGGTCAAGATTTTAGCCTGTCGATGACATCTTGCTGGCGAATTCAGAGGGATCACCAGAGAGAACCCCTCCGGCTGCTCTTCTTTTAGGATAGTAGATAACAGGAAAAATGGAACGCGAAAACGGAAGAAACTTGGTCCGAGGTTATGAGTTGCGGAGAGTATTGGGACATGAATATATATGCTCAGATCCCGGCATGAGACATCGACCACAAGATGAATACCCTTGTTCCCTCTTACATCAAATGTTCGTAGAGGGAGGAAGGACTTTTCCCCTAACATGGTTCCAAATGCTACCCACATTGCTGGCAGCTCCTAAGAACAATTAGTGTGGACTCAATATTTCACCAGATGTCAACTTACAGTCGCAGTGGGATACCTCACCCCTGGTTGAATAGGGCTGTTGATCCACAAAGCGGGTCTCTGCATATCTAAATGGATAATCAAACTGGCAACTTCACCGTTCCTAAGTTCTAGACGGTAAGGCCGTAGCCAAAATGGCTCTTGAGGTGGCGGCCTATCATAAATATGTTAGCAACATAGCGTCAGCATATTGTCTGTAGCTAGCTAGCCAAAAGATACATGTTGGAATCGTGAACGCACCTATACCGGACAATCCCTCTTCTTTCTCTTCTTCCTCTAGCATCTTCGAACAACTCAATGTAGTCGACTGTTCCATGAGCAGAGAAAGATTTCCACACCGTAAAGGTGTCGATGTCTGTAGGCAGACCAGAGAGTGTGACCGATAGTGACTCCCAAGAGGCCCACTCCCCATTGATCTGAGCCATACTCCCACAACATGGAACCCTGCCTCCTAATCTCCTATGCGGTCGAGGGTTCTTAGCTCCTCGTCCGCGACCTCGTCCGCGACGAATGCGAAGATTACCCTCGCGCCTAGAACGCTGCGGCATTATGTTTGGCGGAGTGGGGTGTGAGCTGGATCAAGAGAACTGACGTCAGAATAATTCATCTTTCACAAAACTGGTAATGCAAGGTTTATTGCATGGAAGGTGAAGGATGCAAGGGAACAGGACAAGAAGTGAAAGTATGATGAGTTGGTGACTGAGAGCAGGGTAATGTGAGCAAAGATGAAAGCAGAAATAAAACAGACATAAGTCAACAGATGAGATATGCAACCCAATCTTGCTTATCAATGCCATGTGGTGTTCTTACAGGGCAAACTGGTGGCGGAGGACGAGGGAGAATATGAGAAAAACAAAGGACAGAAGAAATAGATAAAGCAGATGAGGAGGGAGAAGGAGGAGGAGGAGGAGAAGAAGAAGAAGAAGAAGAAGAAGAAGAAAATGATATCAAGATGATGAAAATAATGACAAAGAAGGTTGAGGTTGAGATAGAGACACCTGTGTTGATTGAGGAAGATGTGCTCCTGTTTTTGCTGTTGCTGTAGCAGACTTCTTAATCACGAAGTCTTCAGACTTCCCAGTAAGCTGCACATTCTGGGCTTAGCTGCAGTTTGTATGTGAGATCTCACAGGAGTGAGGTGGTGTTGATGGTGACTGGCGTCACTCCTGGGAGACAATGATTGAAGTCCCTGATGCTGGGGGCTGCTACTGTTGCTGCTGCTCCAATAACTTCTTCTTCAAGAATCTCTCACAATCAACCTCGCGCATTCTTGCATTGTGAGGATCTCCTCTTCCGCGGCTTCTCCTGAACCCTTTTTCTCTGCCCTCTCATTTAAACGTGGCAGTGAATGCTTCTGCATCCTGTTTCCCACTTGTCTATCCATGAGCGCATGCGACAACGTTAAGATATGATCTCTGCAAAAGGAGTTTCCTTCTTCTTCCCATTTTCAACGAATGGTATGTGGCATCGCTGCCAGGAAGGCTTGGGAATCCTCAGACAAGACACGCAAGCCACCCATGGATGGCTTGGATTTCTTCATCTGCAGCAACCCGTGGACTTGCCTCTCTTTCTACCAATAAATGCAATGATAGGCAAAGACATGCAGAGACATATATGGAAAAACGCATACTTACGCGATTGTTAAACATCTTCCCTTCCTGTCTACTTTTTTCAATGTTCCAGGACTAGGGGTCGTCGGCTCGGGGGCACTGGAGCTATGTCAAAAATAATCCAAAGTGCAATAAGGCCACCAGTTTCTGCATATACAGAATAGAACAGCAAAAGCGAAACTGGAAACACAAAATAAATAAAACATTTGTGGATAGCAGTGTACATATACACAGACATGTATAACCACAAAATAATTTCTCTTGGCCGGCGGGGTGGGAGGAGGGGGAAGCCATCCGTTATTGTCCACTAACAATATTTTGGAGATCCATACGTATTTTTCAAGAGATATCTTGACTCCAGGAATCTGCCAAATCGAATTGCGATAAAATTTTGCGGAAATTCGCAACTAGTCTCTTAAGAACGAAGATTGAGATCGATTGCCGTGGAGAGCAAAAGGGAGCGTTAAAACTCCGCAAACGAAGAGCAAACACACAATGGTGATATTGGGTGCTGCAGCTTTGCTAAAGCAATCCATTCTCTCTAATCGTTCAAACCATTCCAAGAAATTTCGATTGTCGTTGAATAACCAACTCAAAGCAGGTAGCATAGGTTAACTATACCTGCTACACTCCTATTAGTTGATATTCGGTCAGACAATGATACTTCTCCAAGTTTCACAGGGTAAAAGAGGCCCTTCTCATAAGCTGGCATCTTCTCTTCTTCTATATTAACCGCTGGATCAATCAAGAGTGGTGAAGCCATGGTGTATGATTACTCCAGGTGGAGGGAGACACAGCTCTAGTCGAAGAAACCTATCCAGAGATAGAGATTGCTGCAACTATGCGGTTACCACAGGCGAGAGTCAAACCAACAATCCCTCAGCGTTTGGGGCAAGAAGCGCATGAAGTTGCGTTTCGGCTGTCGAGTTAGTCGTCACTTGGTGAGAAATACGCGGGCACAGTTTAGCTTTAGATGATTCCGATGAGGGCGTGTTACCAAGGATCTCTCGAGCCCTGGTTCGAGAGCGGTTGGTAGGTTAGGTGTCGGTTCGAGGTGAGGGACATGGCAGCTAACTATCTAGGTGCTTCTGCTCACAAAAAGCTGCGTAGGAGCAGCAGGATTGACCTCGCCCTGAACTGACCTGACTTCTGTTGTATGACTGTGCAAATATCATATTGGAAGGGAAGTTGACTCTAGTACCAAGATATGCAACACCTAACGCGCCGTACCCAAACTCTATCATCCGATAAAAAAAAATAAAAGGTTGAAAGTTCGCGTGTTAGTTAACTGTAACTATGTTAACTAGCCTACTTTTAGGGATAGATAGTTGACTCTTTCATTGCTTTCAAAGAGCTGGCGTTGTAATTCTCTATTTTCCCGTTCATACCTGACTGCGATTTGTTGAATGTTCACCAATCACAGTTGGGACATCACCAATTATTAACTAACTATCCGTAACTAGTTATCTGACGGAGAATGAACTTGGTTTTGAATCAACGAACGGTGCAATCGCTGAGCAGGCCGCACCCCTCCATGTGCGTGACAGTGTTATATTAGTTAAATATTCGAACGAGTGAAACGGACTTGGATTTAAACAAGGCGAAAAACATAGAAAGCGCTCCACAAGACCAAGGACCCAATAACTATGTGATATTATCGAAAAGGATTTGCCGAAAGTCAACAAATAGTTAGATCGAGCAACTATCTATCACCTTTCCCGAGTCACAATTCGACCAGCCTTTGCCACAAAGTCTTAATCGAATTATTCCTATTCAGTTCTGCTACGATAGTATCAAAGTAAAACCAAAACTCTCCCCGGTAAAAGCTATTCACTTTAATCATATCTATAAAAAAAAAAAAAAATATGAAATCCTTTGGCCGAGTTTCCGCAGGGGTTAGCCGGCGCGGGGTTTGGTGTCATAGTCGCGTGCAGGGACTCCGACAACGCGCACAGCACGTTTCTTGTCGATGGAGTAGCAGCAATGTGTCTGGCTCTCAAGCTCGAGAATCTGCTCGAAATCCATCTTCCCTCAGAGCTGGCCAAGCCATCATCCTAGCTACGATTGCCAGTGCTGTCGGGTATGCACTTGGAGTAGGTGGTTGGGTGTCCGGAACGTCTCGTTTTGGGAGCTCGGATGAGAGTCCAAATTACGGGACAAAGAGCGACTTGGAAAAGGCACGCACCACTCCATTTTAGTAACAATCTATATGGAAAACAGTGCTGCGGCGTAACACACAACAGATGCATATTTACAGTTATACTAACCCTGGGTGGGTGCTCATAGGCAATTACTGAACTCCGAGCGTTACTCGGAGAGGACGCGATCAGTACTGACGACGAGGATTTGCACCTTCATGGTTATTCAGAATGGTCATCAATCAATTGCGAGGAACTTCCCGTCGCCGTCGCTTATCCCAGGAGCACCGAACAAGTGTCACAGATCGCCAAAATATGTCATAAGTATCGAATGCCCATGATACCATACTCGGGAGGCAGCAGCCTTGAGGGTAACTTCTCTGCGCCCCACGGTGGGATGAGCATCGACTTCGCCCATATGGATAAGATTGTCGCTTTTCATGAGGATGACATGGACGTCGTTGTCCAGCCTTCTCTTCAATGGATGCAGTTGAATGAGCAAATCAAACACTCAGGACTTTTCTTCCCTGTCGATCCTGGCCCGTCAGCCAAGATTGGTGGCATGGTTGGCACAAACTGCAGCGGCACAAATGCCGTTCGCTATGGCACTATGAAAGATTGGGTTCTCAACGTGACCGTGGTGTTGGCCGATGGTCGAGTGATCAAGACACGAAAACGTCCCCGTAAGAGTGCGGCGGGATACAACCTCACAGGGTTGTTTGTGGGATCTGAAGGCACACTAGGCATCGTAACGGAGATCACTCTCAAGCTAGCTGTCTTACCTGAAGAGACGCGGGTCGGGGTCGCCACTTTCCCAACCATTCGCGATGCGGCGTCTGCGGCCATGAAGGTCATCCGTGCAGGTGTCAATGTTCAATGCATGGAAATCCTCGACGAGGTTCAGATGAGAGTGATTAACGGGGCTGGCGGCACCAATCGGACATGGAAAGAAGTTCCCACGCTCTTCTTCAAGTTTTCAGGATCTTCTACTGCCGTTGCCGGCAACATTAAGGCAACCAAGGCCATTGCCAAGAGCAACAACAGCAGCTCTTTCGTATTTGCGAAAGATGACAGGGAAGGCCAGGAACTCTGGTCTGCGCGCAAACAGTCTCTTTGGAGTATGATGGCGCTGCGCAAGGAGGGAACTGAAATCTGGTCAACCGATGTGGCCGTGCCACTTTCTAGGCTTCCCGATATAATCGGTAATAGTTCACTTGACCCTCTCCCTTTCCGACGCAAATGTGGACAAGGTACTAAACTCTGAAATGTAACCAGAATCATCAAAGAGAGACATGGATGACCTAGGCCTATTTGCTAGCATCGTCGGCCATATTGGCGATGGTAACTTCCACGAGAGCATCATGTATAACAGAAAGGATCCCGCCGAGCGGGAGAAAGTAGAAAGGAGCGTTTATGACATGGTTAATCTTGCGTTGGAGATGGAAGGATCCTGCACTGTAAGTGTCTTTGGGCTTGGTATCGACTATCCTCCAGTTCCCAGCACAGATGCTTGAATAAGGAATATGAAACTTAGCAAAACTTATAATTCTAGGGAGAGCACGGCATCGGGATGGGTAAAATGAACTCTCTTCTCAAGGAAGTCGGTCCAGGGACCATCGACGTTATGCGCAGTATCAAGAGGTCTCTTGACCCGCACTGGTTGATGAATCCTGGAAAATTATTCGAAGCGACTCGCAAGATGGAAAGGGAGCGGCAATCACGAAACAATCATGAAGCCACCAATGGGTAAATTCCTATCGAATACATCGGATGGCAGTTTTTCTAAAAGAATGAAAAGTAATTAGAGAGGATTGAACATTGTGTCCTTGATTCCCCCCCGTCTTGTCTGATTTTCACATATTTCAACTTTCGTCAAGGAAAGGCAGTTTTCCGTCTTCAGCCCACCGGCGATATCCTTCACTTCTTCCTAAACCCCACAGCTTCCATTATAACAAGATCATGGGGAACGAATATTTTACAGTGTACCATCATCCAACAATATATTCCCATCTTATAGAGTTCGTCCCAAACAACGGTGAGAAGAACAACCCAGATTATGCTTAGTCAGCAACCAGTTTGATTCAAAGTAGGCGTCCTGATGCGGTTAGAATTAGGGCTCTTTCTGCACTAACTTAAAAGAGGCCTCTAAGCGAATCTCTCTCTCAAAAAAAGATCTCCGACTCGCACGTCCGTTTGTAATGTTGACTTTCTCGAACTCCGCGACGACAACGACAATTCGAGGTATCAAGTCGACAAATCAACCATCATGGGCCGTGGACCGTATGTAACTATCTGCCCTGTCGATTATTATTCTGCCTCATTCAAGCTAATTTGTTCCGTGTTTCTAGAAAAAAGCATCAGAAGCGCCTCAGTGCGCCTTCGCACTGGCTCTTGGACAAGTTGTCCGGCTCCTATGCCCCTCGCCCATCTCCTGGTCCCCACAAGCTGAGAGATTGTTTGCCTCTCGTTGTCTTCATCCGCAACCGGTGAGTTCATATATCTGCATATTCACAGCTGAAGCAAGATTTCAGAATGCTAACAGGCAGAACCCTGCAACAGTCTGAAGTACGCCCTCAACGCGCGTGAGACCAACGCCATCCTCATGCAGCGTCTCGTCAAGGTCGATGGAAAAGTCCGCACCGACTCCACTTATCCCGCCGGCTTCATGGATGTGATCAGCATTGAGAAGACCGGCGAAAATTTCCGTCTCGTCTACGACACCAAGGGCCGTTTCACTGTCCATCGCATCCAAGCCGAGGAGGCCGAATACAAGCTTTGCAAAGTCAAGCGCGTGCAGCTTGGCAAGGGTGGAATCCCATTCTTGGTTACGCACGATGCTAGAACGTAAGTTCTTCCGCATCATTCAGACGTTGGACCAAGATTTGGTTGATATCTCGATACTAGAGCTCTTTTCTCCAAAATAACATTGGGAAATTTACCCCGAGATGCTGACATGCCTTTTCCGGGTGATTATAGGATCCGCTACCCCGACCCTGCCATCAAAGTCAATGACACCGTGAAGGTCGATCTGGCCACTGGCAAGATCACTAGCTTCATCAAGTTTGATACTGGTGTCATTGCCATGGCTACTGGTGGTCGCAACATGGGACGTGTTGGTGTCATTACCCATCGTGAACGCCACGATGGTGGCTTCAACATTGTACACATCAAGGATGCCATTGACAACTCATTTGCTACGCGGGAGAGCAACGTCTTCATAATCGGACAAGAAAAACCATGGATTAGCCTTCCCAAGGGCAAGGGTGTTAAGGTATGCATTTCCCATCAGCTGTCTATCCAAATTTTCCTTATATAAACTAATTATGTCCCCTAGCTCTCTATTGCTGAGGAGCGCGACCGTCGCCGTGCCGTGGCCCTTGCGGGTCACTAAATATGTAGTGGCATGTGGGAAGATAAAAATAAAATTAGTATGCATATGAACCAGAAATTTTATGAGGAGAATGGCGTCCTGTAATTGGTTGACCCGTTTTGATACCTTCCGTTTTGATCCTACAGTTGCAGCAGCTTCTTCATAATTATCTGGGGTGATCGCTTCTCCGAGGATTTATGCTCTGGTGTAATCCATGGAGTTTCATCAACCCTGCCGGTTCCTCTGCCTTACACGCAGTTCCCTGCAAATGTAGTTCAATTTCGGAAAGGATACATATATCAACATGCAGGATTTGCCAAACTTGCCAGTACTCCTAATCCACCTTATTTTTTAAAAGTAACGTACAAACATTGGATGTCGAAGTAAAATGTTTTCCAATCTAGCGCCTCTCAAAGCAGATATTATGTTATGATGGATATAATAATTAATAATAGTTTTATCATGGGGCAGGAATCCTGTACGAAGCACGTAGTAGTCAAGTCACAGAGTTAAGTCAATTACCTGGTGCTGTGAAACCAAAATATGCCTCTACAAGTTTTTTGATTCCAGGACTGTCACCTAGATATTCACTGCATTTTCTTCGCATCGTTGGTGGATTGCGCATACCCAGAGGCGCCAAGCAGGTACACGATGCGATTCACAAAGAGAATGCAGAAAGCTCCGATGTTTCCCCATGCCATATTATTCCATTACTTAAAATTGATGAAGTCATCAAACCCGATACAGGAATATGTGGCATATATGTGTCCCAAGTTTTCAATTGCAAGTGCGATTAGACAGTTTCTGGCCACTTTTTGGTTCCGACGTTGAATAAAGAACACCAGCACCGACCAGCACAAGCAGTAAATATAAATTTCCAAGTTGATATGCGATTGCCTGCGTGCTTGACGGTCACTAGTTCTTCGGGTGTTTGACCAGAAACGAATCTATTCACATCGAAGACAGCTGCCCGGAAGCCGACAATGCTAAAGAAAGTCAGTATTCAGTTTAGATTCCTCTTCTGGGACTCTCTGAGAACAAATACAGTGAGATTGGCTCCACTATGCGAAAATAATGTGAGGCCTTTTGCATAGCTAACAAAAGTTGTTGGGTGGTTGATCTAGCTGTTTCGGGTGCCTTGACACCACAAGATCCCAGCTGCGGCAGGATCTTTATTATAATGACTATTAGAATGGGAAAAGAGATTTTGCGTTAACAATTGCAGGATAAACTAAGCTATCTTAACTGATACAATGAGGCCAAGTATGTCAAGAGCAGACTACTAAAAAGTATCCACCAAACAAAGCCAGAAAGCAGCTATTGGCTATATTTTTGTGCCTCATATCCTCCAAATTTCGGAGAGCACTAGCCACACTTTAGATATTGGGGCTTGTAGGGTAATTTGCAAGGTTTTGGGGGGGGAAAATTGATTATTCACAATTGAATTCTTCACTATTCTCATCCGATAATGTATCATACTTGTGTACATTCATAGATAAATCATCCTCAGAATTGATGGATGGCGTCAACTTGTCATCATATTGAGTTAAGTAGTCAGCAAATCTGCAACTAGCTAACTAAAACTAACTAGTTAACTAGTTAGATCCGATGATTAGTTAAGCAGTTCTGGAAGAGAAAAAGCAAATTCACATGATTCCTTCATCTATTCCATCTCTAATGTTAACAGAGGTTCAACACTCCCTGCTGGATAGCTTGATAGCTGCTGTGAATCAATGGCCGCACAACTGACAGGCAGTGACATTTCTAGATGAGATGATGGACCCCTTTGTTGGAGCCTGTACGGTTCCTGGGCCCTTTGACGACACACTTTTCCAGGTGCGAGACTTTTCGCAACATGGTAATCTACGAATCCCACCGCTACGGGGTCCTATTCCCTCCCACCCGCTGCAAGCCCCCTTTCCTCTCGAACCCAATGCGGGCGGGACTAGAGAAGCGGCATCTATCCCGAAAACCTCTCTCATTAGTGGAAACCCTCCCGCTGAACTTCCTACGTTGGAAGACTTTTTAAACGCAGCCCGCACCTGCGATTCAGCGTCCCATGCACTCCCCAGGGCGGCATCAAGCTCAGATCCTCCCCCAAAGACCATTCTTCCCACTTTCATCAACCTTCGTGCCATCGAGAAATTACCCTATGCATCATTCGATGAGGAGGTTCCGAGAAAGCGGCGTCGGTTAGATGTAAACGGTGACATTTTCGGGGAACATCTTCAACTTCCTATTCCAAAAAATCAAAAGGAGAATACTAAACGTCCTCCTTTTGGACCTTTAACGATATTAAACGGTTTAAATGAACCTCCTCCAAATGCTGCCTTGTTTCCACCTATTGAGCCTAATGGTACCCCCACAATTCTTACGCGACCAACTCGGGATACCCCTGTCCCACATGATGTCACCCTTGGGGATACAGTTGCAGAGCGAAGAGGAGGGCGGATTAATGACATTATTGAGCCGAGCGTTGAAGAGGTTGGTGAGCCCATGTTGGAGAATGGTGACGACCTTACTGTCACTCGACAAGCAGCTTCCCAAGAGGTAACTGAGATGCCTGAAAAGGAACCTGGGTCACCAAAATCTCAGCATCGAACAAGGAGAAAGCTGCGAAAATGGACAGAAGAAGAAACAAGAGATTTATTACGAGGAGTTGTGAAGTGTGGGGTTGGAAATTGGACAGCAATTCTTACCCAGCCTGAACTTAAATTTAATAAACGAACAGCTGCAAATCTAAAAGATAGGTTCCGCGTTTGCTGTCCATGGATTTATGGATCAGAGCAGAACACCAACGAAGCAGTGAAAAATGTCCTCACAGAGGCTTCAAATGGGGCAGAAGCCAGCTTATCCGGCAAAATTTTTCTTCCGGATCCAAGATTCAGCAAAAATAAGAAACAACAGAATGCAGTCTCTACAGCAAGTGTTCTGAAACCTGTTAACCAGACCACTCCTCGATCTGCACCTCCCAGCTTCACTACGGATTGGGCTCCGAAAACAACTTCAGGTCTTATTAAATTGACAACCAAGCACGCCCAATCTGCGTCAGCTAAAGCCAGCCAAACACTATCTAGTAAATCCAAATCAACACTTGTGTCCCTTGGCCTCCAGGAACCCTACTTGGGCATTAAGTCGAACAGACGTTCTCGCCGCCCGTTTACACCTGCAGAGGATGAGGCCCTCCTCAAAGGCTACGCCGTTCACGGGTTCCAGTGGACACAGATTCGGCAAGATAAACACTTGGACTTGATGCACAGGAAAGCAACAGATCTCAGGGATCGTTTCCGAACAAAATTCCCGGACGTGTATCGGGAAGGCGGTTCCGTAAACGCGAAACCCGTTGAACTTGGTAAAAGTGATGCAGGTGGTGAACTCCCAAGTCCTGAATCCCATTCGTGTTGCAATGGCGTCGCGAAAGCGAACGCCGCATCCTTTTATAGACAACCCAAAGCAGCCCCTCCTGGCGGCCAATATGATGTTATCGACTCTGGGCCTGCTAGGAGACGTTCCTCTCAATCCCCTTCCAATAATTTTGCCTCTTCGAAACCCCTCCCTCCGCCGCCTCCACCTCCTTTGCCTGACATGCCTAGCATTACCAACGCCTCTCTATTCTCATTTCAAATGGAAGATGTGGATGCCAGCTGGGGCGGTAATACCCTGCCTCCGCTCGTTTGGGATGAGCTGGCGTAGATAATCTGCAGTTGCCTTTACCTCCAGGCCTCCTTAGGTGGACAATTGAGCGGTACCCCTTCGACGTTTTGCCATGGCTATATTCACTCACCCTTTGAATTAGTCCTTAAGCATCTTCATTATTAGCATCCCTAAGATGTATATTTGGTGGCTATTCTTTTTAGGTCATGGACATGTTTACACGGATTATGAACTTCTATGCGCAGCATGGGTCACCTTCTTAGGCGTCAAGATAGAATCCATAGTTTTGACATGGTCTTTTCCTGCAAACTCGACCCTTGAAACTTGGATCTCGAGCGGTTTTATGCTTCGTGCCAAATTGTATTCTGTATCTCAAAATGCTTGTAGTATATAGAGAATCTGACCTGGTTTAATACGTATAGCAGGGTATTGAACGAGGTAGTTATTATTTAAAAACAAATGTAAACCGGTAGTTCTACTCTCGATCGGGTTTCTTTAAGCTGTGGAATATAAAAGAGCAGCTTGGACCCCTATTCGGCTATTCTTCCTCGCATCATCGGGGAGTCAAATCGGAAAATGGGCATCATAGATATGAATAATGCCTTTCTTCCATTCAAAACCTTAGAAAATAGCCATTTCAAACCTGGTAACAGTTATCCTACGTTTTATTTCCCATCATTCTTCGGCGTAAAATAGAAGCGGAAACCCTAGCCGAAGCATCTGGTGATCTGACTAGTGCGGAACTCAAAATCAAGTGCAAGGCCAGATGTGGCTAAGATTAGAAAATTGAAGGACTTCTGAAGCTAAAGAAACAAAAACCTCGCAGATTTATAACTTTAACACAAAGTGATTCATAATGGCATCGTTGAGAATAGAGAGATCGCAGATTATCCGCGTAGAATAGGCCGCAGAGCAAGCAATGTTTTTCATGTAAGCTAATTGTAGAACGAAGATAATTTATGGAATGAAACGCATGCTAACTTGGAAGGATAAAGATGGAAGGAGAATGCCATAGTTTCTTAAAATATCGGAATATCCAGAGACAACGGAGATATTGAGGAAGGGAGTTGACAGATATCGAGAAAGAGGTTGTTGAGAGGTATGCAGGTGCTGAGGAAGAAATGTGAATAATATAAGGGGTAATTTTAGAATGATAAGTGCTTGTGGGATGAAGTGAAAGAGAGTGGTAGGAATTAAGATCCAAAGAATAATTATGTGCGTCAATTGACCGCTTAGTTCATCAAACAAGAGGTAATTGTTTCCAGCGCTTCTGGAGGCATGGCATTTCCGACCCGACACGGAAAAATAGCAATCAACCGGCTCATTTAACTCGCCATTCTGATACCAAGTGGTCCCATCCAAATCTCTATCATGGTGATATAGAAGATGTCCGTCCAGCAGCTTTTCACTGATATATAGGAGATGAGAACTTGAAAGAGCACGGTGCAATTTTACAATCATCATATCTCTCACGCATTGTATGAGGTCTCAAAGAAGGGGGAAATAAGGTGGCATATTCAATCAAGTGAAGATATATATATCCAATCTTCTTCTACCATGCATTTCTGTCCCAGTTTGGATCTAGTGCAGGAAGAAATACGTTAGACGGATGAAAGAGATCAACGGGAAAAAATGAAAGGGAAAAGGGAGAAGAAAAGCATCATTACCTTGAACAAAACTAGCAAGCACCTTGCTCCCTGTTTGTAGCAAGGGATGCCCTACTACTATTTGCAAGAACCGTTGTAGACCTTCCCGCCGATGTTCAATCACATCATCACTGAATCGATTGGTGAATACTTTCCCTGGTAGGGGAGGAATCGTTACGCGCGCGCTCTCACGCTCCAGTATGTCTCGAAAATATTCGAAATCTGAATAGCGGCGGCGCACGACAGAGTGTTTGAGCTTGAACGCGGGGATGTTGGTGCGGCAGACAATTTCATAGGAGGTATACATGTTGCGCGATGTGCCGTGCGTTTGAGGATTTCTCACCTATGACAGAAAAACAGAGCGGGTAAGCTTGACATTCATATTAAAAGAGTTGCGGAGCAGCTAAAGCCGTAATGCGATCTTAAATCGCAAAGGCGGGTATATCACGATAGAAGACGGATGAGGGGTAATTCATCATGGAGAAAAAGGGTAGAGAACTCTCCGAGGATGTTTGGGATGGATACCTCAATTTCAAGGAAGTTTTCAGGAGGGCCATATATCTCCTCAAAAGTTTGCTGGCGTGCATCCGGTATAGCTTGCATTTTTCGTAAGGTTGATCTTTTAACTTTGAGATCAGGGTCTGTCTCTCTCAACAAGCGTTAGACACGGCTTGGTGAGGGTTTTGAGTATCTTGGAATAGCCAGTAAGGGGAGGAGAGGTTAGCAAAATCACTAGGAACAGTGGCTGAGTATTGTTTCAAAGCCTTTGGAGTAGAATAATGCGAGGGATATCAGATATCCAGAAGCCGGAGAGAGGTTCGATATGCATAGGAGAGACCATGAGATTTCCGTTATCAGAGCCACGGCCCGTTGGCTGATTAATCACCCGTAGTTAACTTGTTTGGTGGGGGAATTGTGATGAAAGTTTCGCCGATTCCGAGAGTGTGGGGAACACCTTAACGTAATCCACATTCTCCAACTTCAATATCTGTGTAGGCATGTCATCAAATCGAGAAACTTGTAGAGATGGAGAAAAGACGTGAATGTACAATATTCTTTCTTCAAAAGCAAGAAATATGTTCAATTTATGAAGCTGCATGCTCATATGAAGATTTGAAGATTTATGTTTAATTTTAATTAATTTTCATAAATATATCTTTAAAATAAGAGTAAATTTTTATTATTTTATTTTTATATTTTATATATATATAATAAATTATTATTAATATTATATATAATTTTTATTATTTAACTTTTTATTAAAGTAATTATAAAAATTATAATAATTATTATATTTTATAATATAAAAATAATTTAATAATTTAAAATATATATAATAAATATAAAAATAAATTATATAAAAATAGATTTTTAAATTTATATATTATAATTAAAAAAATATTAAAGATTATAATTATTATATTTAAATTTAAAGTTATAAACTTATATGAGATATAATTTAATAAAAAATTTATATATATTTTAATCTATAAATACTAAAGTAGTCTTTAATATATTTTATAAATTTTAATTTTTTAAATCTTAGAAAACTTCGTACATTATAAGTTAACTAAAATATCAGTTTAATATGATCAAGTAACATATCAAATACTATATAAAGCATCTTTAGTTCAATCAATTAGACTTTTTTTCAATTGATCAAAAGTATTAGCTAGTTATACATAGTACTACTAATTTGATACAGAAAGCAAGTTTCTATAAACTTCAAATAGAAGGTGAAAATGTAAGTGAAAATGAAGATATTTCTATAACTTAAAAGTATTCTGATAGCAAAGAAAGAAATAACTAGAACTTTAAGCAGCTTAAACAAGTTGTAAAGAAAGTAATAAAAACATTCAAATTAATTATTAAAAAGTAAGTAGTAGTATGCTGTAATGAATATAATAGATTAAGAAATAATATATATAATACTCTTTTATATTTTCATAAAAATGTTGGTTATTTTGATTTTCTTTTTGAATATAAATGGGGTGAGTGTTCAAGTAGTTGAGTGTTCCAGTAACTAGTTAACTAAGTTCCTGGTTTAGATAATAAGTATTTTCCATCAACGGCATAGAAACCGTTGATGATGAGATAGTAAAAAAATATCATAACAAGGATGATATAGTTACATGGGATCTGATCGTGAAGGCCTATTGCGCAACAGGACGCTTACAACGGCAAGATGTTTTCGCGCGACCCGGGTTTTGACGGGAGAACTTTATAATCTCATACCCTCGGTGATCGGAGATAGACAGCTACACAACACCTTCACGGAGTCCACACTAAAGTCATATCTTCCTGTTGATGACTTATGTCTCCCCCCCCTGGCCCCCGGGAGCTTAGTTCTTACGAAGGAGGCATTCCCATATCGATAGACTCAGCTCTTCTGTCATGAATTCATCAAATTCCTCACCGCGGCCTGGTTCTGGCAATCAACCAGGACCAGGACAGACTTTTGAAGACGCCACAGAATGGCTATTTGATGAGAACGATGATGAGGATGATAGTGCCTTTCTGCCACCATCTGACTTCCTTGAGATTGAAGAAGACGAGGATGAAGTGTGGGGGAATAATGGACTCTCAGATGATTTGGGTACTCCTTCCTATGTCTGCCGTATATGGACAGAAGATTCATGTTTCCTCGAACTTTGAGAGCAAAGAATATCATAATTGAGGACGACCATGCTAACATTGCAGTAGGGGCCCAAGGTGAAGAAGAAGGTGAGCAGAGAGCTCAAGGCCCAGATCGCAATCATATGCCATGTATTTTAGCCCCGTTATTGTGCGAAGCAAAAGCCGCCGTTTGTTGATGATGAATATAGTATCGGCGGCCGAATTATTCCGCTTCATTGGCTCGGAAGGACTACGTCGTATTCTACATCCTCACAGAATATCAGGGGTACAGTTTCATGTTGGAGATGACGATAATATATATGGATATGGCTCTGCTGCATACCCCAGACGCGGAAGCCGGACAGGCAAACACCTGCTGCCCAAAGTGCCTAGCGACGCTGGACGGGAATTAATGTATTCGGGGGATTATGGAAATAATTTGCATTATGTGGATAAAACAAAACGACGGAAGGAAAAATTATCCACGAGGCTTATGTGGAGGGAATTGGCTTATAGCCCGCGCCTTCATCCGCGTGCAATATCGCAGGTTTGAACTCTTCGCTGGCAAACGTTTTTCCCCCCCTAGTTCCCAGCTTTAAAAATTGACTCGTGATGAACAGGACCTCATCCCTAATTCGAAAGCTGATAAAATTATTCACTATAATTCGAGATGTTACTCTGGATCCTTTTCTGACGATGGAAATTTCTTTTTCTCCTGTGCGCAAGACTTTAAGGTACGGATGTATGATGCATCCAACCCTCTTCAGTGGCAGTGGTATAAAACAGTCGAGTATCCCTTTGGACAATGGACTCTTACGGACGCGAGCTTGAGCCCGGACAACAGATTTTTAGCATATAGTTCGATTCGAAGTGTTGTATGCCTGGCGGGAACAGACCCATCTTCAGATTCGGAACCTACTCTTCTAGATTTGGCCAACCGCTCCAGTTCGCATTTTGGTAGCTCAGGTTTTGGGGTATGTTTCTCCTTAATTTACATCGTATTCTTAGCCATATGAACTTACCCACTTCGTGCGCAGATATGGAGTGTTCGTTTCAGTGGTGATGGTCGAGAGTTGGTTGCTGGCAATTCCAGCCATAGCGTGGTGGTCTATGATATAGAAAGCCGCACACCGACTTTAACACTTGAAAAACATGACGATGATGTCAACGCTGTTTGCTTTGGCGATAAGTCTTCACCTCATATCCTTTATTCGGGATCTGATGATACGACAATCATGGTCTGGGATCGTCGATCAATGGGGGATGGGCGGGCCGCTGGCTGCTTCCTGGGCCACACTGAAGGAATTAGTAAGTATACGGACAGCCATGCACACAGAGTATGACCGCCTTTACTAACAGAGCCATGTAGCCTATGTCGACAGCAAGGGGGACGGGAGATATGTATTGAGCAACGGAAAGGATCAAAGCATGAAATTGTGGGATTTGCGGAAGATGATGACAAGTGCGAACCTGGACACAGTTGACTTGAGTAGTTACTCCACCGGGTTCGATTACAGGTATATGTCTATTTCGGACTCAGACTATCGGCCCCATCCTTACGATTGTTCTGTTGTTACGTTCCGTGGACACCGCGTTTTAAAGACCCTGATACGATGCCACTTCTCTCCCGATACCAGCACCAATTCTAGATATGTATACACAGGGAGTTCGGATGGACGGATAATCATTTACAATCTTGACGCTACGGTGGCAGGCATTGTCAATGTTGGAGAAGCTTCGTTTAATTCTCGTCAGCGGAATTCAGATGGCTACCATCACCGAATGAGAAGGAGTGAGGTCGAATGGGGAACATGCGTGAGAGATGCTAGTTGGCATCCAAATGCGCCCATAATAGCTGGTGAGTTCGTGTCTTTGTTAGTTTTTTCTGTTCAAAGTGTATTGCAGACGATATCTGGATCTAGAAAACCTATCATATGTGATCATCCCACTCAGTCTCCCAGGGATTCGTCTGCAACTGCTAGTCAATAAGCTAACCACTTCTCCCTTGTATGTAGCAACATCCTGGAACGGCTGGGGAATGTCAACCGGCACCTGCAGCGTGCATACCTGGAACGACAGCGCAGAGCTCGACGAAGGCGATTCTCCACTCGGCCAGAGCTACAACAGCAAATTGGAACCTTTGAGACCCAACAACAACAGCTCTGTAGAAGAACAGGGAAGATTTCCACAATATGCCTCGATTGCTAGAGGGCCCGTGCTTTCGGTAATTGATTACGACGATTACATCGACATGAATACATTGTAATCATGGGCATCGGCGGAGCTACAGAACTCCTTTTTATCAACTGCTACTTCACAGCGTCCGCAAGGAATCCGTGTAGGCTTTGTGATTATACGAAATCGAGTCTGCTGGGAGATACCGCATCCATTTATTACTTATTTTATTTCATTTGTTACGATTGTCGTGTTGGTATGCCATGATATGATGAATAACTATATATGTCCGTCACCCCCTCTTTTATTGGTATTATTAATTTTAATTGGCTATACCATCATCCTCTCTTCATCTGTTGGACTTGAACTCAACGGAGCCTTCTGACAAAGCAGGGCTCTAATAGCGCTCTCATTACTGCATCTTCCCCCCTTGAATTAAGCAACATTTTTTGTTTTTTTCATTCTCCTATCTCCCACCTTTTGGCAGGGACTGCACAATCCTTTGGTCTTCTGCTAATGCATTAGAGATGAACCTTCTATCTCCAATTCAAGGCAACAGATTATTTGTACTGTACATACTGTACCACATCATACTTCACGCATGCAAACACTGCCAATGAATGGTCTTCAAGATATGGCTCAATCCATAGCTAATAGTTGAATCGAAAGAACTTTTTGGAACTCCAGTAGATGGATGGTTTTGAATGATACACCTGATTGTTGATAGGAAGAGGGGAATGTTATTAAGTATATGCAAAGAAAGGGGGAAAACGGACCGACCGTTAACATAGAAGGGGCTCAATGTAAATAAGGCTGGGATATTGTACATATGCAAAAGAAGTAACATAAAATGGGGAAACGATGCAATAACAGACGCAGACAAGTGAAGAAAAGGAAGAGAAGTGGGGGAAGGAGGGGGGAGACAGCAACGAATTTGGGAACGTAAGAAGCAATCTATTTAACTCCAGATCACCCAACAACAATTTTCCCATTAATTACTTGAAAAGAAAGAATAATGTCTCTTTTCCGTAATTAATACATACATATATCCCATTCAACCCACTAGCAGCGAGCACCTCAACCACTACCCGGTTAAAAATGGCAAGAAAACAATGGAGTGTCGTAGATATAAAACGTCGTGTATTGGTATCACGTCGCCGGGAATGGATAAAGTGGATATGCGCAAAAGAGTGCCTGGTTCGATCATTGTACGTTGATTTCAAAAAATTGGAAACAACCATGTCATCCATCGTTTTTGTCGTTTCAGTGTATTAAACCACCTCCCCTGCTTGTTGCTACGTCGCTCCGTCATCATGCGCCCCCGACAAGGATATTGTTAACGGGGATATGTACTGGACAGCAGCGTTAGTAATACATCCAGAGCCCAGAGGTGAAAAGAAAGATTGAGAAGTAGGAAAGCTCGCTATTCACTCAGTTTAATAAAGTAGCCGATGGCGCCCATGATGAGGAACCCGAAGCCAACTGCCTGGCTGATCTTGAGAAATTCTCGCTTGTCAGCTGTTACATTGTTAGTGAGCTGGGCAATGGCAGGAAATCTTCCACATATATATCTTGAATCGGAATGGAGTGGGAACAACACATACGTTTAGTACATCGGTTCATGAATAGCATGCCATCCCTGACGAAGTCCTTGGGGATATCGGCGAGCTCTTGGAAGGTTTCTGACATTGGGACTGAGGTGTTGAATCAGAGGGGATTAAACAATAGGAGAAGAGATATAAGCTGTCTGTATTTTGTAAAGATTGCAAAGCTCCAGTGGAGAATGGCCGTATATTGCAGAGTTGTGTCAAGTATATCGTCGACATCAAAGGAGAGCAATGAAGTGCGGAGGATGTTGGAACGGTGCAATTAGTAAATCGGAGATGGATCTTGGCTCTTTCCTTTCTGGTGAGGTGGCCTCCTACTGCCCGTATCAGGCCTAGCCCCGGAATTCCACTTATTCCGGGAATCAGCTCTTTTTGTTTCTAACGTGATCTTGCTTCCTTGGAGCTTGCTGACTCATCCAGTCCAAACCGCAAGCCAACTAATTACGATTTCAACTTCGCAGTTTCAACATACATCCATCCCCATACACAAACACATCCCTCCTTATCAAGATCAGTTTCATCGCCATATCGTCCTCTATTGTCTCTTCTCTTACCTCTTTCCATTTTCCTTCAATTTTGGCACTCCTTAAGACTAACCTTGGTGCATCATCAGGTTCCGCGTCCTTGGTTGACGAGGCTGGAGTTGGACTTGATCGCGGGATCCATTGGCCTTCTCAATCGTCTTTCCAACTTTGCCTCATCCATTTGACTGGCTCACGTTATCTTATCCTACTACCAGTTTCTTTTTTCCTGTACCTACCTCTTCCTAATAGAAGAGAACTCGATAGGTGGTGTCAACGGTTGTGACTAGCTAGATCTCCTTGAACCGTACTTAACCCTTCTCTTGACGCGAGTGAAACCCCGAGAAAATTGTCTTGTACCAGGCATATTTTGTCTTATATAATACTCTGAGGACTTCTATCTCACCTGCGCTTGCCATCGAAGGCAGTCAGGTAGCTTATCTCATTCGTGGGAAGCGAACTCACATCCCGCTTTTGCGAATAAATATACTGTGTTCTCTTTTCGACAGCCTTGTACGGTCGGGATTTGTACGTATTTTCTTCTTGTCTTTGTCTCTCTCGCTCATTCTCTCTCTGTTCTCATCTCTTTCTCCCCTGTGCCTGAAGTTCTTTGTCTCCTTTTTGGTCTGTCCTTCCTTTATGTGCTGAACGACTGGAGATGACGAATAAGAGCTGTATCGCGATTTAAGAGATATCGCATCATGCTTCGCATAGCACGGACTGCTACAGACAACTTCATTTCATACTCATGTTTTTCTCTCGCTAATTTGAGTTGTCCAACTGGCAGACATGTACTCTCCTTAAAGCTCATCGTGCCAAAAGCCTGTGCATAACGAAAATCAAGATCAATCAAATACCTCACAATTCAGAATCCCGTCCAGGAATTTCACGAAATGGCTAGTACTGAGGATGATAACTTCGATATTGATATTTACGGGGACGGCGGCGGTTACAACGGGAGTGAGCAAGATGGAGAGTTTAAAGGAGAAGAAGCAGATATCATTCTTGACGCCTCTGAGCAACAGAATAGCGAGGTAAATAACGAGGGGCCCGGTGAGAAATACAGTAATGGTAATAGCCATGTCGAGAATGGCAGTCACAAGATATTTAAAACGGAAGAACCTGCATCAGAAACTCCCCAACCTGCAAAACAACAGCACCATCAGCCCCAGGTTCAAGCACCACCACAACAAGGCGTGAAGCGAAAAGAGAGCCATGATGACCGAAGTATGGACCCCGATGCCACAACTGCACTGTTCGTCTCGGATCTGTACTGGTGGACGACAGACGACGATATCAGAGGTTGGGTCAACCAGGCTGGCGTTGAGAACGATCTTAAAGATGTCACGTTCAGTGAGCACAAGGTGAACGGTAAAAGTAAAGGGTAGGTTGAAGATCCATTGGATGTTAGACTCCGTAAGACACTGGCAGCTAAATCCTGGATGTTCCATAGACAAGCGTTCGTTGAATTTAGATCACCTCAGGCGGCCACAGCCACGAAGCACAAAATTGAATCGTTCAACACCCAACAGAGTGGGAGAAAGTATACCGTCACATATACACACCCCAGTACCAATCCTTTCCGCACGTTGCCGAAAGATAACCCTATGCGTGCCAAAGATGAACGAGGATCACGGTCTGGATCTACCAGTAGTTTCAATGCCCCTCAGACTCAAAGCCCAGGTTTTGGTATGAACACTGGTGGTGGTTATCGCGGTGGTCGTGGCGGTGGATATAACCGCGGCGCAATATCTGGTGGATTTAACCCCAATCGTAACTTCGCATCGCCAATTGGAGGCGGTAACTTCCAAAGTGGTGGTATGGGTGGTGGGTTCCAAGCGGCTCCTGTTGGTGGCATGCAGCCCTACGGTGGATTTAACAGCCGTGGAGCTATGATGGGAAGTATGCGAGGTGGTCCTGGTGGCATGCGGGGAGGCCGTGGTGGTATGGGTGGCCCCGCCCCTAATCCCATGATGTCAGTTGGGGGCGTAGCCAATGTGGGCGGCATGGGTATGGGCATGGGTGGCATGCCGATGGGAGGTATGCCCAACCAGATGGGCGGGATGATGGGAGGCATGGCAGGTAATATGGGAATGCAAGGTAGGACATGACATAACCGTTAGACAGTTCCTTAATCCCTACCAATTATACATCGATGCTCAGTATGTTGGTATAGAATTCGCTAACAGCTACCTATTAACCAAGGACAAGGCGGTTACCAAACCCAGAACCCTCATTTCAATCCTGCTTTCTTCGGCCAGCACCATGGCGGCAATGACGGCTCTTGGAACCCACACGGCGCCAAACGGACGCGCCAGGAGTAAACGAAAGCGACCAAGAAACTACACCCTCTTCTTTCTGTCTTTTCCGGCCGAAAACGTCTCCGAATATCCTTCCGCCTACCTTTTCTGAGCCCACCGAAATTGTTCTCAAGCTACAGTTTTCCTTCTATATACTTGCCTTCGTTTTGTCAGTTGATTTCCTTTGCTTCTATTCTAGGTTGTATTAAGGGAAAATTCAGATAACATCTTCTTTTTGCGTTTTATATGGGCGAACTGTTCCTCCCTCTTATCCTCAGTTCTCATATCACATATGGGATTTGTATACTGGCCAGTTGATTCAAACATTCACGTCCCTTCTCCTGTTCTCCGCGCGTGCCATATCCATCTTTTACACTTCCACAACTGTTTCCTTATTTTTTCAGTAATTTTTGTGAAGAAAGGTGTCCTGCTCCTAAATATTAGGTCGGCAGCAATGTGGCACTTCCCAACGCAATCCCAATTTAAATTCGAGAAATATTCCCATGATTGTGACATGACCACGTATTGCAATCAGCTATTCAGCTTTTTTCCTTTTTCTTTTCTTTGTTCTATTTTTTCCTATGACTTTCCCGTTGCCCCATCTTTTGCTTTTCTTTCCTCTTTAGTTTTGTGTTCAATCCGGCTAATACCAGGCTCTTTTTCTATGAGGTGGGTGGGTGAATTAAAATGAATTGAGAATTGGTTGTTTGACTTCTTTTCATTTTTTGTATATCCATGTGAACATCTGTTCCTATCCATGTTAAATCTTTGTTTTTGGGTTGTCTTCCTTTCTCTGGATGTTATGAAGTCAGCAACGAATTACGAGTTATGTCTTCCTTAATTATTGGTGGGTAGTGTTTTCAATGGGCATATCCAGGAAGTTCAATCAAGAAACGGACAGGGGCATGAATTTATCGGGAGGTCTACAGTGAATGAATGGGCATGGGAGGTGTCCCTTATATATTTACCAGTACGTATTTAGACTCCTTCATAACAATGGAATATTAAAACTTATTCATAGAATGGTTAATCCTTATTAATCCTTCTAGCATACTTCTGTTCCATTGAATGCTGGTTTCCAGTTGATTTGGAGTAACAATCGCTCCTCCAACCATTAATCTCATCGAAGTGATATGTTGGTGCTAATATGATATCACATCATGCCAGTTGCTCGTCGGCTCTCGAGCTGACCGCTCCTTCGAAGTCCCCACAGCTCAACACTGGTTCACCATGTTGTTATCCCCCCAACCAAACTACCCCGCCTTTGGCATTTCAAAATACTGACCCTACCTCTCATCTGGCAATGCACTCTGTATCTCATAGGATCAATTTGCCCGCCAGCCATGACACTCATTCCCCCAGTCTCCCGACAAAATTTTCACCACTGGAACGGTGATCTCTTCATCATTGCAAGCAGTAAAACTCACCGCCACGCGGCACTTCCAGAGCTCCGGGTCTTTTTCCGTCCTTCCCTATATCAACACAGAACCAATGGGCCGCCTGTAAATTGGTACAAGGCACAACTTCCTCATTGTGGGCTCCCACCATCCAGAGGAAAAGGTGCCTTTTTAAGCGTCTGCCAGATGCTTTAAACATCGGCGAGCTGGAAGTACCAGCGAATATTCGGAAACTAGAATTAGATCCGAAGAAGGAATGAGAATCGAGGGTCTGGAAGGTGAGGCGGAATGCTGCTGCGGCCGATGAAAACGAATGCACAGGAAAGGATGGGGTGGCAGAGTGAGAGCGGGAAGACGAAGAAGCATATAAATAAACCCGGGAAGAGGGGGTTAAGAAACGAAAAGTTGCTTGAATTCAAGAAGACGACACTTGCGCCGCCTATTCCGCGTGGGATTCTTGGAGGGCTAAATAAATCTATCATGAGATTTTCAATCTCAATGATGGGCCACACCCGCAAGCGATTTGACTCTACTAACCAAGGATCAAACTGGCGGCGCAAGAAGGCGAAGAGAACGAGCTAGGAATCTTCTCACAAGAAGGAAGAATTTATTCGCAAAAGCAAAGAGCCTTCTCCAAGCAGCCTCTGATGTTACTCAGGTGACAGTTGGCTCTCCAAATACCGTTATGCAAACATCTCAGCCTGACCCTGAGCCAAAACCTGACTGTATTGAAAGGAGCGATGAAATGACAAATGACACAAAAGTCAGCTTAAATTCTAATAGCAACGTTAAACCACGGATTGTGAAGAAATCTCCAGAGGTGGAAAAGGGAAGTGTCGTTAGAGTGCAGCCTCTGGAGAGTCACATACCATTGAAAGAACCAAATTGCTGCGTCCTGTCTGGGTCAGTTCACCCCGTCCCTCAAGTTATATCACGAATGTACAAAACTAACATTGAACATCAATCAAGTTTTGAACCCCGCAAGAGACGATGCTTGATACATTCCCGCCGTCCAATCCCCGCACTCCACTTTTGGTGTAATAAACGGCTGCTATGTATATAAATATATATATATATATATATATATTTCAAGTTTCTCTCTTTGCTTCGTCTGAGTGCCTTTACTATGAACGTATGCATCTTCGTATATTGCGGCGACTGGAAGATCCAAAAAGACCACACTCCTTTCTACACCTGGCTAGGGAATGGTATGAGGCATTCGACATTATAACCAACATGCTAAGTTTGATAATAGCAGAATCAGAGCTAGCATGTGCAGAGACTATGAAGATACCGGAAAGCCGACAAGACAAGACCGAGGGAAGTAATGAGGTGGGAGGGCAGGTCTTGTTGGCATGGTAAGGGGGAAGGGGTGGTGTTGGGAAAGGGATGATACCTTTCATAATAGGTATGACTTACGTGCCCTTTTAAATGTGTTACTATATTCGTCTATCGCACAAGAAGCCCCCACACTTTTTTCCTTTTGCATATCTCAGTAACTCGAATTTTCAGCAACTTGGAATATACCAGTGAATTGCGTGTTTCTTGACTTTAACTAACTTTGAGGTGGACTTGAAATATGTGCTGGTGTTGTGCATAGTAGAAATGTGACTTGAATGTTGAAACGCAAAAGTAAAGATGGTCGAGAGGTTAAAGTGTGTATTGGACAACCTGAGGCAATGCAGCTGAAGGACTGAAACGCAAGTGAGTGGGAGAACCGGCCCGTTACCGGTAAAAGAGATGCTCCCTGAGGCAGAATTCAAACAACGACATAGGCGTTGATTGTATCTGACTCTAAATCGAAAAGGCCAATGAAATAAAATATTTCCAAAACGCAAAAAGAACAAGGACCGGAAGCTACTGAATTAAAGTTGTGCTGATTCCAACATCTCATTCTCCACCCCCCCCCCCCCCCCCCCCCCCCTTTCCCGGAAAAAAAAAATAGATCCAATAGTCACAATGCTAGCAAAGGAACGTCCGCACCTAACTAGTTACCTTACCTATGTGGACGGGTTTCATAGAAGACAGAGGCGCCGATGGAATCGCCCAAGCAATGAACTTTCCACTAAACTTTTCGGCTCCTTCCATAAGATCTGTTGGCAAATAACATGGAACAGCTGAAGGATGCCACTTGTTATGCACCAAAGGCGGAACGGACGAGGCTTACACATTGCAGCCCGCTGAAATTCACTAACCCACGTCTATGAAACAGCAGTTCAGAAACCAGAGGGTCTATCACTAGAGACGTGACGCTCATCTCCGCTTCCAAATTTACAGAGTATGGAAATCCGGCTTTGGTAACTATTTGTTCAACTAAATCTTAAGATTTAACTCACTGATAGTTAAACGTAAGTTAAATTTTAAGGTCACTTCACCTAAATTTTTAGTTATGTTCAGGCCCAGGGATCCATTTTCTCACACCTAAAATTCCAGACATAATATTCCCATGATTGCAATCTAGATTTTGGTGTACATACCTTTGGATGGAATGTCCTAACGTTTGATAGCGATATCTGCATGAGATCAGCAAAATAAATACAGAAGACTCAGCAGACTTTCTTGTCGACTCGGGAATTTCATTCCGGTGGTTATTAACTCTCTAGTTATTCTGGCTTAACAGTTGATCCACAGCCACATGGATGCCACGTGGGATGAAAAACAAGCAAAAAACTTACCGACATTGGAAGCTCCCATCTCCAACTCTCTACGCAACAGGGTTTTTATGCGATTTGATATGGCTTGAAAATGGTTTGTTTTAGGTGGAGACTTCAGGCGGCTGTTGTACTCTTGTAATATTTCGGATTATACGAAATAGATTCCAGCGTAAGAATGGGCTTCTAAGAAGTGTGCTTGTCTATCACAACTCGAGTTAAATTGCAATCCGTTGCTCTCCCGATAGATATCTTTGTTGAATAACCTACCCTTAGTTACATGGATGCTACATCTCATAGATTGCCTGAAGTTGAATCAGAATGCTCTTTTGAGATCCAATCAATTTTACTGATTCCCCTTATCTCAGCTAACTAACTAGTTACCGGGTAATTGAACCAGAAGCAAACAAAGAGAGATCAAGAATAAAAATTAAGTTTTGGCGAATTTGCCGGTACCTAACACTGTAGAATGTAAATGTCTCACGAGCTACCAAAATCTCAAGCCAAAGAAGCAGAAATCCTTGATGGAAAATGTGAAAATAAAGAACAATTTGCTGAGGGAGTGAAAAGCATTCTCTTACTAAGAGGTAATTATGCACGACAACGTTGATTCAAGAAAAGGAAATTATTCGAAATTGATGAAAGAAGCGGGGTTAATCAGATTGAAAATACACCTCAAACAAAGACCAAAATAAGGCAGGGTTTCTTGTGGGCTTTGCCTCGGTGATTGTGCAGTTTTCGTGAAATCTAACTAACCTGACCTTAAACCGCAACCAGTGAGTCAGGATGACCACGATGATTAAAGTACGAAACAATATAGTAGAACAAAACAAGTCGATGCGGAGGTGAGCTCCTAAATTTTTCCAAGGGGCTTATCAACAGAAAAAGAGAAGAAAGGAAGAAAGATAAAACCACAACATAATAAGATTAAGAGCTGTCGATTAGCCAATTTCTTTGACTAACCGGGTTATCGATTCTTGCCAACGGGAGAGGTGACTTAATTAATTTATCTCTTATAGGCCATGTTCCCTAGAAGCAGTGGGAAAGCGGGCCACCAGTCGACCGGGGGGATTTACAGCTTTGTCACAGACTTCTCCGGCTTCTGAAACGGAAGCCCGTGCCAATGATCCTCTTTGCGAGTTTGGTGAAGATATCGGTCTAACATGAACGACCGCGGCGGATTTTCTTCAGCATGGAGGCTAGCACATAGAGTAGCAAAAGGTGATTAGCGTCTGGGCTTTTCTGCAATGATCTGAGCTCACATGGTCCAGTAAATAGATTTTGCACGAATTGGGGCTAGTCATCTTTGACAGGGTTGACGTTGATTGACGCTGATGGGGACTTGGAATGGCATTGGAGTGGACTCGGTGCATGCACAGTACATTGTGCAGACAGTAACATGACATCAAGACTGACATGACAAAGAGGAAAGAAAAGCAAAAAACAATATAGATGTCTTACTTCAAAACTTGTTGAGAAGGTGCTTTTGTGCCTCTATTCTCTTCCTTCTTCTTGTTGGGCGCGTTTGAAGATCTTTTAATCATTTGTTGAGAGAGATACACCAAATCTATTTTAACAAGTATAGAATGTCTAAGATGAATTTAAGAGGGAGAAACTCTTTGAAGGATGGCGAAGGAAAAAATGGGAGCTTGTAATGTTCAATAACTATAGGTCGTAGAAATGGCGGGAGTCTATTGACAGTGTCTTGCGCTCGCAAGTAGTGTGTTTGGATGATATTGTCGGTTTAGCAGAGGAGGCATAGGGATAAGACTCTTCGAATTATATGTCTGTCTCTAATAGAGGCTTCGGGGAGAAACAAAATTTCTGCAGGAGAGAATGTCGACAAGAACTCGAGGACAAGCTGTCAATTTATATGCGATGCTTTCTATCTGCTTTTGGTGTGCTGCGAATGTATGTATGTACCTGTACAGTCAGGATGTATTTACCGGTGTAACTACCAGGTGGTTGAGAAGTACGGGCATTAAGCAGTAGTTACAGGATGAATGTGCAAGTTATGCAGGTGGCAGGACAGTGCCTGTTTTTTTTTTTTTTTTTTTTTTCATAAAAACGAGCTTTATTTTTATTTTTATTTTTACTTCCTTTTAAAAAAACAAATCCACATATGTAGGAACTACCTACTCCACAAATGTGTTTTCCAAGTTCTGTACGAATTTACTAATAACGACAGTGGCGTCGAAACGACCGGTCTTAACTAAATATAGGTATCAAATCTGGAGTTAGCACAGAAATCGTTCAGACAAACCATATTTTCTTTTTTCCTTTTTAAGTTTTCAACAAAGATTAACGGCAGGGATATACTTAAAGACTAAGCATACCTAATGTGCGGTTTGCGGACCAGTTCAAGAATCGTATCTGCAGAGTGTAGCAATAAAGCTGCTACATCGTCAGCGAGATATGCCTCCGCAACACATGCATGAATTATACATATGCATACGCATATAGTCATTTACATTTAGTCACCGGTCAATGTTGGCCCCATTCCCAAATACGACCTTGTATGACTGGACAATCCCAGCAAAGGCACCTGTTTCGGGAGATACATCCCCATGACCACCAAAAACTGGAGCTTGGCTTTTGGGATTGACGCCGCAGGCGGCTACCGCCTGGCCTTAAAGTGAAATACGAGCCCTATTACCTGTCTAAAGAGTTACTCATGATATTCGCAAGGATATGTTTGGCAGGCCTCGGGACAAAATTCCTTTCCGTTTCTAATTTTTTAAAAATCTCTTCGGGAGATGCTAAAGTGAAACAAGAGCTCTACTTTGGTGGTTGGTTTTCTGGAATACGGCATGCATGTCTTCTCTGCTCATGCATTCGAATTCCGCAGAGGAAATAAGAGGCCACTGCCAACGGCTAAGGTTCCTCTTTCTTTCCGTGTCATTTTACATTTCAGTCTCTATCTTGGTTTTTAAAATTTTCAGCAAGAACTCTTATCATATCCTTCACTCTAGCTTGAAAAGGTAAAACAGGACGCTGCACATTGTCAGAGAATGCACGGTGCGTGCATGATGAGACAGGAAAGGAAAGGAAGTAATCTGCCTTCTTCATTCTTCCTATCTACGGTAAAGGGTGGTGCATTGTTTTCTTCCCTATCATATATAAGGCGTTTTAAACCCGCCCGCGGGTTGCGGGTGGCTCTCTCCGGGACATGGGGCATCCGTGGATGGACCAATCAGGTTCCAATCCCCCAGGGACTGTAACCACCAATCAAATAAGCAGGATCTAGTGCAAATGACATCATTGGCGGGAGTTTAACTTTAATATTCCCACTAAGCTTCCGAGCTTATTCTTACATCAACGACAACGCTTTGATTGGTAAACAAATCCTCATCTGAGCATTCAAATGCATTCAACTTGGACAAGATATTATATTTATTTCTTCTTTTATTAACAGTAATTAAGTTTTAATCTAATAAGTGATTGTATAGAGATTCAGAGTTGATATTTAAGATACTATAATTATAATTAAATAAAATATAAAGTATAAGATGATTCAGAAGTGATTAACATTCTGAAAGATATTTTTACTTTGTATGAAATTTAATTTAAGAATATCTATAATTTTGATAGAATTGAATTTATAATTAAACTTCGTACAACTATGAAGTTGTTATTAGTTCTGAATAACATGACTAAAAATAAACTGAAAGTCGTGGGCATGAATTGTTCATGAACGCATAGTCTCATCGGGTTTTCTATATCGGATTACCGCATCCTTCACTTATGATTTGTCAGTTCTCAAGATGACGTGCTAACGCTCCTAAGTAGTTACTGGCCCACACAACCGGGGAAAGATTAAACCTCAGCCCATCCAGAAATCCAAACCACGCTATTATGAAGGAGGGACTAAATTGCGCTTCCGCCGGTCAAGCGCTGCGCCAGGAAGGGTGGCATTGGATATTTATAAACTTTCATTTCATAGTTACTTCTCCCGTTTGTGCTCCAGTGTTGGTTCCTCCTGAAAGTTTTCTTTGTGTTGGTGTTTTATTGGTTGACGCTTTTCGCTCTCTTCTTGGAAATAACATGAAACAACAAAATTTCTCACCGCCGAACGCTGGACTAGTGAGCGACAACCGGAAACTGATTCTGGTGGCCGAACAGCTGCACTGTCAGAGGTCTCATCCTCTTTACGCCTTAACGTGAACCGGTCTACAGTCAAAGCTTCATCCAGCCACAGAATTGCTGCCTCCTGATGCTGCAGGTAAGGGGAAATGAGAGTTTTTTAACCATCAACACCAATAATTAATTTCCTCATGAATTGTTGCATCCTCAATCCATCAATCAATGTTTCATTTATCTCTGCACGGCGACCATCTGGAGCAAACCTAAAATTTCGTGCAACATGTAAAGTCATGTCTTGACCTGGGCTTTGAAACTTTCTTTCCGCCCCTTTAGTGTTAGAGTTCAGTTCATTAAACAACAAGTATATATAAAACGCAGGAGGCTTTTCACTGGGAACGGAACGATCAATGTACAGTTCATAGAGTTACAGGTAACTTTTATTCGGAACTCGTCCACATCGTGCCGCATACTGTGTAAGGTCGCTAAAATGAAAACCCACACACGGGTCATTAAGCCCAAACTTGCTTAGTGTGCTATATAAATGCGTTCAGGTCAGGCATACGAGGCCCTAGGGCACATCAAGAATCTCTGATGACAGGTACCAACATCCCTTGGGACTAAACTAGCTTGGCCGGATCCGCTTCCCCGTAACCTTAACAAGCTCCTTGTTGACAGTTGTTGGGGTGCCAATTGATCTTCATCAACGGAATCCCTTTCTAGTTTTCCCCATTGGCTCCCCAGGCCTGCAAATAACCAACAACCATTGTACTTACATCGGGGCTGGATTGGTAAATCGGGCTCCCGGTAGTGAAACCCGGCCCTGATTCAGCCGCCCGGATGGAAAACCCGACATCCTGCCGCCCCAGTAACTATAGTTAACTGGTCGAGATCAAAAGAATGCACGATAACAAGTGCACGTGTGTTGAAACTGAACCGACAATTTCCAATTTTTTAAAATGGGGCCTGATGCTAAAGTTTGTTTTCCCTCTCCATTCCGTCCTTTGGCCATGTGTATCCCTTGCGTTTCAATTTTTCGTTTCATAGGAGAGTAGCTTGAGTGTTGGTGCGGATAACACCCTCCGACAGACAACCCTGAAATAATTAATGCGTGGAGATGATTTCTATTGGGACGAAAATTTATCCTGGTCTTTCCCTCGAATGAACGAACGAATTAGAAACTAGTTAAGGAGCCTAAAAAGGGCAACAAACGTCGCCATAAACGAGATGAAGTAAAGTTACCAGTTCGTAAAGTTTGAAATTCTGGTTTCTTCATATCACAACCCTTCCTTTTCGGAGCAGGTACCGATACTGCGGTGAGATGCCATGTGCACAAGGTACGTACGTATGTAAATACGTCTCCTCCTTGTTGGTGTCCAAAGAACCCAGAGTATAGAAAACAAAAGGCAAGGGGTCGGAAGAGGAGTCCGCACCTCTAGGAACAGTGCCACAGGTTGACGATGGATTCACGCAAGGAGCTGAAGATGTGGCTAATACAACTTGCCGGTATCATAGTGAGGCTCTCTTCGTGTATGCTAGGAGCTGATTAACTGGGGGGGTCAGGGTGTTTATCGCGGGGAAGGTTGATAGTGCTCCCGTCGAGGTCTGTAAATAAAATTTGTCCATCTCAAGGTGTCCTTGCCCGAACGGCTGGTTACAGACAACGGATCGTTTCGTTGATCCAATTAGGTGAATCTGATCTACTTGACAGACCCAACAATGTCATTAATAGCTAATCGCTGTACCTATGAACATTTTGCGATAGCCATGGCATGCAGAAAATTCTACAGGGCTCAAAGCTTGGCAAATCTTCAAATTAGGTGCCTGGTTAAGTACGAAGTATCAGTTCGAGGTCAATGCTCATGACGGAATTGCATAAAAGTAAAATAATATAAATAACATGTGAGAGAAAAGTAAAGAAAAACTTGCATGAAATGATATACACAATAATATACAGAAGAGCTCCACAGGTATAGATGTCACCAATAAGTGCTTGGGAGGGGAAAAAGGAACAATTCACAGGGAAACAACAAAAAATAAAAATCCATCATCTGGACTTGAATGCCCAACTGACTTGAATGTCCAACTTAAGGATAAGAAATGTCAAAATAGGAAGAAACTAAGTAATAAGAGCAACGCATGCGATAATATCCCAGGGCTCCAAAAACGCCATTTTTCGCTCGTTCCCATAAATAATGCATCAGATCTAAAACCGTGTTCTAAATCCCTGTTTGCTCAAGGACAGAAGGGGAAAACTACCCAAAAATACAGCACAGCGTGTGCGAAAAGGAAAACGAGAGGAAGGATAAGCACGAGTACCCTTTTTTGTATATCTAAAATCCCAAGCGGAACAACGGAATGCATGGTGGATTCCTCCTATGTCTATGTTAACAATGAGCGCCTTGGAAAAAACGTAAACGTTTAAGTGAGTATGGATAGTTAGTCAAAGGCCGTACAACTCAGGAAATGTATGCTGACTTCTGTTATGTAATAGGGATGATGTGTAAGTGGAAAGATGATGTTAACCGGGTAAGAAGAGGCGGTTATAGACAGGGAGTTCGACTACGCTGTCGCGCCACAGAGTCGGACAATCATTTCGTACCTGGATGGGATGTCAGTAACCTACATGGGATGGGGAGAAACAGGAGAGAATCAAAAGACTTGAGAAACGCGAGTAGTTGGTGGGAGGGGTTATTGTCAACTCACATTCCAAACATGATAGCAGCGCTTGGCACAACTCTGAGGAGGTGAGGAGTTAGACCCCCATAGAGGCCAGCCATTCCTTCTTCCTTAAACACTAGTCGGAAACATTGAAGTAGACCGGAATATTTCATATGCGGCTTGCCACCGGAAACAGACACCGTGGGTGCCAACCGCAACCTTGTGCGCACAACTTCATGGGGGTACGTGACACTAGCAGCAATGAACTTGGCAAGTCCTGCAGCAACAACTTTTCCTCCCCAGAGCATGGCGTTATCAACCGAATTGGGGACATAGTTTGAATCCGCATGTAGGCGCCCCTCGGCCTCTGCCAGCACCCGTTTCATCTGCTCATACAATACCCACTGAAGCGTGCTCTCTGTGACTCCAAGATATGACGCGGACAACCCCCGGTAGAGCCCGCGAATTCCCTCATGGCGCACAGTCTGCCTAATGCAGTCCCAACTGTTTTTATATTTGCGATCTCGACCGGGGAGATTCGAAGCAGTCGATTTGTCAAGTTGCAGGCGAGTCTTCACTAGCCAGATAGGGTTTGTGGCGGTCCCCGTCGCAATGCCAGCCATGGCCGCAGCGCTCAAATGAACACCTACTGGCGAAGTGGCGGTGTCATATCCCAAATACTCGCTCAGTAAACGCTTTCCGTTTCCGTAGGCGTAGAAGTTGATAGCCCTTGCTGGAACGACGCCTATTAGATTAGGACCCAGGCCTTTGAACAGACCTCGCCAGCCTTCATGGACATGTATCGATCTGAGCATTTGAACGGTTTCGGTGAAATGGAGCATAGCGCTTCGCGGAAGGGTTAGGATGGATGTTGACTGCGGCAACGGATGCGCCTGGCGCAGTGCCCGCAGCTGAGATTGGTAGAAGTCGGACTGAAGACGGGTTTTTAGAACATCGAGGGGACATGTCAGAGTCGCTGCGGTCATTCCACCAATGCTGTTTCAGGCTGAGTTAGTAATGCTGTATTGTCACTGGAATAACCTGACAGCTTGTAGAGGCGACCGGGAGTAGGAGCATATGCATAGTACGTACCCTCCAGCGACGAAGTGAGCCCATGATTTTGCATCAGCCTTCTCTGTCTGTTGGGGGGCAACTTCCACATCATCAGTTTCCGCATTCTTTAGCAAGAAAGACGTTTGCGAACCTGGTTTTCCATTTCCAAGGGGATTATTGCGCCTGGCATCGTCGTGAGAATGCGGAGAGAAAGTCATGATATGGTGAAGATATATAAGTACACAAGCAAGGATCTCACGTTCAGAGCCACGCCATTAAATAAATGACGTACGTAGAGAGGATATCAAAAGCGTGATCTGAGGAGTTATCATCGTTCGGAGTTCAAGAGTTATTTTGCTGTTTGCCCATACCCAAAACGTTTTTGAAGTTTTAGCATTACTATCAGAGTTCCTTGGCATTGGCTTCTTTTTTTTTGGGTTTGTCTGGAGGGTAAATCACGTGATATTAAGGTTTCCCGTTGGATTCCTCTAAAGTGAAAGTTACTCTCCAGATTTGGATAATGGACAGATGCACTAATTAGATCAGACACCGTGATAGACCGTTTCAATAGAGAGATCACGAAGTTTTGTGTCAGTGGATTCCTGTTCACTGGCGGCTAATTAAATGCCCAATCTCCGACGGTTCTCAACTTAATACGGTGGGGTGATTCCGTCTCTACGATTGCAATGTCAAATCTGGGTTGAATATTATCAGCGTGAAACGACTTGAATAAGCTATTCACATTTGGCTGGAATATGGTTCCTCTCTTATCGTCCAGTTGAATCAATGACGGCATAGCCTTGAACTCGACGAGCCAGGCACGAGATCATATTTTTCCAGATGTATTTGTTGGCCCCAAAACCTGTCATCCTTTCCAATCTGCGACTGAGAATGATGCCTCCATAGTGAAGTGGGCAGGCACATCCTCAGCTGAAATGAATATGAACAAACTGAAATGACTCCATTGGTTGAAAAGAAATTAATTTCCTCATTGCCTGGAATTTATGCTACACTGACACCAAGCACAGAGCCTGTGCTCTGCTACGTCGCCCGGTGCAATACAGATAGTATTTCACCGTGGCATTCAGAAATCGTTAAGGGAAAAATAGAAATCAGAACCCAAACCCCATACAATATTTTTAGTTTCTTTAAATAGTCGTCTCGTATGGCACAGGTGTGATCGTCTCTGGGAGGTTCCCTTCCGTGCTAACAGTTCTCGCTTCCCGGGGTCCGACTGGCTGTCTCTTCAGATGAACATGGATACCCTCCTCCTTAGCCTTCCGCTTCTTGACGGCATTCTCCTTGACCCGGCGGAGGAACTCTTCTCTGGATCTGGAGTGGGAGACGTGCTCGATACGGACGTTGACGCGCTTCTCGATATATCTGTTTCCGACTCGCTTGTAGATGATGACGCCGACGGCAGACTTGGTCACGTTGTACACAACCCCAGTTTTGCCGTGGTAGATCTTGAATGGCATACTATATGATTATCACATCTCAGCGTTTCATCCAGATTTGGGGCAGTTTGGATGTTTCATCGTTAATCAATTTCGCATAGATCGTGCTCCCCCAAACTTAGGAAATAGTTCTTCTTACTGACCCCTGTTGAACTGCGCCATTGACTTTGATATCCACGATGTCGCCAACCCTATATTATATCCCCTCGTTAACTCCCACTTCTCCGCTATCCTTAATACCATCAATCCCAATAGCCAGAGGGTGCGTTTTCGTACCGGTAAACTCTCAAAAAAGTGGAGAGAGGGATAACACCCTTCTTCTTGTAGTCGCGGGAGAAGGCATACTACAGAGATAACACTTCTGGATTAGTCGGGCTTCAATCGCAAGGGATTGATAGGGCAAAACGAACCCGGGTGCCGGATCTCAGACCGTGTGAGTGACCCATCTTGGGCGTCTGTGTGGTAGTCAGAGGGTGATTGTCGACGTCGAGGATGCTATAACTCTCAGCGGTCTATCCTTATACTGACCCGGCGTGAGGAAAAGCTGTTCGTCGTTGGGTTTTCGCTTAGGCGGTTCGTTGTGCGGGTTCAGCCCTAATTCTGGCCCAAACGGGAAATAGCCCACGATGACCTAAGCGAGCCTCATCAAACCGCCAAATTAAGCCACTTTAATTATTTCGACCAGTTTCGACATTGACAACAACAGCGACAACTCCTCTCCCAGCACCCTCGACCCTCCGGATTGCGCTGCCGTATTCTCAGCCATGGCCCCGTAAGTTTTGATGTATTTCTTTCTCCCTTGCTGGATAGCCGGTGATTCTAATTGTGTATGCGATGTTTCCAGGCGCTCCTATTCCAAGACCTATAAGGTCCCTCGTCGTCGTAAGTACCAATTTGCCTTGAAACACTGAAAAAGAAATCAAAAGAAACCTTACCAAAAATATCAACATTCTGACAATTGCGTGTTCCTTGTTTTAGCATACGGCTCGGCTCGTCTGTTAGTATCCTCCGGCCACTGAGCAGTAGCTTGTCTCTGCTTATGTCGTTGTGTCAGATCTCCTAACTTGATACCTCGAATAGTGACTCAGAGTTGAAAATTGTCGGCACATATGGTCTCCGCAACAAGCGTGAAGTCTGGCGTGTCCAGCTCACCTTGTCCAAGATTCGACGTGCTGCTCGGTACGAACGGATTTTCTTTTGTACAGTTCAAATTGCTTCGGCCTTTGATTAATACGTGCTGCGTTCTATAGTGAGCTCCTCACCCTTGATGAAAAAGACCCGAAGCGCCTTTTTGAGGGTAATGCCTTGATTCGCCGTCTTGTCCGTGTCGGTGTGCTCGACGAATCCCGTATGAAGCTCGATTACGTCTTGGCCCTTACGGTCGAAGACTTCTTGGAACGCCGTCTCCAGACCCAGGTCTACCAGCTCGGTTTGGCCAAGTCCATTCACCACGCCCGTGTCCTCATCAAGCAGCGACATATCCGGTACGTATATTTTCTGAGTTACATTGTAGAGCTTATTTCACTAGTTTCTAACAAATTTTCGTTTCTAGCGTTGGAAAGCAAATTGTCAACGTTCCCTCTTTCGTTGTCCGTCTTGACTCCCAGAAACATATCGACTTTGCCCTTACCTCTCCCTTCGGCGGAGGACGCCCTGGTCGTGTCCGGAGAAAGAAAAGTAAGGCTGCTGAGAAAGGTGGTGAGGACGAGGAGGAAGAGGACGAAGAGTAGATCTGTGCACAGACTTGGCGATGAAGGAGCCGTGGGAGAGGCGCTTTTTGCTAGCTGGCATACCTTGATGTATCAAGCAAAATTACAAAATAACGTGAGAAGATTTTACGAAATAAAAACCATAAATCATTTCCGTTTAGCACTGAACATTCCTCCATGGGACCCCCGCTTCCATCCGTAAAGCGCCTCCTGAGCGGTTAATCAATCCCACAAGTAGTAACCCAAAACTCCATACAAAAGGCGATGGCATCCACTGTAACCAAAAAATAAACCCTCATGACCCCTCAACTCCAACCAAATCCTTCAACCCTTTCTCTACACCTCTATACCACCTTCCCATCTCCTCTAGTCCATCGCTCTCCCCTTCGTGTTTCCTTCTCTGCGCCTCCTTAGCCTGTGCGACGGCCTCAATCTTCTTCTTTTCCAATCTTGCCAATTCGCGCTCCACGGCTTCAGCTTCCCTAATGCTACGCGGCAGCGACGAATTTACGGAGGAAATTTGACGGTCGAGGCAAGCCAATTCTGCATCCCGCTCCGCCAGAAGCGCAAGTGTGGCTGGCAATGACAGCGTTTGGGAAGAGGGCAGCATAGAATCTGATTGATAGGCAGAGGGCTCTTGCGATGCAGCCGCAGCCGCGCGTAGTGTGGATATCGTAGATTCAAGGCTTTCTATCGATGCGGGGAGATCAGATAGTTGTGCTGTTTGGAGTTGAATTTTCTTGTACCCTTCAAAGAAAGTAAAAATAGCATCAGTACATAGGGGCTATCTGGGGGAGGGGGAGGGGGAGGGGGGAATTAATACGCGTCGCAAGTGCCCTCCCCATTCTCTCCATCTCTTCAATCATAAGTCTGACGTCCTCCTTACGCCTGCGCAGCTCCTCCTTCACCACCGCCAATTCCGCCTCGAGTTCGACATTTTCATGATGTCCAACGACAAGAGGCGGGTCACCGACAATTGCGCGCAGAAATTTCTCCTTCGTGACTTGTTCGATGTACGAGAAGCGGAGTTTCGAGAATAGTTCCTGTCCCGCAGGATATTATAATTTACTGTCAGATCGCAAATTTTTCTGACGCAAGCTAGAACTCGTCACGGAGTAAGGCGCCCAGGTACTTACTTTGTAGTGGGTTAAATCCGCTTCCAATGACGCGGGCGTGGGGTTATCAAAGGCATCCGTAGATACATCAGAACGACGCTTTGACGGCGACTGGGACGAGATGGCTGAATCTATTGTAGAAGAGATAGGTTCGCTGATTTTAAGAATCGAGAGGCGCGTGTCAGGGCCGATTTGGTGCAGAGCGGCCAGCGCTTTGGAGGGAGACACGGATGACATTACTGGAAAATCTTCACAAGAATAAATAAAGAGGGATGTTTCTACACACTTGAATGACTTGAAATCTGGTAATATGTTATAATGAATTGATTAATCATTGGCAAAGAGTCAAAGTTTATGTTCATCTGCAATGTTGATATCCAAATAGATCCGTTGTTCACTAACGTAATCCACGATCGAACCAACCTCCTTGATCAGTTTGCCACAACAACTGGGATACCAAAGTAAAAATTAAGCAACAGCTATATAGCTACCTCACCTAATTACATTATAAATTATTCCCTGTATGCTGGGAGTATGTACGAATAGAATGTCCTACAATACCACATCCACTGCACTGTGGTGCTGCTTGCTTTTGTGACTGCTCATCAGACTGCTCTATCATCTCTCTTTCCATTTCATTAGTTACCTCTTTGTATGCAATTTACATCTTATTGAATGGTCAAACCCTCTCTCTGACTTATTTATATACACTATCTTTTAACACTTTCTCTTTTGTTTGGCATTTGTAGTTTTTGGCTTCGCATTTTCTCTTGTCGAATGATAGCATCATGCATGATAATCTGACATCTATTAACCAACCAGCTGATCTAAGACTTGTTTGGTAGGACTGAGTGGACTCTGTGTATGACACTTGGGATATTTCTTGATCTTCTTCTCACTCTGAAGCTTCAGTTGTTGTACAGTATGAGATCTGACAAGTGGTTCAGAAGCCCTGAGAACCGCATGTGAATGTTGAGATAGACAGGAATCAGGTTTTTAACTAAGAATGATTATTAATAAATCAGTTAACTAAGTTAGTTAGTTAGCATAATTGATGTCAACAATAAGCAAAGTGAGACTGGACTGCATTCATAGGGATTATCACTGAACAACAGCTGACTCTTCAGTAGAGGTCAATTTTCAATTCTTAGGTTCAGAATTCTCTCATGTTGTTCAATTATTCAATTGATTTCTGTAAAGTGATAAAGAGAATGCCATATAAGCTCACAGCTTTCTTAATACTTGAGATCTGGCCTTTTTCTAATGCTTGAATATTCCTTTCTGATTGGAAGCTTGGGAATGTCTTGATGTAAGCATCTTGTCGGTGAGAATGCTGGACGCGTACGTGGATTGCGTTCACTTAGTTAAACTAGTTAGTTAGTTAGTTAACTAACTAGTTAAGTTAGTTAATAGTGATTGATTAAGTAGTGATGTTTGTCTTGTTTGCAAAAATGACTCCCCAACAACTCTCTAATCACAGTCGAACAAAACCAGGAGGCAAATTTGATCAACTCCGCAAAACCCTCAAAGATACAGGCGGGAAAGGAACTCATTGTCCATGTCTTTCCATGCTCGTGTATTTCATATTAAATGGGTTGTTTTCCGCTGCAATGTCGACGAAGAAGAGAATGGAGCCTCCGGACTTCGACAATGATGAATATGTCGCCCAGCTTCTCGCAAAGGATGCACGAGACAGTTCCGTGCGGTATTCTACATTAGGCTTGGATGCTTTAATCCCGAACAAGAGGTATGTGTGTAATGCGAAGTACTTCACTTATGTCGGGCTACGACGGGGGTCTGACCCATGAATAATAGGCCTTCCTCAGGCGTTCCGAAACCTAATACCCGGTTTTTGAAGAATATCCTACGCGAAACGGATAGTCACAATGCGAGTCTGAAAAGGAAGGAGGAAGAGGAGGCACGAGAGAGAATGAGAGCGCTGCCCCATGGATGTGGGCGATTATCCGGCTCGAAACCGGATCGTAGCCTATATGATGTGAGGGCGGCAAAACGACGGAGGGTGGAGGGAACCTCTGACCTCAAATACGAGCGCGGGAGAAACTTTGGACGACACAGAAGAGGTAAATATGAGAGCAGGGGTGCTTCTTGTGACCAAGAGAGGGAGAGGGAGAGGGACCAGAGAAGACGGGAAAAGAGATACGGCAATGAGGAAATCGATGAGGAGCCAGCAAGATATCGGTCGTCGAGATCCAAACACAAAAAGGAAGATGATCGATCCTATCACCACAGTCAACGACGTGCAGAATATACGAGGTCCTCAGAAAAGAAAAGATGCAGTGATGATGACCGAAAACGTCTACATCATCGGAGACGTCACCGTCACTCTGATTCTTCATCCCCATCGCGAACTAGACGCCGCTCCCCGGAATGCTCCAGTCGCCGGGAAGGGAGAACAGAGGATCCCAAGTTACATAATGGAAAACGTCTCTCCAGCAAGCACTGTGCATCTGCTACGTTACTAGACGACAGAGCTGTGGATAGGGAAATTTCATCCCGTCAAACTTCAACAACCCTTCGTGGAACTCCAAAGCCGCAATCCCACAACCTTGATTCCCTTCCTCCCTCAGATTCAGATTCAGATTCAGATCCGCTGGAAAGCCTTATTGGCCCACTACCCCCCTGTGAAACCAACGACACCCCGCCCCTCCGGTCCCGTGGCAGAGGTACTTATAGCACAAACAAAAGCAACATTGACGCGCACTTCGCATCCGGGTACGATCCGACTCTCGACGTGCACCTGGATGACGACAATGACGATGGGCCGCATGCCTCCAACTCCACTAGACCAAGGCCTGTAGCCAGTTTAACTACCAAAGAAGATGACGAATGGGACATGGCGCTCGAGGCGCTGCGGGATCGTGCGTTGTGGAGGCGGAAGGGTGCAGATCGGCTTCGCGAAGCTGGGTTTGATGCGGGGTTTATTAATAAATGGGCTGGCAATGGGGCATTTGCGGGGTTGGATGGTGGCGGCGGTCACAAAGATACACGTAGGGATGAGGATAAGGACGTGGGGGATGTGAGGTGGGCGAAGAAAGGGGAGAAGCGGGAATGGGACCGTGGCAAAGTTTTGACGGATGATGGGCATGTTGATGTGAGACCTGAATGGTAGTCGAATCGTGAAAGGGGTTTCTGGTGGTTAGAGCCGATTGTCTATGGCTGATCTACACCTTTTTGGGCATATTTCTGTCCTGGGCGATGCCATCACGTTGCTTTGTTTTGGTTTTCCATTATCATCTTTGATATTGCACTTGCAGCTTGGGTCATTAAAGTCTATTGCCCTATGTAAATATTGTCTACATTTCGTATATATGTCACACCAAGCAAAGTGGTTTGGGGGTGTACGAAAATCTAATGTTACATGTACGTCTACGCTCCCTGTCAATTCCGTTCCTCTTTCCACCTTTCCATCCCCCGCCTGTAATCATCACATGTATAATACAAAAGGGCCACTCATGCAAGACAACATCCTTTTTTACTCTTTTACATTTGTAGACGGCGTTTCGTATATATGTGTTTACCCACAAAACATCGCCAAGTCCGTGGCAGAGGCCAGATTCGGGTTTTCAGCAAATTTTTGTCATTTATGCATTGAAATTGTTGGGATAGTTTGAGCTAGGACAAGGGTTATGATGAAGGGGGAAGAGATTAGAATGGAGGAGCGGGGTAATAAACAGTGGTAAGACGGAGACAGGTGAGAAGCTTACAAGGTGCCACTTCAGGAAGTTCGCGGCTAGTGAGCCAACCAAGCCATTAACAAAGATTAAAGTCCAGAGGATATCACCATCTATGTAGATATGTGGGGGATGAATACAGTATATCAGGTATAGCTTCTTGAGGTGCCTTTAAAGTATTTGGCGTACATAGAGGAGATAGGGGGAAGGGGAGAGGTGTATATTGTTCTTTTCTCCTTCTCATGGCGGTGAACGGCATGAACGAAATGGACAGTAAAATACGGCTAAATCATAAGGATGGGCAGTAGGAGGGTATAAAAAATAAAACAAATCGATCAATGAGCAAAAGGGAAAACGGGGTAAGGGGCTAATTGAACTTCGGATGGTAAATGTAGCGAGGAACGATAAACAGGACAAAACACAACACGCACAATATCGGGACTAACAAACCATCCATTTTCGAAGCCTTCTCTCCCCAAATCACGGGCGAAGCTAGTTTCACCATTCTCCCATCAGATACCTTCACAAGTCATGGTTCTATCAACAACCATCCGGTCTACTTAAGACGTTCCGCCGTCCTCTTCAATCGTAGTTTTGCCTTCAGAAGTTCGGATTGAAGTACGTGAGGGAGGGATTAGCTGCAGGTGGAGAAAAGAATATTGTAGCAGCTCATTTTGTGAATTGTTATCCGCATATTCAACGCTATCAATCTTCGGTCATATTGTGGTAATCATCATATGTTATAGCTGGATAATTGCCGTTTGTGGTCCACACTGTGTGTGCTGCAATCGAGGAAGCGCAAAAAAGGTGTGGGTCTCGTCTTCTCTAGCAGGTTTTGATGATTCGAAAATTGTCAATGAAAACTGAAGTATACCCGTTTATTCCACATGGCCGTGAGGTATCACCGATTTCATCGCAAATCATAACAAGTGAGTAAAGATCAAGGACATATTCGCGGCTCTAGGTTTCTTAGCAACTGTATCCTGTATCGAACTGTTGACTGCAGATGACCACTCCAATATCAATGATTTCTGTCCGTTAAAAAACAAAAAAACAAACAAACAAACAAACAAACAAACAAACGAAAAACAAACGAATTTTTTTTTTTTTGATCTTTCACCCTCTCGTTCTTCGTCGGTGCCAAAAGCGAGCCGTGTCGGAATCGAGATGAATATTAGCTTGTTCCATGGCTGTCAACAAGCGCAGTAGCGATCCTGGTGGTTGTGGAGCAGCAAATTCTGGAGGTCTTGGACCGACTGTCGTGTTCCCTTCGGCAGGGGAGGGTCCATGATCAGAAATTCCCAGGGTTTCTTGGAGTGTGTTGAGGTTCACCTCGCTTGCAAACTCTACCAGACCGCCCAGCAATCTAGCCCAATGAATTAATATTTCAGGGTCCACCACCAATACGCTTGGAAGGCGGAATTGTAGTGTCTTTCGCGTAGACTGGCCATCGGATGGTGGAGAGTCCGGATCGTTCTGATTTGTGCCGGGGGTGCATTCTCCTGTAGCATCCAGATGTGAGGAGAAGTCATATTTAAAGTAATAGTGCTTAGCCGGCTGCTCTGATTCGGGAAGCTCTGGGTTGAAGGCACAAATGAGTGACTGCATATCGGGGCATGTATCCAGGAGATGGGAAGCTAGAGAAGCACGCGAGAAGTCCTCGGGAACATTTGGAGGTTGAAAGTGAGGGCTTCTTAGCGGAGAAACCCAACGTTTCTGTGGTTGTGCGTTAGTACCAGTACAAAAGATCAAGGACTGATATGTATTGAGAAGGAAAGATGGCCCTAACTGGATTATTTGGGTGGCAAATATATGTGGGGAGCCGAACCATTCGATCGAGCTCCGGTTCGTATACTAGTAAGAGCATGGCAAGGTTGCGAACCGCGTGGAAAGGAAAACCTGCAGTGGCGTTCTCGCCGTTTCCGATAAGGATATTGAGGTTCGTACTAGGGTTATACTCTGTATACATGACTCCGTGCCGCACAATGGGAACATATTGTTCCGATCTTTGCGAGAATACCCGCTGAGCATCAGCTTCCCATCCAGGCATATAAAGAGGATATGGTGGGGAAATGATTTTGATAGGTTGAGTTACATCTGCGGAGGGTTAGTAACGTATTCCGGATTCAACAAAAAAAAAATTTTTAAGTAACAAATAAGGGAGGATAGTTTATGACTCACAAGCATCAAACCATTCAGGGTGATTTGGTGATACGGTTGGATCCGTTGTCAAAGTCCAGCGTTCACTGTCGACACCCTGATGAGGATCATCATCTATGTTCGACATGATTCTGACTGGTCTTCGTTGTCCTCCAGGACCTTGGGGTTGAACCCGGTCAAGACGTGCTCCTAAAATGTGGGCTAGAGTGTCACCGGGGTATGTGCTGAAGGTGGTAGCTCTCATCGCTGTAAATAAATTTGCCTCCACGATAATGGAGAGAGCCATGTTTTCAGGCTGTTGTCGAGACATTTCGAGAGGGGGCTATGGCGTAAACTCTGCAGGAAATATAAAATTTTGGAAAAGGGTCATAATTGAACGGTGCGAAAATTTATTTGTTGAGTAATTGAGGTTGATTCTCGAACGGGTGATGTAGATTTCGAGATTATAATAAGCATTGATGTGTGCGTGGTGAGGAAAATGATCTCCGTGAGATCGACAAAGGAATATGCATGCAACTGTTTCAAATCGGCAGAAGGAATAGGTATGAATTGTGGCTCGCCAGGCAATGAGTTTTAAGGCAACTCCCTCCGTTGTGTATTCGGTCCGTAGGCTGATTCGAACCTCAAGGAGCCTAGATTTCTGTCTTCAATTCAACGTTTCTCGTCTCTGCAAGTTGCTATCAAAAAGTGATCTAGGGCATATATTTTGTTCACTTGGCCATCCACGACCAACTGAGGCAAGAAATATAAGTCAAAAATTTGAACTGACCATCGCCTGCCAACCACTTTGCTGATGAAGGAACGCACCTATGCCCGCGGCCACACAAGAGAAAGTGGGAGTCTTTTATCCAGTGAACTTCTGGAATATCAGCGGGGATCTCGCAGGATCTAGCCTTTCATCACACTTGGGAGCTGATTTGCAGCCTGATGGGCATTGGAAGGAAGCGACTGGCTTTGGGTGACGAGGTCAGGTAGGGATGCGTATGATGGACAAGTGGGATGAAGGGCCCAACACTCCTAAGCGCGGCAAATGCGAAAATTTCTTTTTGTTCAATATGTGTTGTTGTCACAACAGTCGAATTTTGGATGATCCAGCAGATCAACGACCTTTGAAAAACCAGATTCCGTTTTTATATGTTTTCTTTTTCTATCCTTCGTGCCACAAATCCCACAACGCAACCATACAAAACGTAAAATAGAAATAAAAAAAAAGGCAAAAAGCTGCAGCACAAGACGTAAAACTTAGCTATCGAGTGATTTGGGGGAAAAAGTCACAAAGTATCCTCTGTCAGATCAAACCCAAGGGCCGAAAGAATACAGCGTACGTGAAGAGGACAGAAATCGACAGCAACAAACACGGGAAAACTTGAACTGTTGGATGTCAAGCCTTCAATTTGTGTTTCCCACGTCGAGAAAAGCGGGGAGACGGTCTAGAACTAATATATAGCGACAAATTATTCTTAGACAGCCAACACAGCCGACTGCATATCATGCAATGGAACAGTCCAGTAATAAGAGGCCAGAGAACAGCGCCCTCATCAGGCACTGCTGAGGTGCCAAGGGAGCCGTAGGGCCCCGGCGCCGCTGGTAGTGGATTCTTGCAGGAAACGGACTGGACGAGACCACGCTCCACAGCCATTTTTTGCACTCGTTCTGACAATCTTTGCTTGAGTTGACTCCTGGACCCAAAGTTAGCGCCGGTTGAACTATTTAGACCGTCCTGGGCAGTTCGGGCCATCCACTCTCACTGATCCTTTCATCTTTTCGCTGCATATACTTATTTAATCATCCCGAACGAATGATGTTGTGGCCTCATCTTGCAGATAATGACAGAAGCTTGAAACAATATTTATCTGAAGAAAATACAATAAAATAAGATAATAATAATAATAATAATAATAATAATAACGAAAACTGCCCACCCGCACACATAGCGCACATAGGCTATCCTCGTATTCTGTTTGGTCATTCATTGCGTTGGGCTTCGATCAAGATTAGCTGTCCTAATATGTATGGGATTGCCACTGGGATGATTCGTCAGCACGACGTTCGGGGAATGTTTACCGATTGAGCTTTTGTCATCGCGAAAACCCCTTGGGATCAAACCACAACTGTAACTTTGTGAATGGATAAACAATTACGTATCATCAAATGATAAGGAGTACATCCAGGCCAAACACTGAACACAATACACGGTTTGAATCCTAGAACAGACGCTTCTCCTCAGCTAAATCTAGCTTCGACTGTGGCGCTGTGGTCCCGGCGGGGAAGCCATTATTTCGTACACGGATCCCGCGACAGGTTGAGGCACCACCCTCCAACAACTGTCCCGAATACTCCTTACACACCAACCCTTTCCATGGTGTGCGCAACATCGAAGGCGCACAAAGGACCCAATTTCCGGTCCTCCGTTGGTCTTTGTCGGTTGTCATGACCGATCAGTTTGCTTTCTCCTACCCTTCGCCGCTGGAGGGCTACGAAAACCTGCCCCCTCTTCCTGAGTATGTGTAGGACAGCAAGTGCAAGTGCTATATCTGCAGCCACCTTATCACAAGCTATTTTTCTGATACTTGGGCCAGGGCCAAAAACGAAGATGGCAAGTCATTCAAGAATCCGCAGCATGGGATCTTGAGCAAGGCATACGAGGAATTCCCAGACCCGCTCGAGAAGGGTTGTCGTGGTGGCTTTGATATTCACATATATCATTACCAGGTTGGTCTGTTGGTTGTTTACTAAGATGTAAACAACATGCGCTGAAACCAAATGGGAAAAAATACTCCAGAACAATCCCGACCAGGTCGTATTTGCCAAAGCGCTTTGGGAACGGATCCGCCGCGAATGTAAAGAGAATCATTTTCCCTCTCCGCCAGCTGCTTATCTCCTTTGTTTATGAGTTTCTTTCTTTCCAGGCTTGGCTAGACTACAAGAAGAATAAAAAGAAGGACCTGACATCACTCACTACTAACTCTATCTTCTTTGAGCTTCTGATTTACTTCGACTCACTTTGAATTACCCAGTAAAAATAAAAGGTTGACTGGCATCTAGTTCCCGAACTTCGCATATACACATTCTTCGACTGCCCCGTTGGCCCACATACAGTCGCGATGTTCGAAGTCAACATATTTACTCCAGCCCAGTTTGGCGCTTTCGTCCCGTGGCTGGTCATTAATCGCGGTCCGCTGAGCGTCCTACTCCATCCAAATACAGGAGATGAGCGGGAGGAGGAACGAAACCATACACAGCGCGCCACATGGATGGGCGAGCGCATACCCCTGGACCTGCGCGTGTTCAATATCATACGCGAGAAGCAGGGGTCTTGAGAAGGAAAGAAAGAAAGAAAAATTAATTTCGTTTGGCGCTGCTTTTTTTCAATTTTGCTACCTGTTTTCTGGATGGCGGCTGTACCATATTGGGTCTGTCTGTAAGCGGGGGGATGAAGCGTTGTCCCTCTTTGCGCTAGCTTTCTTTGAAGTATCGTCAGTATATATGTATGGACAATGCGAGTAACCGACGTTCACTTTCATACAGACAGCAAAAAAAGACCCATGAAATGCGGGTAAGCAAGTGTTACACTGAGCACGAAGTTCTTGGTTTAGATCTGGAGAGGGGTTGGAATGGGTTACACTACATACCATATATTCTGCAAACTTGCAGTGTGATACAGTTCTTCTCTTCTTCTCTTCTTCTCTTCTTTTACCGCTCTTCTTTCGCTGTGTATACTGAGTTGAGGGATTATTTTTACGAGGTTTGCTGATGTTACATAGCAGTCCCTTTCTATTGGCTTTTTTGAGTTTTCTTCAGCCCCTTTTTGAAGCCACCACAGGAGGATGTCAATCCGCCCTTTCATATAGGTGAGTGACTTGTTCAGAAACATCCATTTTAAACATATGAATATATGTACCCATGTATGTCTGTACACGTAGTACGATGAGCCATTTTGTGCATGCAGGTATGCATATGGTTCTTTCTTTGGGAATCGCCCCGCAGCTTGAAAAAGGCCTCCCCGCACAATCCCCCACAATTGCTCTTGAATTGCGGTGACACACCCCGTACAGAGAATGTGAGTAACCAACGTGATACATATGGGGGATTTATTACCTGAGGCTTGCTTGCTTTCTCTGGAGCTGGTTGAATTTTGAACTTCTTCCCTGTGCTTTTCTATGTTCCTTAAATGGTCGCTCTATACCCCAGATTTGCCCGACATGGAAGTAAGTCTATTGGACGAAGGAGGAGTTGAATGGATGTGTGTTTTGTAAAATTTCAATATCATCAATATATCGCGTATGACGATTTGATTCGGTATTTCGTACATAGCTAGGTATGTATGAGCTAGTTAACTATATCTTACATACCTAGGTATATACATGGATGTATGGACAGATATGCTCAGGTGTATCCCATCTTTCCTCCGTAGTTTATCCTTGTAGTGCGCTGTACCCTGCAGGTGAATAGGGATATATAGTCCATACTTGACATTGTAAACTGAAAAAATCGACTCCATGAACTACCATAGCAGACCACATCACACTGAACGCTATGCTCAGACAGGATATGACAGCAGCTCAGGCCTACCATGCTCATCATGTGCTCCTACAAAAAGAGTCAGCTGCAGCCCCATGGATGCTTCCCTTCGTTCTCCTGTATGGTAAAGGCAGGGAAACAGCTGGCGTTCTGTGATAGTTTCGGCGCTGTTGACCATTTCTGGTTTGGTTGTCTTTTGCTTGTTCCTGTTTTAAACATTTCACATATCACATAATTAGCCTATAAAGTTTTGGGTTTGCTCCTTTCCAGGGAACCGGGAGGGGTACTAAAATCCTCAAAGAGTCAAATAATCGGGTTCGGAATTTGGTTGGTGAACCTTTGGATTGGGTTTTTTGGGTCAGGGGATCAGCAGCTACAGGTTAGTTCAAGTCAACAGATCAAAGAGCTGCTTGTGACGATGATATATGACCATATGGCTGAAGGAAATATGGATTTGAAAAAAGATATGATGACTTTTTACCTCTCCTAAAAATCATTTATGAATTGGCTTTTCTTTTATTCACTGATATATGTAACATAGAACCAGTGTGCAAGAAACTTGTGGACCGTGGACCGCTTTAGTTTATTTATAATAAATAGTTCGGCTGTTTCAGGATGGTCAGCATAAACATTTCTAACTTGGCCTGGGACAACAAGTCTTGTATAATTATATAGTTACAAACAAAGAAAGCAGAGAGAGAGAGAAAGGCCTCTCATTGGTTACTTCATATCCTCGACTCGGTACTCTGTACTTATATACATTATCCTCTGGTATCTAGGTAGTTACCGCTATTACCCATCGTTAAAAGGGGTCAGCGAAGTGTAGCAGTCAACGTAACAGTAAACATGGGGCCACGGGATCTCGCAGAAATCAAAGACTTCCTCCATGAGCAGAAAAGAACTGGATGAATGATCTTTCCGTCGCCTAAATCCAAGTAATCCCATGCAAATGTGACCAAATATAATAAGCAGTTGGCTCATTCCTTCTCCCTTCTCTTGACTAAACATAACACACTACTCAATTCGATCGCTTCTGTTTTGATGTTTCTAGGAGTTCTTGTCGTCACATATTTTTTTTGGTCGTATCAGGAGCTACGTACCGAATGCTCTCGTTATTGAGTTAGCAAGTACTGGAACCAGCTATTTGTTGTGTCTCGCGTCCTTTCTGGGGGAAAACGGGGGACAGTGAGAACGGCAGTGGAAGTGAGAGAAGAGAAATTCGCGCCAGAGGGATAACTAAATATATCAGAACCACGTTTGGTAGGTATTCGTGGGGTAGGTTTGAGACGAAGACGTAAAGAATCAAGCACGACGAATCGGAAACCAAACAAGCCAGAGAAGATGTCGTACCGGATCTTCTTGACGTCTGCAACCTTGCTCCTGATTCGGGACCTCGGGAGGGTCCCGTTGGTCAATGCTGTTCTCGAAGCTAACGGCTGTCCGACGGGTTGGACTACCGTTCCCGAGTTTGTGCTTAAATATGGTATGTGAATAGAACTATCTTTTGGCACTGCTGTTCGCATTTGTTCATGCATGTAATTCATTCATTCACTCATTCATTTTTTTTAAGAAAATTAAAGTAAAATAGGAGAAAAAGCCAGGAACAGAGTATGAATAGTTATCTGCTGCTAACATAATATATCACCGTAACTATGTAGCACCCCTGATTTACATTCACAGCGAAGAGTCATACATGCCATCCAACTTTGAGACGCTGGTTGCAAACTGCAGACCCACAGTCAACTATACACAAATCGTAGGAGCGCCTTCGCCCTTAACGCTCGACAACCTTGATTTGCTGAACAACTTAGGAGGGAAAAATGTCTTCCTCACTACGAAGGAGGGAATCAGGGCTCTTCCGGAGTGGTTTAGAGGCACAAGGCCCAATAAGGCTGGTCAGACTGAGGATGCTGTTAGCTCCGTTGTCGTCTTGAGAGAGCATGGCGATGGGAAGACGGCTGATGTGTTTTATTTCTACTATTATGCGTAAGGCGCCTCTTGTCCATTTCTATGTAACCGCAGTCTGCTTTCGTGTGGGCATTGACAATGACAGGTATAACCAAGGAAACACGGTGTTCGGGACCCAACTTGGTAACCACGTCGGTGACTGGTAAGTGTTTTTGAGGTGATGGGAGTGAATTTTGGGAAAAGAGAACGTGTCATGACTGATAGACATACTTCCTTGTTAGGGAGCACAACATGATTCGCTTTGTGAATGAACAGCCGCAGTCAATCTGGTATAGCCAGCATGCTGCCGGCCAGGCATTTACCTATGAGGCGACCGAAAAACAAGGTTTCCGTCCCATTGGATATAGCTCAAATGGATCGCATGCTGTTTATGCAACTCCGGGGTAAGTAGCTTCATGCTTTGTCCTCATGAACATAAATGGGAGAGCGATAGGAATATTTTCCATCTCCCCCTGTGTCTGTTTTTTCCAATCCTTTAACCAAAAGATAAAAAAGAATGCATAGGATGGAAAAAAAACAGACACTGACAAAGCTGACCGTATACCTAGAACCCACGACCACACCATCCCAGGCTGGAACCTACCCGGCGGCCTCCTAGAGGACGAAACAGACAAGGGAGTCCTCTGGGATCCGCTGCTGAGCTCGTTCATATACAGTTATAACAACGAGACGGAGAAGTTCTCGCCGTACGACACAGAAACGCCGACCAGTTACCTCTATTTCGACGGACGGTGGGGGGACCAGCAACTTCCTGACGATGCGGAGGGGCAGGTTGTTTTCTTTGGACAACGCAAGTATGCGTCTGCGCCTGATGGGCCGAAGTTTAAGCGGTTGGATCGGGAGAATGTTTGTGGGTCTGATGGGCTGTGTGTTATTTGGGAGGAGTTGGGCGTTTAGGGTGGGGTGTTTAACTGGAAGGGAGAAAGAGGCGAGGGCTTCTAGATATTGTATAATATATGGCTAACGGAAAGGGAGGGAGGAGGAGGATGTTGGGTCTGATTTTATGCTTTCATGTATGTAATATGTTAATATGTAATATGTTTGTTCAGTTGGTTGGCTGGGTTTATGTCAGATGGGTGAGTGATATTAATTGTGATAAATAGGTATTTTCGGCTATATGAATTTAAGGACATTGGTCATAATGACGACGATGGCGATGAAGGTGATATCAAGATACCATGATCAACTTCAATGGACCATATTTGTCGCCGATCTCTCCTCTATCAACTCCACTCATGCCCAGATGCCGGGCAACAGATAACTGTCGGGCATGTTATTTTGCTCCTTTCAAAGCTGCCCAATATCTTCCAGATAGTCCGTTGGATGGTTCCTTCGGTCACTCCGGCTCCTCCAGTCACTCCAGGAACAACTCTGCTTCTGCGGTTTTGAGTAACTGAGTGCCCGATGGGTTACTGGCGTCCAATATGGATATGGGGATACATTTTCTCCACTCGAAATTAGGACCAGGAATGGAATGGAGCCAGATATCTGTCATGTCAACGATTGTCAATAGTGATGGTTCATGATAGAATTTCCCAAAAAAAAAAAAAATTATATCGGAGAGTTTTTGTCGCTTGTTGTGGTGACAATAGTTAAAACGCTCACCTGGCTCCGTAAGTAACTTGATTGGTCCCAAGGTTATGTTGCGTGCGTACGGAGGGACGCACAGCGTTGTACGTGTAACTACTTTGCCGAGATTCTTCAGCATACAGAGCAAAAGTATTTCCCCGTTGTTTTTGAGATGGGGATCCGATGTTTTTTATATGGGTGTTCTCTGTTGAAACATTCCATTCAATTTTCCCACCATCCAACATGAGACAGCGTGGGAAGATCATTAGCTAACCCAGCCCAAGCGGGGCCCCACCACCCCTAGAACAAAAGGACGTGTACGGAGTAGAAAAGGAGAAGTGCGAAACGCGCCGCGCCGCGCCCTCTGCAAATGAGAAACGGTAAGACAGGTTAATTAAAGGTGTTACCGTACCGCGGTACTGTTTGTGCTCATCCATGGGATGCTCGTGTTTCTGTCCCTGGAGTCCCATGTAATTCCAACTCCTCATACCGAAACTTACCAAACAATCTGAATAAGATTATGCTGGAAACTTCAGGGCAGTTCCCCTAGACCAAAGCTCAAATGAGGGCTCCACCCATCCACTCCACTGTAATGGATCCGACCTTGAAAACAACATTTTTCCATTGTTCTTTTCAAACGTTTGGCGCATGCCGGAGGGGAATTGGGTGGAGATTCCAACTGGAGTCTGGAGATTATAATGAATTATAAGTTATGGCCTTTTGGTTGTCTGTGGGCTTCTACCGGGGAGGGGGGGGGGGGGCACAGTCCATACAAGTACCCTGGGTGCAGTATAACTGTATATGAGCAGTGCGGGGGGTGAATGGGGATGAAATAGGGGCCACTGATTTTCTCCGTAATCCATCATAAAGGGTTGTACTCGACCGTCGACTGCGAGTTCAACTTTGACGGTCTGTTGCACACGTGCTGCGGCCAATTCGAAGTGGAAAACACCCAACAAGGGGTCAAGGGGTCGAAGATGCTGTGTAATGTCCATATACGGATAGTTCTGAAGATAAAATAAATACTCCGTGTCGAGAGATAATATGTCCATCACGTTTGTCATGTCTATCCCATGGATGGAAGACAAGGGTAATTTATTGAACCCGATGAAAAGAACCGGGGTAAAGGAAAGACAGAAACAAGACGACTGTTAGGTAATAGTTTTTCAGCGTATTTTTCATGAGAGGTTTCCTCGAGGGTACCCCAACAATCTTGGAAATGGGTTGCTTAGCCTGTTACATCTCTTTCGCCAGGTTTGGGGAGGACGACGAGGAGGAAAAGGAACAAAAAAAAAAAAAGGCGCATGCTTTGAAGGGATCTCCGGCGTTGGGCACTGAGTGGCGTATCGAGACGGTATGCAAGTTACGGTACATCCGGATTACGCTGTTTTACGCGTCTACCCCTGAATCCTGAAATGCCCCCAGCGCCAAATTTCAACTTCCAGAAGGTCGCCGCAGAAACCCTGGAAAGGGGGAAATAACGGGGAGAAGAGATGGGTAAAAAAGAATGGGGGATGGGAGAGGCTTTAAGTCATGTATCTTTTGATATCATCATTAATACATTATTTTTGTTCTATTCCCAAGGTGCTTGAGAGACGGAAACTATCAGTGGAGAACGAGGAAGATATTTTAATAATTAAAATTAAAATTAAAATTAAAATAAAATAAAATAAGATAAAATAAGATAGAAAGCAAAAATGTAAAGATAATCAAAGTATTATCCAAATCGCCTAATGCTGGTAATTTTGGCGGTTTGCTCATTCCTCAGTCAATTTCCTCATCTCTAATCTCTCATTTTCTTCCTCAATCTCCTTGGCTCTTCATCTCTATCGCCATCTTCTCTCCCCTTTCCCCTTCTCCTCTCTCTTTGTTGTATTCTCTTCGAAACAATCTCCCGCCTTTCCTTTCAATCCTACGTTCTGTATTCACCAAGCCCTGGGAGAGGTAACTTGTTACCCCAGGCAGTTCCGGTTGGTTGCTGCAGAGTCATTGGTGTTGTTGGTCTGCTGTGGCTTAAGGGGCTATTCATAACGTCTCCACCTCATCCTCCTCCAACCTCCAACTTCCAACCTCCACCCTCCAACCTACAACTCCAGCTTCAACCTGGACTCGAACGCAGCTCAACTCGACTAGACTTACCTCGATCCATCTCAATCGACTCTCTCTGTCCTCTCATTCATTTCGTTGTTCACTTCGATCCCTCATTTGGTATCCTCGTAGCTGCTCCGCCGTCTCGCCCAGTCGAGTAACCAGGAACGGTCGACACTTAGAGCACGGATCCCAATAATACCCTAAGTCTATCGTGTTGAGCGTCCGGTTTTGCTCTCGCCGCGTTTCTACCGACTAACACTGCCGTTACGTAACCACCCCCAACTGCGGAACTCCAAATTGCACCCCTGCATTGTGTTACGAAGCGCATCGCATCTCCTGTCGCGTCCCCAAACGGTTCTGGCTATCCTATTTCATTTTTAATAACAGGTATCGGACCGAGTACTGGGAACATTCCCCAGCGCTCCCGGCATCTTACCTCATACACTCGATAATTAGTTATCTTAATATTCCAATTCTCAACTGCTTGTTCTCACTCAACTATCAATCCATCTACCAACAACCAAAAGAGAAACCAAAGTATCTTGAAAAGGGCACCTGAGGATTTTTGTTTTATTTGACAAGACATTTAAATCGACCTCTGAAGGAAACACTACTGGTACGTTTTTAATCTATTTGCATCAAGTATGCAGTGCATCATAATCATGGAGACATGCTTCTCAACCCTTGTGCTTACTCTACGTATCATTGGGTGTGAATGTCAAACCAACCATAAGCCAGTGCCTCTTTTTTTTTTGAATCATTGACTTTGGCAACTCACTTGTCCGCTTCCTTTTTTCTTTCTTTCTTCTCGTCTTCCTTCGTGCTATTTTAATTTTTTTTTTCTTATCGAAATTTTTTACCCCTGAAAGCTTGTATTGGCTGCAAAACTGACGGTATATTTCCATGTTCAGTGGGTACTATTTAAAATCCAACATGTCTAGTCCAGCACGGCCTCCAACCCCTGAACGCGGTTCACCCCCTGAAGCTCTTCCAACTGTTATAGAGAATGGCAACTCCAATCTCAACTCCCAAACCGCTAGACGAACGTCATTGGCATTCCTCCGTCGTTCAAAATCCACTGAACCTCTAGCTGGGGATGGCAAAGCTTCAGGAGGAAAAATGAATAAACGGCAGAAAGAACTGGCTAGGGAAGAACATTTGCGACGACAGCGCGAAGCTGCTGCGGTCCCGAAACACGCTCCCCGTCTCCCAGACTTGCCTTCACCTCCCCAGCTCAATACCTTTGGTGGTGAAAATGCTCGACAAGATAACTCTCGCATTGCGTTGAGGTCTGTTGGTAGTTACATCAATCCAAACGCGCCAGCATCCCTGCAACCTGGCTCCGCGGGAGCAAGAGAAAGCGAGTACGTTGACCCATATGCAAGAACAGAGAGCATGACGCACCGGGGTAGATACAGTTATGCGAGCAGCGCGGTCAGTACTATCAACAGCCCTCGAAGAGTGAGAAGACGTAAAGACCCAACTCCCTACAAGTAAGTATCCATTTTCTCTAACACTCTTGAAACTATATCATGAAACCCGCCCGCTAAAACCACCCCCCGTTAATAGCATCCTCGTTATTGGTGCCCGTAACTCGGGGAAAACATCCTTTCTCAATTTTCTGCGTACCTCGCTTCAACTGCCACCGAAAAAACGCCCCACGCGATCTCCAGATGAATTCGATGAACCTACGCAAGTGTCATCAGCCAACAACACTTTCACCTCACATTATCTGGAAACCGAAATTGACGGGGAGCGCGTGGGCCTGACGCTATGGGACTCACAGGGCTTAGAATCAAATGTGGTTGATCTGCAGCTTCGTGGCATCACGAGCTTCTTAGAAAGTAAATTCGAAGACACCTTTAACGAAGAGATGAAAGTAATTCGCGCACCTGGCGTGCGCGACACTCACATTCACTGCGCATTCCTGATCCTCGACCCTGCCCGGCTTGATGCCAATATTGCTGCTGCCCAAAAGGTCGCGAACGAGCCGGATAAGCTTTCAAGAATCCAAATTATTGGAGGACTAGATGAAAATCTTGACATCCAGGTCATCCGCACCATGCAGGGGATGACCACCGTCGTTCCAATCATTAGCAAGGCAGATAGTATCACCACGGCCCACATGGCTTTTCTCAAAAAGACTGTATGGGAAAGCCTGAAGAAGGCCGGCGTTGATCCCTTGGAGGTTCTCGCACTTGAAGACCAGGATGACCTCTCTTCATCCGACAGTTTCGACAAATTCGACGAGCATGATGAGGACGAGATGAATGAGAAGGAAGAAGCAGAAACAGAAGCTAACGCCACCGTTTCAACAACTGGCCGACGCACTCCGGACTCAGAGACTGTGCCCCTTCCCATTCCCATCACCAGCTCCACACCCCAATCGCCCCCCTCCCGCCGAACCGATAATAAAGGAACTCGAACATCCTCCCCACCCATCTCAAGCCTCAATGCCACTACAAACCCCAATATAACACCAGACTACCCCTTCCTTCCCCTCTCCATCCTCTCACCGGATCCCCATTCTCCGGAAGGTAACGATGGGCCCATCGGTCGCAGATTCCCGTGGGGCTTTGCGGATCCGTATAATCCGGACCACTGCGACTTTGTCAAGCTTAAGGAGACGGTGTTTGGGGAGTGGAGGGCGGAGCTTCGTGAGGCTAGTCGGGAAGTTTGGTATGAGAGGTGGAGGACTAGTCGGCTAAATAGTAAAGGGGTCGGCGCTGGTGGGGGGAAGAATGGAATTAGGGGCGGTTCGGCGAGGGGAGGAAGGGCGATGAGATTAGTTGAGAGCTGAGAGGTTGGGTGTGCCTTGTTTTATATTCGATTGGTGGATGTTTCGATGGCGGTTTCTGTGTTGAGGGGAGTTGGTATGTTCTGAGTGAGGTGACTTACACAGGAAAGAAGAAAAATATAAACAAAAATATGGTGATAAGTTGACGGTCGTTGGGGTTGGTGGTGAACATCATTTCTGTAGCTGTGTGGAGACCATCTAGAACCAACTCTGTGTGGTGATTGATGCTCCCGTTTATCTTTCTCATGTCTGCTGTGTCTTTCTCCATTCTGTTCCATCCTGTTCTTTGCAAACAAAGTATATCCCCTTCCCCTGATCTTTTGCACAAATTTTTCTTTTTTGATTTTTTCCCTGTCTTCATTTCATCTCTTGTCTTATTCCCTCTCATGGTTACTCAAGGTGGGCATGTTTCTTTTCTTCTCTTTTCTTAATTAACTTCGTTGATCAGGGCTGTACGTTTCAACATGAATTTTCCTCATCCATTTCCCATCCTCCCTTTGCGTCAGTCCGCTCGAATGGGTGCTGGTTCCCTCTTCTCTCCATATCCGCCCTACCAGGCGGGCGATTTGGTCTCCTAATCTTGAAGACATCTGTCCCACCAGACCTAACCCTTTACCCAACCAATTCAATACCCCTTTTTACTCATCCCACCAGATTTCATAGCTTAATTTGGCTTTTCAATTTTTGTCTTCTATGTCTGTCCGTCATTATTGTTTTGCTGTCAAAGTTTTTATCGATTATCACTTGTTACTTCTGAACCACTTATTACTTTTAACTTTTGAATTCAATATTCCCCTCCCCCATCGCCTTAAAATCGCCTTAAACCTCCTCAAACCTTGCCTTGGACCGCTTCTTGCCACCTTGAAATCAAAGAGAGAGAACTAAACTCGGATACGGCGTTGACTTCGCTGTTGTTGCTATTTCTCGCCCTTCCCGTTCTCTTCTCCTTTCTCCCTCCTCTCCTCTCTCTTTTTTTTTTGTTCGTTGATTTTGATATCAAAATATAACCGTTATTTATCAAGCTTCCATTCCATTCTTCCTCACTTCATCTTCTCAAACGAAGTGGGAGTTTTTTGTTTTGCCTTTGCTCCCCTCCACTCTCCTGACGTTCTTTGCCTTAATCCAACGTCTCTTGACCATAACCTTTCCTGCAGCTGCCATCTCCCTGCTCGGGCAAATATAAAAATAATAATAATAATAATAATACTAATTTAACATACCCTACATATATTCAGATCACAATGATATATAATTTTATTTTATTTTTATTCCTTTTGGATGTGCTTGTTGGTTTAATCCAAGTCTAGTTTAACTCGTGTTTCACAAATGTAGGCGATGCCCATTATACCGCAGGTATCTGCGCGGGATGTTGTTTTTAATCTTTCTTTGCTGCGTAGTTCAAATTCGAGTTTCGATAATGCTAAGTACGACGTTCCCGAACCCCACCCCTTTTTCAGCCTTGTAAAATATCTAACGCTGTTTAGACTGGCTGACTATCTGAGCAGGAATAATGAAATAATTTTTGACTGGTTTCATGGCTACAGTAAGCGAGAAAAAGCCTTTACGTTTTGTATCGGAGTCAATGTTTAGAATAGCTAAGTAACTCTTAATCATAAGCCAGCCGCCTTGAGCAGCATATGAAACAATCAGAAAGCATTCCCTCCACTCCTCTTTTGAGGGCCGTTACCTGACCCATCATATTTATCAAGTTTCAACTTCAATAAACCCAAAAGGAAAACAAAATAGGCGACTTAAAAGATGACCATTCATATGTTTTTACAGATTCAACAATGGCATGCCACCCCCATCTCTCTCTCTCTCTCCAGCCGGAAGCAATTTCTCCCCGCCCAGTCAGAGAGCATTGACTGCCCCTTAACGGATTGATTATCCCCAAACATCGAGCCAGCCCGTCATTTCCTTATAGGGTATACAGGTTGGGCGTTATTATCCAGTTAGCACTGGACTTCATATTTGCGAGGATTCAAGCGGAATTCTGGAGACGTTCCGAACATATCCCCTTTCCGTCCTCAGGGTAAGTAATGCCTTGACACGTTAAAGAATCTTCCCCAACTCACAAAACGATGGCATCTGCATTTGTCAGACCCATAACCGCTATCCCAGCATGTCGCGGAATTCTGTCTCAGCGAGAGTCTCCAGTTAGCTTACTAGTCTAGCAATTCAGTTTATCGACATACGATATAAATACGTGTATACATGGGGAATAATTGGGGAAGCGGATGGCATCTAAGGCATAAGGAGACATATAGAGAAAGGAGAAGTGAAAAAAGGAAATAATGGAACTTTACAACATCGGTAGCAGGAAGCATAGCGTCTCGCACAACGCGAGATGTGGACATTGTTGCCACTGCGCTGGTGAGGCCTGCGAGCCCCATGTAGAGTGTGAAGACGACTTTTTATGTTTTGATTTGGTCCGGTTTGGTTGATAGGATAGCTTGTTGTAGATGGGTATGTGACTGCATCAGTCCGTACTTGATTTGAGATACGGGAGGCAAACTTGAAATGATATCTTTATTAGTTCCGATATCGAAGGACTGATAAAGGGGGAAGAAGGCATGCAGATAAGAAGCGGTTAATTTTAGCCTGTATAGAATTTCGGAGCGTAGAATCCTGGGTAGTCGGTTGGATTAAGTAACTCTTGGATTGTTGAATTGCTAGCCATGCATACGTTGATACTGTGAGTAGAGTCGGTAAATCGTTGTTTGACTCTCTTTCCATATGTCATGATCGTAGATTTATGTTGGAAATCAAATGTCGCAGTTGGCTCAAGCATGCTTTACTTTCATCAGGTACATGTGCATTCATGGAAATTAATCAATCGGGAAAATATGGCTGCTCTTGAAGAACCAACATCCCCTCTCACACATTATGTCAGGGCATTAAATCCGCAGCAAATGATTGTGAAGGAAATGGTCGTGGGTCCCCGTTGAATTGGATCGTAGTCTCAACGTCGATTTTTCACTGCTAACATCTGACAGGACGACTCCGAAGGTGAGAAGAGCCGTCCGGCTCTATGCATCCATCCTGTTGTTAAAGCATGTCCTCAGTCGCGAATGGATTGGCGGTTGTTCCACCTGAAGTACCAGCTCTTGCTTCGTGCTTGCTTCTCCTTAAGAATGGAGTTTATCAGCTATTAACGGAACGACGCATGGTTATATGTAAAACATGCATATGATGACACTTTGATGACGTTCCAGAAAGTCGGGAGGATATTGCAGCCAAAACCATTGATCATTGAGAACATGAGAGTGGGAGGATTGAATCTGAAGAAAACTTGGAAAGAAGGCAACATGAGACGATAGAATTCGACCGTCTGCTGCGTGCGAGTGTGTATCTAAAATGGATATACAAATATTAACGAAGTTGAGGTGCTGGATCAACTCTTTGTTCCTTGACGCACAAGGAACCGCCATGAATCCTGCAGTACACGTCCCAGCCCATTGTGTCGAATTGAAAGTCGAGCATGACTTTCCCCCGGATTTCCCAAGGCCTTTGGACATATCCGCGACGGACATCTTGGGCTCTTTGTCCATGTTGAATTCCGAGTTCGTTCAAGGCTTCGCATTTCAGTTGTAATTTGGACGCAGATCGATCCTCTAGGACCAGTTTTGTAAATCTACCAACCTTTCTTAAAAACCTTTCAATAACTTAGCACCCTGGACCACCCTGATGTGGACGTACTGTTGCAATGGAGAAAGAATAACTACGCCAGCCATCCACAAAACCTGAAGAAAGAAAGCCAAGATTCCGATGCACAATGCCTTAGCTCCAGAGGCAAGGGGAAACAAAGCTTTAAAGAAAACCAGTGAAAAGCCTTGGTCACGATGCCACCACATACATACATATCATATAGACCAACGCGTCAATACGCCCATATATCCCGAACCTGACTCCCATCTCCAAACTGCAGCGGTAAATCCAAGCACCAAGCACGCGGAAATTCCATATCCCATTTCTTCATAAGATCTCTCAACTCCTCTTCCCGCCCAGGAACCACATTAACAAAGATTCGGTCCCCATGGCACCGGGGTTCCGAATGAACAGCCCCTTCTTCATCCCCGACACGGAAAAATGTGCACTCGCCCGGCGCTGCCTGTATAAACCCATGATCTTGAAATTCAGCAGCTAAACGCTGACGGACTGTTTCCGCCGCTGTGGCGCACCCCACACATCTCACAGGTGAACATATATGTCCTTTATTTTCGTCGCGAATGGATTGTTTTATTTGGTTGTAAATAGGTCTTGCGCGGGTGGTTGAAGTAAGGAAGAGCGTGCCAGGACCAAGAATGGTCGTGGCTAGTTTCCATTTCGTTTCGTCTGCCTGATTGGTGGGACTGGAAACCCCCTTGCTGTAAAAGAGGTCATCAGTATGCCACCGTGGTATGTCAAATTCGTGAGTGCCTTGAGAAGCTTTGATAGTGATCCAGTAGTGAGAGAGGTGGTTTTTGAGGAGGAATTCGTGGACGAAGTTGAGGAACGGGATAAGGTGAGGGAGAGGGGAGCCAACAACTGTTTGCTCTGCCCAAGTGTAGAATGAGGGTGGGAGAGTCTGGTTTGGCAGATTGAGGAGAGGTCCGCAGTAGGTCCAAGACGAGGAGAGTTTGAGGAGGAGGGCATCCAGAGGAGCGTTTTGGGATGACGGTATGTATGGTATCACTTTGAATGCTGGGAGTGATTCAACGTTCATGGCTTTCCTTAGCGAGTCAATACGCTACTAATTAGTTATGGGGATAATTATGTTATCCTCTCTCCTAATCAACCAGTTTGAATACAATGCTTGTGTGAGATGCTGAGCTTTCTTGCTGATAAAACCTCCTGCGATATATTGTTGTTGAAAGAATGGAGGCTGGCGAAGAGGACGAAGTCGATATTTAGTACTCTCACTGAGCACTAGCGACAGGGATTCCCTTCAAGGATCACCTGCTCTCGCGAGCGAAGATCTCACCTGTAACCTATAGTTCTGTCGCAAGTCTGTTTATGTTCCGAATCACAGTAACTCGAGCTAAAGTTGTTGGCAAAGTCTCACCGATTATTCGGCGTTTGCCTACTGAAGTTGTCGTCTGGCCCTATGCCGTGATGTTAGTGGTTGATCAACACCAGATGGCAGTTAGCCCTTGAACACTAGCATTTTACCCTTCATGAGGGATATGGTGGCGGGCACTTTTGGCGGAGTTATCAAAACATGTTCTTCAGCATGGCATGGAAAAGCGAACAGGTGAACCACAAAAAAAGTATTGTTTTGGGAGTTGGTTTGGATAAAGATTAAGCTTAAATCCGCCTGCTCTATTTGGACGTTGGTGGATAATGGGCTTCCAAGTTTCTCAGATCCGCAAGAAAGCAAGTAGTTAATCAGCTTTTGATACCAATGTACGAATGCATGTTTTGCTTCACTTGAATCACAATATTCCCAATGTGTTTAATGACATTGGACACGGTGTCTGGTATGCATACCATTGACCCACACTTGAAGTAAGTTTGAGTGCAAAATCAACAGTATTTTTGATTCGAACTGATGAAAGGGGCATATTATTGATAAATCGCAGAGAAAAGAAAGTAATAACCAAAACCAAGAAACAAAAATCAAAGAGAAAGTGAATAGAAATGTGGCAAAATCCAAATGAATATGACAAAATATCTGATATATAAAGAGATCATGACATCTCAGCACTTCAAACTACAATATCCTACTCCGTACAGAGATCGGAAATTGTACAAAAAGACGAAGATTGCACACACACACACACACACACACACACACCCCAGAAAAAAAAGTCTTTGTATCCATACTCATAACAGTTGGCATCACTTCTTTTGCCTTACAGCTACGCTGTTCCATTAGCAATATGAATCCTGGAGCTTTTAACCAGCCCGAGGCAAAACTCTGCCCAATCTTTATGATCCTTTTTAATGATTTCTTGGTCGATGGCGTCTTCGACTGATTGCCTATATCGTCTTTTGTACTCCGATTTGACACGTTCTAGGTGGAGTGGCTCCCAGTGCATACGGACCAGCCGTGAAATCAGCAATTCGGCGCGCTCACGACCCATACCTGATTCTGAAATGGCCTGGTGGAGAAGCAGAGCGTCGCGCATGGGTCGGTTTAGGGCTCCATTAAGCACATGCACAAGAGTTTCGCCCTGGAACAGCAAATGTTAGGTGTCATTTTTGCTTTTCTGGATGGAAGATGAGATAGAAAGCGAACGAAATAAAGGTTAAGTTTATATATGAACATGGACTTACGACTAAATTTTGTGATTTGCTTATCATTTCTCTAGCAAAGTTTTTGTGGTACGTATCTTCATAGAGATGGATAACTTCACGGAGATGGGCATCTCCCCTTACTATGATAATTTGTATCATTGCCGTCTCCCCTCCTTCCCGAGAAATTAATGCACGGTGGAGATCACATATGTCATCACGAATAAGCGAGTGGTCTAGGGATGCCGTATTAGACTGTCTTCTTTCTCCGAGAGCTAACAGGATAGCAGTGCGAAATTTGTCAGCCTTAAGCTCAGCTTTCATGCACCGCTCAAGATCATCTCCATATCGCTTATCGCGAAAGCACTTCTTAATCTCTCGGATTTCAGCATTCGATCGTCCAATAAGAGACTCAATGAGAAGCTCTCGACGTAAATTGTTGGATCGGTACCAGAAATTGGCCCAGTGTGCTTCAGACTCCCATCTCCCCAACGCTGTCGCATAGCAAACTTTACCAAAGTTTCCTGGAACGTGTACTTTGATATGCTTAGCCATGTTGATGCCCTTACCGCCTAATTTGACGATATTTTTATATTGGGCCCGAAGCGCGAGTATGTCATCAGAAGTAAGATAAGGAAGAATGTCAAGCAGGGGTTTGGGATCGACGTTAGAATGTGACAGGGAGGCTTTCAACTCCTTCGCGTCAGGCTTCGGATCGTAAAAGGACACTTTTTTGGTGGCGCCTGCGGGTGCAATTAATTTTATATTTGCATCTACCGTTGCTGACATGCTGTTTGACTTGCTCCCGGAATCATCTTTGTGTTTGCTTTTCTTGAATTTCCCTAAGCCTGTATCAGAGATTGTACTACCGTCCAATGGCTCAAGATCTGATAGGCCTTCGTCCATGTGGGAGGGCACGGATGTTGGCCATGGCATGGGAGATATGCTTTGGTAAGTTCCTTTGTAAGGCTCGAGTAGAGGACTGGGAGGAGGACGACCGGCATCTGGAAAACTACCAGGTACAGCCATATGATCATTGGAGGAGGCAGAAATTGACAAACTCTGCGGGCGCCTGGTTGTGCTTTTGGGCTTGATTTCAATATAGTTCGCTTCCGGAGTTTGGGCGTACGGTTTCACGAATTGGTTTTTGGAGCTTTGGGTATACGGCTGTGCGGACTTTGAAATGTATCTGATATTGGGGTCAGGTTGCGCGTATTGGAATGAAGGAGGTTGGGCATAGTATTGCTGGGTTGTTGGAGTTCTATCTTTCGCGTGCTCACGATGATGGCCTGAAGCTGCCGCCCGAACTGTTGTAGGGGTTGGAGCGGGGCGCCTTGACGAATGTATTTGCATAGTATCATATTGTTGTGGGTTATGCCCGCTCTGGGAAGCCGGAGGATACTGGCTTGTTAAATTTGGAGCATGAGGCACTGGAGACGGATCAGGTATAGCATAACTGGCGGCAGGAGCATTGAAGTCGCGTGGAGGCACAAAGTCAGGACGTTCACACTCTGGAACCTCCGCCCAGTCAATTGGGTATTGATTTTGGTTATTACCATATTTGTTTGGAGGGTCGGTTCCAGGTAAGTTCTGATGAAGAACGGGAGGTTGTGAATATCGGTAATGTTCAGGTTGCGCATAGCTTGGATGAGATTTTGAATCGTGATCGTAGCGGGATGGATTGGGGATTTCTTCGCCTCGAAGTTTGGCTAGGGGACGGCTATACTTGGATGAACTTCCCACAGAATCAGAATCATGATATTGCTTGGATGATTTGGTATACTTGTCCCGCAAACGTTCGTAACTGGGCACGGAGTGTGCTTGATGAATCTCCCCATAGGCCAATGCATCGTCCTCTGAATCAGTAAGCGAGTCGGAATACTGCTCGTATTTTGATATTGGCCTGGGACTCCCGGGTTGCTTAGAATATCGTAGGTCATAGTCTGAATGGTATCGGTATTCATCTGGTCTAGGAGGGTCTACTGGCCTGGTGTGCATCCGAAAGATCTGCTCTTCATCTGATATGTAGTAACCGGGAGGTTGTTTGGAAACAGGCTCCTTGTGTATCTCCGAATGTCGATATCTATCATCCCACGAGGAGAAGTTTTTCTTCGCCCGCGATGAAGCATAAACGGTCTCCTCTGCGGAGTCCGAATCATAGTACTTTTTAGAGGAGTTTTTGGTTTTCTCACTTGGAGGAGACGGTGCCCGCGGCCCACGCGACCTTGAGCGTTCCCGAATCCGCCCACTGGGGGATTTGGATCGGGTGCGAGACCTAGAGTCGTCAACGCGCAGAGACATGGTGTCGAGGTTGTCTAACTAGTTCCCTGTGGAGCTTGGAAGAACGGACGGTAACTACGTAACCCCTGGAGGAGCTCAATGCTGCCTCAATAAAGAGATCTAATCGCACGACGAAGATGAGAGAAGTGAAGACGGTTCCAAGGTGGTCGGGAACAAAGACGATACAAAAAGGATAGAGGGGCTAAGGAAACGGTGCAATCCTTCGCAAGGAAGGCACTTTGTGTGCCTGTTTCCTAATTGGGGAACTCGGCTCGAAGTTGAGGCCGCCTTGAGTGACTAAGCATGTCACCAGCCGCATTCCAAGGTTGGATCTGGAGTAGTCTAACCATAAGCGACTTAGCAAAATACTGCTCAGGACTAGCGTGATCTGATCCACCACTTTTAAATACACGTGACGTTCAGCCCCAGAGTGGATCCATCGGTGATTGGAGCGGAGCTTTTGATGAGTCAAAAACTTCATACGCAGCATCAAATTAGTTGAACTTCAACTGACGAAGCAAGGTAGAGAAAATGATTAGGCGGTTCCATCCGCTGCCTTTCTTGGATCACAAAATGTTGCAGAACACCCAAAGAAAGGAAAACGCCTAATTGATATCACAGGAACCTTGGAAACATTGAAGCAATAGCATAGAAGCAACATACTAAGGTATGGTATGGGTATCATCCATCAACCGAAAGCCAAAAACTAAGAGCACCAGCCAACCTTGCTCCTGTAACGCCCGCGAATAATCCCTCCCATTCCCTAACTTCCTGGGAAAGTCTTACACATCCTGCAACATTAAGATATTGTGTATGGATAGGAAAATATAATAGAAATAGGGACATTGTGTTTCACAAGAAAAGGGGTTTGGGAACCTATCATTGAAGGGATCCTCACGGCTTCTCCACACGACAATTGATTTACTCATCGTCAGGCAGATCTTCGAAAACCGCTACTCCCATATCTCGCAATTTGCGTTTGTCCTCGGTTTTGAGGGGGACCTTTTCGAAGTTTTCAGGAAGCGGCTGGCCGGCTCTGATGAATTAATCAGTCACTGATTAGTATTTTGGACATAGCATAATAACGATATACGTAATTTTGGACCGGGAGGATAAAAGTATGTACATACTTATAGAAATCAACAGACATCTGCCTGGCCTTATCTTTAAGGTTCACTTGATCCCGAAGACCCAGCTTCGGTTCCTCCAAACTGTCGTCATAATGTTTGATTTTCGACCACTTCGGCCCAAATCCTATAATCAAATTTTTAAGCTGGTTGCACTCGTCTACCGACCATGGGATCCTGCCACCACCAGGTTTTCGTATTCGTCGAGCCATTTGGGTAGGATCACATGATGGCTGTCCATCCTCCCCTTCGTTTCCAGCCTCAAACAACCTGGATTTGGCACGATTGTTCCTCCGGCGTTCGGATGGCTTTTGTGGAGTGGCAGATGCACGTTGCTCAGTTGAGCGTTCTTCAGAGGGGTTGCGCTGTTCGTTCTCGGTGCGTCGCCGTTTTGAAGACTGCAGTTTCGCTGTCGAAGCCCTTTTTCTCTCAGCGGGGATATTGCGGGTGTCCACTTCAAAGCCCTCTTCATCACTGGATATATCTTCTTCTTCAACATGGTCATCGCTTTGCTCAACCTCGGAAGCCTGACGTTTCCTGGAACGGCCATTCACCTGGCTTTTACTGGATGATAATGGACTTGAATCAATTGGGGATAACCGGCGAGCATCATCTTGACGATCGATAAATGCCGCAGGGGGGGTTTTAAAACGTGCGATTTGCTGTGTAGAAAGAGCAGCAGCGGGTTGCTTCTCAGTTACGTCATGTCGTGTTTGTTCTCTCTGCTTGGAGGGGGTGGCACTCTGACGCAATGGGCGTGAGCTGGACCGGTGGGAACTGCGACATACACTTGGTGGAGGTGATTCTGCATCAATATTGGCTTCTGCAGTCGACGAATCTCCAGACGTAGCTACAGAGGATTCGTGCGTTGTACTTTTTGAAGGATGATCAATGTGCAGGGTATGAGCGGGACCAGCCAAAGATGAATCCACGCGGGTCTGGAGATTCACCAAGTGGGATACGGAGGCCATAGACTTGAAAATTCTAGTACACAGAATCAGTATCCATGCTGGAAGCTTTGAGTAAATATTAAGTTCGAGGGGGAAAAATTGAGTGTTAAAAAAAAGGTAATATCTCTGAGCCCATATACGTAAATGTCTTACCCTTTTCCAATTGAGAACATGGATTTCCTTGTGCTTGTGGGTTCTATTTCCTGAGGTTCCCCAACTCCCTTCTCCTCATCTCCTAATGTGTTTTTGGGCTGAGCTACTGAATCTGTCGATTGTCGCAACGAAGAGATAACCCGCTGATCAAGGCTTGATCTTCGATCAACTTCAGTTTGCAGCATCTCAAGAGCTTCGTCAAGAGAAGATTGATCCTCTAGTTTCTCATCAATCTCATCCACCCTCATACGGATCCATTTAGCTGCTTGGGTGACGAAGTCCGACCAAGGGAACGCCGATTCCAGCTTCGCAAAATCAACAGGATTGATGACATCTCCAAAGACAAAACATTCTTGAATAGCCATCATACGTTCATGGGTTTCATTAAGAAATTGGTCGGAGATTTTGCCATATTCGGCGTCAAGGCCATCAAGTTGCCAACCCCTTAGCTTTTCGACTTCATCCCCTTCGTCCGTAGACACCATGAAAACCTCAGCCAACAGCTCGAAGGGATCAAATTTCGAGGATGATTCTTGTTCACTTCGAAGGTAAATAACGGCAAGTTGGGTGCGGACTTCAAGCCCCAGCTTAAAAGTTTCCGCCAGGAGAGCGCTCTGGCCTAGCTTGGGAAGTTCGTCATCTTCTTGAGATTCGAACGAACTGATGAAGAATGTCGGAAATAATTCATCAAGTTCCCAAAAGTGGCCCTCCGTAAAGGAAGTGTTTTTTCCACGAAAAGGAATTAAGTCCAAAGCGAGCTGGGCAAGGTTGGCCTTCTGAAAATATAGGTGTGGATACCATGGAACATGTTCTAGAGATGGCAGCATTTCTGCCGCAGCATCGATAGGGATGAAGTGCTGGCCACCAAAGCACTTCTTTTGCGTCTCAAATGTCTGCTCTACACGTTTGACTCTTGCTCGAAAGCTGGATGTACCAAGGCTGTTCAGCACGTTGGTGTAGGAAAACACGCGAGGAGCTAGAATCCGCAGAGCGTTGTTTGCCCAAGTTTCCAGGTCGGGCAAAGCTTCGACCATGATGCTGGGATCCATATCTCGCGACTCATGATCGGAGTCAGTGGCTAGTAAAGTTGTGCCGGTAATGTTGCCGTGGTCGACTGGTGATTCCGGGATAGATCGTTCGCTGCGCCTTGAGTTCTGCCTGGTAAGATTTGTATTGAAATTGGCAGCATTCCTGGCAGGGGTTTTAAACACAGGCGATAGTTCTGCAAAAACACGATTGTAAGCTTCATGGTGCTAACTTTGTCGTGTCGCAATTAGGATACGATGATATGAGAGAATTCTTCTCCAGAGATGCGACTGGGGGAGCACTACAACAGGTAATATCGGGAAAATTTCATTCGCTAGCCGAAATTCCTTAGAGAAACACGGCCCGAAGGAGTAAAAGGGATGTTCCATAGGAGCATAGGAGACAAGACAAAACACACCATTGTTACCAGACTTCGACACTGCCTTCCCACCGCGATTTTCCCTCGTCGGGGTGTGGGGTACGGCCTGATGCCGAGATTCATCCTCGTTCAATGGGGAGAACGGGGCTTTGGATGAAGAATTAGAATACTTAGATGGAGCCGCAAGCACATGGGTATTTTCGGGTTCTCGACTGCGACTCCTTAGCAGTCGTCTCGACCGTCGCAAAGTTGATGGTTGTTGGGACGCGCTTTTCAAGTGGGCGGCGCGTCCCCCTTTGGCTCGTGCCTTGACAGCCATCTGCTCTGAATCGACCCCCGGCTTGCGTTTCAATGACTGCGAATACCAAAGCAAAGAGCAGACGATACCATAGTTGTTGTTGTGGTGATGGCAAATGCCAGACTGTCTCTTTTGCAAGGTTAAACAGGAACGGCTCAGCCAACTCTAAAAAAGAAGCAACTGAATCAGTTGATGGAAGTAACAACCCTAACCCTAACCCTAACCCTAGTGCCAGTACATTAGCTGACTAATCCGACGCGAGGTGCGTGCTTATGTCACATGACTACAAAGATCGGCATCCTATTTGGGATATAGGCTATGGCCCCGTTTGAAGTCTCCCTTTGTCTGTTGCTGACAATCTCCCAGATCTTCTCCTATGTTTTGCCTGGTTTAACATTTCTCTAGATAATTTCTCGCGATCTGCATTGAGATTGTTGTTTTTGAGGATACTCCGAACCTGACTACTAAGGATGCCATGTTATTTTTCTTCTCAATTCTGTCTTATTATCGCTGATGAGCCTGTTTTGTCCCTTTGTCTGTATTCATTATTCCTTGACTAATCGCTTGCGCTGTTAAGTTTAGCAACAATCCTTGCCAGCTTGCTTGCTGGATATCATTGATAGATTGATTGCTCAAGTCCTTTTAACTTGGCCGGTTTCTCCGTTTTCCCCAGTCAACAACCACACAACACCTGGCCAGTCATCGAAACATATTCGGGTGGTTGTTATTTGCTTTCTATTAAGGCCTTCCGTTCCTCTGTCCGTCATGAAGATCAGACCCCTCCATTCACCCCTCCTACTCTTTCTCATCCCGACCATCTCGTCTACTTTGGCCAATCCCCTGCCGAATTCTGGAGGTCAATCTGATTCTAATTCCCTGACTAAGAAGGATGCCAACACACCTGCTCCCTCTCCGTCCGACTATTTAACTGATAAACTATTACTGAAAGCTCGACGCGCTGTTGCTGTTCCATATGATGGGAAGGATGGGAAACCACATGCCGGACCTTGGGTGGAGACAAATGCTGACCGGGATCGCAAAATATTGAAAGAATTATCGGATAAGCAGAACTCAGTGAGACCAGGTGGGACTGATGCCCCATTAGAAAACGTTGCCCCCGATGGAACGTCAATTCCTACCTCTAACGATGGGGTCATGGATGATCCGAATCGACCTGGGCCAAAGGAGGGCACAAGGGGCACAGAGGGTGGTGTTTCCGAGAAGACCAAGGAAGTAAAGGTTGGAATTGAGAAAAAGCCAGATCCCCCAAAAGCAGCTCCGCCATTGCCGCTCAGTGAACAGCAGAAGTTCACACCTGGAGATATCACTAAACCGAAGAAAGAAGCTAGTGACTCGAAGAAAGATAAAGTCTTGGAGGTTAGGGAGAATTTTCATTACGCTCAGTCGCATATTCGCAACTAATCTATCTCTCCTCTCATAGAAACCCCAGGATTTACCAGAATCACCACACAGTATTCCTCTGCCCACACCGCCCGGCCGATCTGGCAAGCCTCTGGGTTTTGACCAGTCAGCTCCTCCGACATCTAAATCTCACGACACGTACGCTGGACCTAGCAACGAATTCGCACAGCCTCTGCATTCGTTTGTCCTTTCCCTTACCATGATTATATTTTCCGAGGTGGGCGATAAAACATTCCTTGTTGCTGCGTTGATGGCTATGCGCCATCCTCGCATGGTGGTCTTTTCGGCTTCCTTCACTGCTCTTATCGCAATGACGGTGTTGTCCTCTATTCTTGGCCACGCCGTCCCTACTCTCATACCTAAATCCTTTACCAAAATTGTAGCCGGTGTCCTTTTCCTCTTTTTTGGCTTCAAGATGATTTTGGAAGCAAGGAAAATGGCGCCAGATGAGGGCGTGGGAAAGGAGATGCAAGAGGTAGAAATGGAACTGGAGGAGAAAGAACACCAACAACGACAAACCGGAAGGCATTCGCCTGCCGGTCCCTATGAGCTGGAAGCCGGTCGTGTCCCGCGTAAGAGTCGCTCATCAAATCACCGCCTTCCATCACCCGAAAGTCTCTCATCAGCATCATCCCGGGATGCCTCCCCCTCCCACGGTAGGTCTGTAGGAAATATCATGGTTGGCATAAACAACTTGTTTTCCCTCTTGTTGAGTCCCGCATGGGTTCAGACATTTGTTATGACTTTCCTTGGAGAGTGGGGTGATCGGAGTCAGATCGCTACAATTGCCATGGCTGCTGGCCAGGATTACTGGTGGGTTACTTGTGGTGCGATAACTGGACATGGAATTTGCACCGCAGCGGCAGTGATTGGGGGGCGGGCTGTTGCAGGCAAAGTGAGCATTCGCGTTGGTAAGTCTCGTAAAAAAAAAATAAATAAAAATAAACCCTTTGCTTCCCCTATGATGCTAAAGCTGACAATGTTTGTTGAACAGTTACTTTTGGTGGTGCTATCGCGTTCTTCATTTTTGGTTTCATATACATGTTAGAGGCGTTTGTTCTTTGAATAAAGCGATAGGTCTGGCCAAGCCTCATTTTAACGGCCCACATCGGACTCCCATATCTGCTTCATTCGTCTCCCTACATCTTCCTCCTTGAAACTCGAAACGACCGTATTGCATAAAAATAAAGGCACACGTATCAGATATGCTGGCGTCCTGGAACTACTTACTGTCTAACCTTTTCGTCCGACTGGTTTTAACAACCGTCTTTTTCACATTTTGCCGCCATTTTGATATCCTGCTAACTTATTTGTTCCTTTTTATATTGTTTGTTTATTATCGTGTTTTAGTTTGGTTTTATTTTCTTCCCATGTGAAACCATTGGCTTGCCATCCACCGGAATTTGTGGGCGGTCTGTACATGTTTCCTTTCCTTTTTCATCCTCTGCTCTGGATGGCATGAGAGCCCTTAGAGGATCCTTTTTTTCCCTCACCTTACTCCGCAAAGAATAATAGAAGCTTGCATTGATTTCCGAATGGGACTATTACTATGGCAAAGATTCCCGTGCTGGCATGGACTCTTCTTCCTACGCGCATTCCTACGTATTGTGTTCTCTAAACCTTTAATCCTTTTTCTTACTATTCCCTCCTGTGTCCCAGAAGAATCTTTGCAAATATTCTACACCTTGAAGAAGAAAGATTGTGTCACTATATCCCTCCTTTGTCTTCTCCATTTGTGATCAAGTCGTGTTTATTTTATTACACACATAGCTGTATTCAAAAGTACTTACAGGAACAACACCATGCATATATACACTGTAATAGTTGATTTCTTGTTACACACTTGTTGCCTGAGCCAATTCTATTTCAGCCTCTCTCTGTTGTGTTCTCAGTTGTTTTTCCTCCTGGAGAGCTATCTTCCATTAGAAAACAAATATATCCTAACCAGTCTGTTAAAAAAAAAAAAAAAAAAGAAACCTCTCATTTTACTAGTTTACCCACAGAGATTAGAAGGCCAAAATTACTTCCATCGTTTACCATACATTCCTTGGTCAGGACCGTTGTCTGATATATCTACGGAACTCCGAACTTCTCAATATTTAACTGGCTCTCAGAACTAATAAACAACTATCTCAACTGTTATTTTATATCTACGAGAACTTCAAAGTTGCGCGTCAACAGCTAAGCAAGCATTCCATTTTTCGATTACGTTTGAGTGTACCGCACGAAATCTTCTGTTGGCAATCCTCAATCCGCGATAAAAAAGCTTTGCGAGGCCAATATATGAAAGGATCAATCAGGGAAGAAAGAACGGCTGCTGGATATCAACTCCCTCCCGTCCACTCAAGGAACAAATAAAACAAAAACCATCAAAGCAAGGGGATAAAAGATATGACGCCATCTATATTTGGCCGTCGGCGCCGCTCAACCACTCCCTCCGTGAATTCGGAGAACGCTACCACCGGGACCGAAATCACTCAAATAACCCGCGATAGCAAGCGCGAAGTCCCAGTCACCTTCAGCGTCTTCTACGGCAAACCAGACCTGACCCATCAAGAGCTCAAACACGCCACCTTTGCGGACAACGCGACCATACATAAGGAGTTCTTTGAAAGCTGTGCCAGGGCTCCGCTGACGCAGGAGGGGAAGTGGGGGGGAAAGGGGAAAGGGAGGAGTGCTGTCCGTCTCTACCAGAAGGCGGAGAGCGAGTTGCCACAGTTCCAAGAGTTGGCATATTTGGCTGCGCGTTTTAATGACGAGATTTTGGGGCTTTGTGGGAGAGCCTGTGCGGGGTGTGGCGATGGTGCTGGTGGAGTGGGCGCTCTGGTGTATCGTCCGCTGTGTTGTTCGGTGGCTGGTTATGAGATGTTGAAGGATGGGAAGTGGATGCGTGGACTAATGATGGCTGTTGCGCATCTGGTGCACGACCTTGATACGAACGAGAAGATTATGAAGGCTATTGGGATTGTTGAGAGGGATGGAGAGGTGGATAAGGAAGAGCTAAACACATATGTGAATGTGCTGGCGGTACCTATATGCGAACCGGATGGGGAGTGCCAGCAGCTTGTGGAGAAATCTATTGATTCATTTATCCAGGGGATTCTCAAGGGGCTGGAAGGCGATGGGAAGCGGTCCACATCTAGGATCTCTTCTAGAGAATCCATTTCAAAAGGCGTCTTGAGTGGCAGAATCATGCGTCAGGGTGAGAGCGATAACAATAGATGCGATGATAGCGAGGATGAGCAGATCTCCCTTAAGCAAAGCAACAGAATCTTATCAGACCGCCACATGAGCCTGGAGAGCATGCAATCTGTTCGTCTTGTTGTCTTCTGTGGGGTCCCCATCGTCGACCCTAACGAAATACCTCGTCCAAAACGCTTATCCATGTTCATATTCACCTCAAGCTGGCCAATGGACATGCTTATTGTCTACGGCACGGGCACGGGCACCAGCACAGCCAGCCAACTCCACTACGAAAACTACCAACGCATTGCAGCATTTCACGAAAGAAGCATCCTTGAAGCGACAGATACTCGCTGCGCCACCTGTCCCGGTAATCCGGCAAGAGCAACAACCCTCTTTCACTGTCCCATTTCCTTTAAACACGACAGTAGCAGCACCAGCCCCTGTTCGAAAATCATTCGTGATATCGTCATGAGGCTGGCCCGGTTCGTAGGTGGTGAATGGAAGTATCCAGAGACAGCTGCCGCCCTGGGACTGGATGGGTTATGCCACATCAATGACTTCGTCGTTCCTATCTGCCAGAGCGGGTCTGTATGCGAAGAGACGGCATTAGTTGCGACGCAGGTGTTTCTGCATATATACCTTCCAGAAGGGGTTATACCAATATATCCGGACCTATATCCAACAACGGACTTTGCAGGATTGTGGAAAAAGGAGAAGGCAGGGAAGAATCCGAAGCTTGAGGTAAAGATGCTAGGGATGGGATCAATGAGTGACGCAGGTAACAAGATTCATGATGATTACTATGATGAGAGTGATGTGATCGCCGATGGGGAGACCAAATCACCTCCTCCCACCCCATTAGATGATTATGAGGACGTCCTAAACGTCCTCATCCCCAGCAAACCCAGGACTGGGAGCTGGATGTCGCCCATGACCATTCAAGATTTCCGCGTCGCTATTGGAAACGGCGCAACGTGGGACCAGCTTAAGGAGCTTTGTTTTGAAAGGACGAGGATTGTAGTAGATTTCCGGCCGCCCATTACGTCGAAGTTGGCGATAATGCCGACAACATCACCCATCACTGCTACGACTCCATCGTCTGAGAGGCTCTCAGGAGGACTCTTCTCCAGTTTTGGACCTAGCAGCCCCACGGCGGCTTCACTGTCATCTCCAGGTCTGTGTTCTCGGGACGACGATGATTACCTCACTATGAAGAGAATGTGATTTAGTGACGCAGTGATGGCAAGGATGCAGTGACTCTTTTGTATCTCGTGTTGTATGTGGTGTATTTATTAGTGAAGATCCATGTCTTAATGATTAATGTACATTCCACCCTGAACGCAAGCAATAGCTACAAAATGAAGGAAGGAAATAAAATAAAATACAATAATCAACGCAAGGGAAGAAAATTCAGTGCGGTTGCCCGATATTAAATCTTTAAGGAAACATGAAAATAAAAACATGATCTACACAAACCCATCAAATAATAAACCTTACATCCTCCAGGTGTCCTCCAGGGATCCACGTGTTCAATGCTTCATTCACCTCTCAATTATATCCGGAATATCAACCACATATTCCTTTAGGTCAAGATCGAGATCAAGCACAGGAACCACAAACTGCTCGTTGTAGAAGCTCAAACAAGATTCCCCACTCCGCTCAACCTCATACGGATGAACATCAACATGATCAAACCGCACCATCTTTTGTTTCATCTTTTTTGCTTTGCGGTTGATAGCGCAGGAATCTGATGCCCCACGTGCCCCGATCTCCGTACCCATACCAACATTTTCACCAGGCCCCCCACCGCAACTGCTTGCGCGCTTCTTATCCATCACCCCTCTTTGCGCTTTCTCAACTTTGGCCTCTTGATTATCAAAAGGAGGCTCAACGGTTGTCTCAGTGATCTGATCGGGATCATCTAGAGATACCAGCGAGTGTAACGAGGTGAATGACAATGAATGGCGGCTCATATGAGTGGAGGGCGATTGACTGGTGGAAAAGCGCCGAGGTGGGGGGACCGTCTCATCCAAGTTGGAAACATCGTTCAGTGTCAAGAAGACGTTCCTAGATGTGTTGGCTTGGGTGTCTGATTGGGAGGTGTGGCGGTTGTTGTGTGGGAGGCTTTCTGAGATTGCTGTTTTGAGAATTGGTTTTACTTGCGTTGGGCGGTGGGTGGAGCAGGTGGAGCGGGTAGAGTATGGTTTGGTTCGTGTTGGGGAGGTGGATGACAGTGAAGACGACGAAGGGGATAAGGGACTGTTGGGGTGGATTATGGTTGGGAGAGGTATGTCTGTGTTTCTTGTGGGGGTCTTGATGGTTGAATCGAAGAGTTGTCTCTTTACTGAGGGTGGAAGTCTGCATATGTTGTCGCCGGTATCATTTGCAGGTTTTGCGATGGGCATAGAGGAGATAGATAGATCGATAGCAGGTACAGTCCATCCAACACTTCCCGACAAAGCGGAGGAGAGATATCTAAATGTCCAGGACTGTTTCTGGTTATTTGGATGGGGAGGATAGGGTGATTTATCTTGATGGCTCCCTTGCAGCGGGCTGTCACCGTCTGGCATTTGAGCGGGAGAAGTTGAAACAGTAGCTGTTGTCTGTGGTCGTTTGTTCCTACGCAGGATATTTGGAAGACGGAAGACGACCATTTGACGCGTGAGGAGGCATCCGAGATTGCAAATTCAGTAGAATCGGGTAGCCATAGGAGTTGAGTGGCTGCGGTATATGTTGGCTCTATCAAGTGCGAGTTTTGCGGGTGATGGAGGTTATTGGTGCTGGAGCGGTTGACAAATTAAGCATGTGCACAGAGGTGCCGCAAAGGATGAAGCCTAAAGGAGTTCTGTTCTTACTAGGATGGAGATGTATCTATTTATCTGGATATGAGTGGAGCTGGAGGGAGAGAATATATATCCTCACCGGAAATGTACAGCTCTTAAGAGTCCACTTGATGAACAGATAGGGAGGCGAGTAACAATACAGCATATAGAGTATTGTAAGTAGAAGAAAATAGAAGAACTAGAAGACAGAAATATATATATGAGATAGCAGCAGTACATGACAAGAAAGAAATCATGCATCGCGAAAAGCCACAGTCATGTTCTCTTGGGAGTCCTGAGAGAGTCAAGTCGTCGTGTTGTTGGTGTGGAGGTCAACTCGCGGCTGACTGAGCAGCGACGACACTCATCCACCAGAAGCAAAGGGTGTATGTACCTTTCGTGTAGTTTGATCGAGGCATTGAGCTGAGTTTTTCATCTCTCTTGACTTCTGATTCAATCGCTCGTGATTCTTCTATCTGATTCAGTATGGCTTGGGTATCATTATCAGGTGAGCTAAAAACGCAAGAAGAGGTACGTCCTGCGAGGACCTACTATACACATCGAATAACTGAAAGAAACACGACATCACACCTGGGGAAATATTCTCTAACTTATAGATAGCTCAAGTTGGTAAGTTGAGTACGTTCAACTCCGCTAACGCAAGGCAAGAGAGGGTTGACATGTCTTATGAGTTGAGATATCCTGGAACAGCTGCGGGATTCCTGCATGCAGCCACCAGCCAGCGTCGCTGAGATGCAATCACCTACGCACAACGCAAGCAAAACATTTTAAGAAAGGGGTTGAAACAAAGGAAGCAAAACGAAGCGTGACAGCGCCAATGAAGGCTATTTCGTGAAGAGAAATTGAGCGTTAGGTTGGAGGAGACAACCACCCCGACCATACACAATGACCGCATCATGCCGGAGAACTCTATCAGATGATGGATGAGAGGAGCATACCTCACGCAGCGGCGGTGATTAGTCCCTGCATGCCCCCGAGTCAGCAGATCAAACTGTGGCTCTCTAGCCGCAGCCTGCAGATAAGCGATGCGGGTGTCCACCAATGCTCACATTGGAGTGCCTTGGGCGGCAAGATAGATACCCGCGGAGTCAAGGTGCATATAGACGTCCCTCAACGTCTGTAGCAGGGGCAAAAGATCGGTTTCTACATGCTGTAACTAGCGCTCGGTTCTGACAACCCGTAGTTACGTTTGCCAGGCAGAAGGGCGAGAGAACCCAGCTTCAAATATCACGTGAAAGCATGTGGGCTAGAGTTCTTATAACTGGCCCAAGGCTGAGCCAAGGAGCTTGTATTAACCAACAGATCGTTGATTTACTCCGAGTCTCCAGCTGGCACATAATCTACTCAATTTATCATGAGCACCTAGTTAGCACTTCTTGCTGTGGATGGGGGGACTCGGTGGATACAATACAATGGACCAAGCTACAGCCAAGTCCAAGTCACAAGCTCATCCCGAGGGTGGCTCTGCCCGAGCTTTCCCAGCGCTGCGCCATCTCCCGCAGCGGCAAATCTCTTGGGACCGGTAAAACCTCATTTTAACAATGATTTATATTTATCTCCTTCCCTCCGCCGACTTCATTCATCCTCTCCCTCCTCTCTATCTCTCTCTCTCTCTCTCTCTCTCTCTCTCTTCCTTTCTTCCTTTTTCCTTTTTCCTTTTTCTTTCATTTTTCATTTTTCATTTCTTTTTTCTCGCGACTGTGGTTCCATCATATTTCCTCTTTCCCTCGTTTCCCACGTTAATCTCCTGGTGGTGTACTTCGAGATATCTTGCACGGTGTGCAGCCTTTCCCGTTAACTGGCCCGCCTCAATTGCGTTTCCTTGGGGGCATCTCACCTCAAATATTTTATAAAAACGCTTTTTGCTTTTTTTTAAATTTGAGATCCGTGAATATCCTCTTTTCTCTCCGGATCCCCGTTTCATTGATGATCGTGTATTTTTCCTGGTCTCTGTTCCCCCGATCTCCTCACAACACATTCATCGATGCCCCGTTGTTAAGTGAGAACAGTACGACGCTAGGACACTCGCTATATGAAAGGCTAGACTTGACGCATTCCTCATGTCTTCTGATCCAACACCGCCTCGCCCCTCCTTGACACTAACTTCTGGCGATATTGATGAATCTGCAGCCAATGACTCGGACCATCCAGTCCAAAATAAAGTTAGATGGAAGAAGCTACTGGGAATAAAGACTGGTGGCAGAGAGGATGGATCTGATGCGCTGAATGATCCCTATCCACAACGGGAGAAGTGGTCTCTGGGTATTCTCAATGATAAGGAGACTGAGGAGGTGCCTGGTAAGTATTTCAAAAAATGCGTTGTATGCAGCGTTCCCAACCCAGAAAAAAAAATTTTTTTTTTCTTTCTTTCTAATTTTGCTTGTAAATAGGTACGGTGCTTTTACTCGCTTCCAACAGAAACGAGCCCCTTGGACTTCGACAGCAGCCTGCAAGAACGTCTGCGTCATCTTTCCCTTCCCCGTATCCTCCCTCTCGATCCTCCTCTCGTACTCCGGTCCCCCAGAAAAAGCGGACAGCCGATGGCGCGATTGTGCTAGACCCTCAGCCGGACGATTCACTTAACGATCCGCTTAACTGGCCCGCTTGGCGTCGTGATCTGTCCCTGATGTCCCTGGGCTTTTATTCCATGATTGGAGGAGGCATGACGCCCATTTTGGCTGCTGCATATAACGATGTGTCGGAATCTTTTGGTATTACCTCACATGAAGTGGCATTGACCACTGGCTTATATATGTTGGGCCTTGGCCTGGGCTCAGTGATTATGTCCCCAACGGCAATTCTTTACGGCAAACGTCCCATTTATATTTCGGGCTCTGCTATGTTTATTGTTTCAGCAATTTGGTGTGCCGTTTCTCCCAATTATACGAGCTTGCTTCTAGCACGAATTTTTCAGGGCATCGCTGTCAGCCCCGTTGAGTGCCTTCCATCTGCTACAATTGCGGAAATTTTCTTTTTGCATGAGCGTGCATATCGTGTTGGGATTTACACTCTCCTATTATTGGGTGGGAAAAATTTGGTGCCCTTGGTAAGCGCTGCGATAACACAGAGATTGGGTTGGCGCTGGGTATTTTGGTGAGCCCCTTCCTCCTTAAGTTTATACAGAATATCTGGCTCATTTTACAGGATTGTGGCAATAACGGTTGGGTTTGGCCTTGTTTTGGTGTTTTTATTTGTTCCGGAGAGTTTTTGGGATCGGACTCCGCGTCCCCGCCACAAGCGTCCTGCCTATCGCCGGAGTCTGTCTGACCTAGTGACTTCCGGGCGTCGAGGACGACCTTCAAATCCTTTAACCCCTTCGGTGGAAAAGGATCAAAATGCACTGATGCCGCAAAGATCGTCAAAACGTACGCAAGCCCGCGT